TTGCCATATATTCAGATTCAAACCAGATAATGTGGGATTTTATTCAGTTTTGTGGAATGGGCCCTGGATTTAGTCCCTGGAATTCCCACATCCACCATAAGTGATTTTCCTTAACTAACCATAATTAAAATTGGACGCGATTTACGATTTTGATTTAATGCTGAACACTATAGTTAATTCAAAATGGAAGTAGAAGCTTCTCATTTTGTTGCAGGAACAGTAGAAGATAAGGAGGTATGAAGAACGTGAAGGCTCCCTAGGCTCTCTAGAGCTCCTATTAATAGTAAAGCTTGTCCTGTTACATACCAATAATGCAGCTATGTAATTATGTTTTGAAAGATGCAGTCAAATAAAGTGGATTCTACATCCACAGATTCAACTAAACCTTTGCTTGAAAATACCCAAAATAATTCAAAAAGCAAACTTTAATTTTGTATTTTTTTTAAAATAAGGGGCACAATTTTACTCATTGAATATGATAAGATTATATATTAATCATTCAAAGATGTTATCAGAAGGGGGTACTGGAACCAGTGGATACTAAGGGCCCATTATATAAATTTGGAGTCAATGTAGTTATGATGCAGAAGGTAAGAGAACCATTAAAGGCATGATGAACAACTTAATTGTCTCTAGTCAATACCTGGAACCTTAGGGCCCTTCCACACAGCCCTATATCCCAGAATATCAAGGCAGAAAATCGCACATTATCTGAGTGTGGACTCAGATAACCCAGTTCAAAGCAGATATTGTGGGATTTTGTGCCTTGATATTCTGGGATATAGGGCTGTGTGGAGTTACCATAGAACCATAGAACTAGATGGTCAAATAATCCAATTCCCTTCCAGGTCAGGAATCTATAGCTAAATTATTTTGAGATATGGCCACCCAACCTCGAAAGCGGTGGTGCCAACTACATTTTTAAAAGTGGTATTGGGATTAGTTAGGTTAAAGTGAAGGCTGCGGAAGGATGATAGAAACCAACAATGATCCTCCACTTCTCAGCATTGAGCCCCCATTGCATTCTCTCTCCCTCTCCGGTGATTTGCATACATTTAACAACAATATGGAAGATCCTCACTTTATTTAGTTACACCCTTAAGACCAATAGATGAAGACTTCTTTAAATACCCTGTCTTTTCAATCATTGTTTATTATGTTTGCAAGTATTATTGTACTTGGAAAAAACAACATATAGATTATGCCCTGACCTACTGGCAGAAAGATTTTTTCCCTTTAAGATGCCTTACTTTCCACTGTCTTTTCTATGACCATAGAAGGGTTGAAGCCAGTATTTCCCCTTTTGCATATCGGTTGTACCTGCCTATTTTAAGACCAGTGTTTTTGTCATCTTCACTCAGGTTACAGCAAAACAGACATAGTTTTATACATGTAGGTGAGGCATGGTGTGACTGCAATGCTAGGGCTCAAGAGATCTGGTTTGTGTGAGCCTAATGTTGGCTTTGGGAAGAGTTCTCTGGAGTCTTCGTCTTTAGTGGTGTTGCCTTGGTCTGAGTAATGTGTTGTTTTGAATATATGGGTAGAAGAATTTATACAAAGGCAGCTACGATAAATTGGCCTCCTAGTGGAAGAAAGGTATTATTGTTATTATTGGGTTACTGTGAGTTTTCCAGGTGTATGGCCATGTTCCAGAAGCATTCTCTCCTGACATTTCACCCACATCTGTGGAAGGCATCCTCAGAGCTTGTGAGGTCTGTTGGAAACTAGGCAAGTGGGGGTTATATATCTCTTGAATGTCCACTGTGGGAGAAAGAACTCTGGTCTGTTTGAGGCAAGTGTGAATGTTGCAATTGGCCAGCTGAATTAGCATTGAATGGCCTTTCAGCTTCAAAACCTGGCTGCTTCCTGCCTGGGGGAATCCTTTGTTGGAAGGTGTTAACTGGCTCTGATTGCTTCATGCCTGGAATTTCCCTGTTTTCTGAATGTTACTCTTTATTTACTGTCCTGATTTTAGAGTTTTTAAATACTGGTTTCCAGATTTTATTCAATTTATGGTTTTCTCCTTTCTGTTGAAATTGTCCACATGCTTGTGGATTTCAATGGCTTCTCTATGTAGTCTGACATGGTAGTTGTTAGTTGTTGGAGTGGTACATGATTTCTGAGTTCTCAAATAATATGCTGTGTCCAGGTAATAATAATATTAGTATTTTTCTCTCCACAAAGGAGACTCAAAGCGACTTACATTAAATGCACTTCAATACAATTAAAAAATATACAAATATTTAATTAAAAATATACAAATATTTAATTAGAATTAAGCATGAATGGCATTAATTAAAAAGGTAAGTTAAAATCCATAAAGCAGTTTAAAAACATATTCAAAGCTAAACCACAGTGTCCCCTGACTAGATCTTAAAAACCTTCTCCTTTAAAAGCCTGCCTGAATACAAAGATTAATACCTTTATATCTTAAATCTAGTCAGTGGTCAGATCTTTGGCTGCTGGAAGAAATCAAATCAGTGGGGTGATCATGTGTATATGCCCTTGTTCATTAACTCTGATGGGAAGGGAGAATGGAGAATGGAATAGGGTTGTTGTTGTTGTTGTTACATTTCTCCCTAACTCCCCAAGGGGACTCATTTACATTTATTTGTAACTTGCTTTTCTCTCAGAACCAAGACCCAAAGTGGCTCACAACCTTAAACATTGTAGTTTTAAAACCTATAAAATATTGATATTAAAATAGAATTAAACATTGCAATTAGTAAAACAATTCATAGACTCATAGAGTTGGAAGAGACCTCGTGGATTATCCAGTCCTACCCACTACCAAGAAGCAGGAATATCTCATTCAAAGCAGCCCCGAAAGATGGCCATCCAGCCTCTGTTTAAAAGAAGGACCCTCCACCACACTCTAGGGCAGAGAGTTTCACTGCTGAACAGCTCTCATCATTAGGAAATTCTTCCTCATGTTCAGGTGGAATCTCCTTTCCTGAAGTTTGAAGCCATTGTTCCGCGTCACAGTCTCCAGGGCAGCAGAAAACGATCTTCTTCCCTCCTCCCTACGGCTTCCCCTCACATATTTATACATGGCTATGATGACTCCTCTCAGTCTTCTTTTCTTCAGGCTAAACATGCCCAGCTCTTTAAGCCGCTCCTCATAGGGCTTGTTCTCCAGATCCTTGATCATTTTAGTCACCCTTCTCTGGACAGTTGTGGTGCCCAGAATTGGACACAGCTTTCCAGGTGTGGTCTGAGCAAGGCGGAGTGCAGGGGTAGCATGACTTCCCTGAATCTAGACACTATACTCCTATTTATACAGGCCTAAATCCCATTGGCTTTTTTTTTTTTTTTTTTGCCAATGGGCTTTGTTGGCTGTATCATTTCTAAGATGCTATCCTACATAATACCTACCAGAAGAATAAACTATATTGAATCCAGGAGGATTAGCTACTGATTGAGTAAACAGAAGAGCCAAATGCTAGCAAACAAAGATCCGTTTTTGCTTGTCTTTCAGCTCTGTGGCAGGAAATCCACACAAAACCTTTTGGGTCAGATTCTAGGACATAATATAATTGGTTTAGAAAATATATTGGCTTTTCTGCTGTGGTGAGTTGATAAATTGCACACTGTTGCTGCTTTTCCCCTCCAGAGATGAATTCCACATAGAAACTAATTGGAGCACATTGCAGAATGAGGTGGAATTTCATGGCTTATTACTTCAATTTGCTTTGCTACCTGTTTTATGTGAGGGAGTCTGGCTTGGCTCTGCAGCATCCCCTTCTCTCATTATCTTTGGGTATGTCTTCCCTGTAGCATGTCCCCTTTGGTTATAAAGACGCTGCAATCCTTCCCACATGATGGAAAAAATTGCGTTCCACATGATAAAAAACAATGTGAGCGACTGTGGGTCATATAGCAGGGTCAGAGCAATTCCCTGCCTTGCTATTGGGTCAATTTTCCAGGAAGGGCCCCATAGCTATGAGGAAAAGTTACTGCTATGCAGAGCGCCCTCCACAAACATAACTTGAATTTTTTCCACTCGTTCATCTCATGAAATACATTGAAATTTTCACAGAGTTTGGGAGTGTTATATTATAGTGCTTTAAATGAAAACAAATCTGAAAAGCAAACCTTGATTTTGAGTTGTTGTAGGTTTTTTGGGCTATATGGCCATGTTCTAGAAGCATTCTCTCCTGGCGTTTCACCTGCATCTATGGCAAGCATCCTCAGAGGAAGCAACCTCTGAGGAGGCTTGGTATTGAATGTTTCTGAAAGTGACAAAAGGCTAGGATGCAAATAGGTTATGGTTGTTTTGTTGGAGAATGTAAAAATCAGTTGGTGAGTGTGTTACTAAGAAATGCAAAGCATGAAGCTGATTGGTTGGGCCATGCACAAGAGGCTAGCTGAGTCTGGGAGTTTTGGCAACAGTTACATGTTTAGGTTTTCTGTGCAGGGGTTTGCCAAGACAAATCAGTGTGTATATTTGTACTCCTGAGTTGATGGAAGAAGATCCTTCACATGGACACCTAAGGATCATTTGTATGAGTTAATGCAGCTGTTTACATGGCTGTATATATGTTGCTCTGCATAAGAAAAAGTAAACACTTTACTGATCATCTGCATGGCATATCTTTTCTCTAGCAAGACAGTGTGTGGATTGGTAAAGATGTGAACTACGCGTGATCTTCATTCCGCCACATGTTTGACATCTTAAATTGCATCTTTGTGGCATTATTGTGCTCCTGTAGTCATAAATGTACAATGAAATAATATCAGTATTTTTATTGTATTGTCTGTTGAACTTTGATTACTGTATTAAGATCCACATTGAACTGAGTAACAAGTTGATAACTTATCTAGTTTATTAACAAGCTTCTCTGCCACTTCTAGGAAAAACCTAGAATACACTTAGTACTTATGCTTATGAAGACAGCAAATTATACCACTGAGATCAATATTGTGCTAAGCTTTCTCGAGTCATTGTAAAAACATTTCAAAAAACCAAGAAACTATTTGTATAATGTTCCTTATTGCAGATTTCAACTCCCACTTACAAATACAGAAATGAGGAATTCAAGAGACAATTTTCACATCTGCCAGATTTGGACAGGCTTGTTGTAGGTAAGACAATAATAGGCTTTCGTTAGTTCAGTGGCTCTGTTGGAATCATAACAATAATTAAAGCTTCCTGTGCTTATTTTTCCAAAAAATTACTGAGATGTTTACAAATAGGTCTGTGGAAAATCTTGCATTACATTTTACAATGATGACGAAAGTGATGCAGATGAAAAGGCAAATGGAGCACATTTCTGCATAAGGGTTGAGCAGCCCATATCGGGAGTTTAGAAATCTGAAATCGTCCCCATGGATGGCTGAGATAGTGTTGCCATTGATTTCTGATTGATCAGTGTATACAAACTTTGTTTCATACACAAAATTACTAAAAATATTGTGTATAAAATGACCTTCCGGCTATGTGTATAAGGCAGGCCTGCACAACTTGGGAATAGTAAGGGGCCAACATTAAATGGGCTAAGCCTCTTGGGACCACAAATAGGTCTTTATTTAGCTTCTCACTTTCCAGGTAAGACAGGTATAATTAATGGTTAATCGAGAGTGTTGTTGTTGTGTACCTTCAAATCGTTTCAGACTTAGGACAATCCTAAGGCGACCCTATCGCAGGAGTTTTCTGCTCAATTTATATATGCAAAGAAGATTTGCTTTTGTCTTCTTCTGAGGCTGAGAGAGTGTGACTTGCCTAAAGTAACCCAGTGAGTTTAGAGCAGTGATTCCCAACCTTTGGTTCTCCACTTGTTTTGGACTTCAACTCCCAGAAATCTCAGCCCGCTTACCATTTGTTACGAATTGTGGGACCTGAAGTCCAAAACACCCGGAGGACCAAAGGTTGGGAACCACTGGTTTAGAGCCATAGCCTGAGGTTCAAACCACTACACCTTCCTTCCTTCCTTCCTTCCTTCCTTCCTTCCTTCCTTCCTTCCTTCCTTCCTTCCTTTCTTGATATCAAACATTTCAGATAAGGGTGTCAGTGTGCTCTGTAGAAAAATGTATATTATTTTTGCATATTATTTGCATATGCAAAACATTCTCATGCAGAAAAAAACAAACACACGAAAAAAGCTCTGTAAAATAATACAATTTTTGTTCCTGAGTTACAAATGCCATTTCCTAATTGGTTCTATCATAAAAAACAAAGAAAAGGTTTATTAAATTGCAAAAACTTTGTTTTTGCGGGACATCTTGCATCACAATTTGCTATATGTTGTCGAAGGCTTTCATGGCCGAAATCATTGGGTTACTGTGAGTTTTCTGGGCTGTACGGTCATGTTCCAGAAGCATTCTCTCTTGATGTTTTGACCACATCTATGGCAGGTGTTTAACAAACTCTGAGAATGACTGCCATAGATGTGGGCAAAACGTCAGGAGAGAATGCTTCTGGAACATGGCCATATAGACCAGAAAACTCACAGTAACCCATGTTGCTATCGTTTTTCAATGAAGATTTCATAGTCTCAACCAATTCAACATTGTTTCTGGAATATAACAACTACTTTCAAAGTAAGTACCGCACAATTAAACACAAAATATCACTTTCAAATAAAGCACTCAAAACCACCTGGCCTGCTAAAATACAGATCGTGTTTGATGAGTGCAGTGGTGATTATTATTTACAATGCACAGTTAGTTGTTTAGTCCTCTAAGGCATAAGGTCATAATAGCAAACTGTTTTCAAGAACCGTAAACAGTTAAGGGAGTGGAGGGACAATCTATAGTTTTTCCTTTTTCTTCATTTATACTTACATTTAGTTAGTTTTAATTCTCCTGTGCCTTGCATTTTATTTCTGCATGCTTGTATTATACTGACAGGCTCTTTAATCTTTTTTTTTTCTTTTGTTCCCAGAATGCTCAGCAGAGCCTTGCTCATTCATACTTGTCTCATTGCAAATCCTCCTTGTTTACTTGTGTATTTGGCACAGCATTCAACAGCTAACTTTGTCTCACTTAAAAGCGAAAAATATATTAAAATATAAACCCTCACTGGCGTCTTAAAATAGCTCATGCTAGACAGAGAATTAATTTGATGCTCTATAAACAAGCTTGCTTTATTCTAAATTTCCGCACAGCTTTATGCAATGTGCGGGAACACAAACAGGCAATTTTGCTCTTTCTTTGAGGCATATTTACCGAATATCAACCTTCTGAAGAATAAATTAAAATAGCTAAACAGTGGGCTACATTATATAAAGGCTTTGATAGTCAAGGAGAAGTCATAATTTCATATTCGTTGAAATGTATACTGCTTTGACCCTTGATTTCTACTATATTGTATTGTTCAGCAACTGCAGCAGTTGCCTGCCAATGTATGGTGGTATCGGGTACTTTGGCGCATGAATAAAAAATGAGGAAATGCCAGGACTGAGTTTAGGAAGAGGGAGGAAACTTCAAGTCTTGATGCAGCCATGAAGGTATCCTAGGATGTATCCCCTACTCCTTAAACCAGTGGTTTTCAACCTTCCTAGTGCTGCAACCCCTTAATACAGTTCCTCATGTTGTGGTCACCCCCAACCATAAAATTATTTCCATTGCTACTTCATAACTGTAATTTTGCTACTGTTATGAATCATAATATCTGATATGCATGATGTATTTTCATTCACTAGACCAAATTTGGCACAAATACCCAATACTCTCAAATTTGAATACTGGTTGGGTTTGGCGGGGGATTGATTTTGTCATTTGGGAGTTGTAGTTGCTGGGATTTATAGTTCACCTACAATCAAAGAGCATTCTGAACTCCACCAACGATGGAATTGAACCAAACTTAGCACACAGAATTCCCATGATCAACAGAAAACACTGGAAGAGAGCACTGTGGACTCAAACAATGAGGGATCTGGACCAAACTTGGCACAAATACTCAATATACTCAAATGTGAATAGTGGTGGAGTTTGGGGAAAATAGACCTTGACATTTGGGAGTTGTAGTTGTTGGGATTTATAGTTCACGTACAATCAAAGAGCATTCCGAACCCCACCAATGATAGAATTGGGCCAAATTTCCCACACAGAACCCCCATGACCAAAAGAAAACACTATGTTTTCTGATGGTTTTTGGCAACCCCTCTGACAGACCCTCATGACCCCCCCCCCAGGGGTCCCAACCCCCAGGTTGAGAATCGCTGCCTTAAACTATTATAGGTTAGCAGGAGGTTGGACTGGATGGCCCACGAGGTCTCTTCCAACTCTACGATTCTATGATTCTGATACTTATTTCTCAATGAGGAAAACCGCATACGTGCAAAGAGATAGCAATGTGTTCCGTTTCTGATGAAAATATTATTTGCAAAGCTTCCTTTGCCTTTTGTTTTTCTCCTTTGATGAGACTGTTGCTTTTACTTCTAAGAACTTAACTAATATCTACCCCCACATCTTTCCAGCATTGGGAGAGTAGCAAGCTATCCAGTTCTGAGTATTGGTTTGAGTGTTCGTGTAGGATCCTATAGAGTCATAGAGTTGGAAGAGGCCTTCAACTCAGATAATATACATTCACTTCCACCTACAGTTCACATGGCAATCAGTCTCAGAGTATATAGACAGTCATAGAATCATAGAGTTGGAAGAGACCTCGTAGGCCATCCAGTCCTACCCCAGGCCAAGAAACATAAAAATCTCATTCAAAGCACCCTCAACAAATGACCATCTAACCTCTGCCTAAAAGCCTCCAAACAAGGAGCCTCCACCACATTCCAGGGAGGAGAGTTCCACTGCTGAATAACTCTCCCAGTCAGGAAGTTCTTCCTAATGTTCAGGTGGAATATCCTTTCCTGTAGTGTGAAGCCAATTGCTCTGTATCCTAGTCTCCAGAGCAGCAGAAAACAAGCCTGCTCCCTCCTCCCCTCACATATTTATACATGGTCATCATCAGGCCCGTAGCCAGGATTTCGATTCGGGGGGGGGGGGGGGGGGGTCTGAGTGAAAGAGGGTCTACACTAGCAAACCTTTTGTATCATTACCCCAATACCCCCATGCATATGGGATATATTGAGTATGGTGATCAGATCATGATATGAATAAACATAACAGTTTAAATAATGCACCAGTAAGGCCTTTCGTAAGGCTGAAGCCCCTCAATCCCCGGCGGAAGCCCCTCGCCCCCCCCCCCCCCCCCGGCTACATGCCTGGTCATAATGTTTCATCTCAGGTGACCAGGGTTTGAATCTGTATTTGGCCATGGAAATATACTGAATAGATTTGCCTGCCTAGACCAGCGGTTCCCAAATTTTTTTTTTATCATGGAACTCTTTTGAAGTATCCCACGCACACAAAGAGAGAACCTTATGTCCCTGATTTCCCCATGGAACCCTAATTTTAAATCTGTGAACCCACAAAATCTTTCCTTCTTTCATCTACTCTGTAGCCTGGAAGTTTTGCATATTGTAGGGTTGCAAATAAAGACATTCAGATTTTGTTTTTAAACCTCAGCGGTTTAACCCAGTGCGCCACACGGGGATCCAAATTGATGCCTAGTGTAATAATAAAATAAAAATAATGTTTTTATTTGTTACCTGCCTCTCCTCATGGCTCGGGAGGGGCACAACACAATTGAAACACAGAATCATAAAATGCATACCCTAAAATGAATACATTAAAACACGCCATCACAAAATACATACATTAACATATTTATTTTATTTATTTATTTCGAGCATTTATATCCTATCCTTAGCCCCAAAGAGGGATGCAGGGCGGCTTAAAACAGGCAACCATTAGATGCCCAACAATACATTAAAATACACAGTTACAATTAAAACAGCAGTTAAAAGCAGTTATCAACATTCAGTTTAAAACATGTGTGTGTATGTGTGAAATAGCATGTAAATTTAAAATTCGCCTGGTGTTTTGTTTTTTTGTAAATGAACAAGGTCAAAAGTACTTCATCAGCACCCATCACTGATAACACACATGCACACATCTTTTAACACAGAGTTCGTTGACTATCAATCTGCTTATCTAGGGTTACTAAGGTTCACTGAGAAATGAAGCACTTGCAGATTTCCTATACATTTTTATATAGTTGTAGACTTTGAAAAGTAACATCTGAAACTAAGTGGAAAATCTTGAGGGCATTCTGGTTAATTCTCCTTATTTTTATTTTTGAAGATATGCATACAATTCCTTTATAAGGCTTAAGTTCCATGGGAGCATGCCATTATTGATATGCTAAACCATGAGTCTAGCTGCACTGTGTTAATAAGATAAACACGCTTATGGTTTCCTTGTTTAGATTACGCCTGTGCCCTCCAGAAGGATATCCTCCTTCAAGGACGCCTGTATCTCTCCGAAAACTGGCTGTGTTTCTACAGCAACATCTTCCGATGGGAGACCACGGTAAGGGGTTGTTTGTGTGTGTGTATATATGTTTGGGTGTGCAATTACTCTTCTAAAGAGATTGCTACTTGGCTATTTTGGTCTTTCAATTTTCTAACAGAGGAGTCTAATAAATCATCAAATTAAGTATTTATTCGATACCTTCCACTTGTTGCAGGTAACCTAGAATTAAATGATGGCCACAGTAAAAAAAATGCTGCAAATTTTCAGTATGGTACATTTGTAATAGAAGTTGAGAGTCCTATTTCCCAGTCTGATTTTTAAATTAGCTACTCAATTCAGGATATGCTTTGATTTGTGCTTATTATAATTTATATACTGGGCTGTAAAGATACTGTATAACAAATAAGAATAATGCAACAGTAAACTAGAGAGTAAGGATAACTATACTAGGTGATTTATGCTGAATTATCTTGTTTTGATACTTTTTGCATGGCATTCCCATAATGCAAAAAAAAATATGTGGCATTATTTGGACAGTGGCGTGAAATGATATTTTGAAAGTTTTGTTTTTGTTTTGGGCTAACATTGCAACAATATGATGTTAAAATGATGTGCCTCTCTTTATTATGCCCCCATTGGCATTGAATGTTTGCCATATATGTTGGGAACCACCTTGAGTCCCTTCGGGGAGATAGGCCAGTCTACAAATAAAGATGATGATGATGATGATGATGATGATGATGATGATGATGATGATGATGATTAAAACAAAAGGTACGCTGTAAAATTACTTTCATGATTACTAAAAGGGAAGGTAGAAAAACAACGGGGATTCTTCAGACATCTGACACATGTTGCATCCCAGCTGCCTGCTTGATCCCATTTTTAACCCAAACATCACACAACTCAACAATAATAATAAGTTTTTAAAGAAAGAATAAACTTGATATAATATAAAAGCAAGTTCAAAATAGTGTTCAAAGTAATCAGACTAAACATTCACTAAAATGCTAGCAAAATTACATCCATGAACTAGATTTCCAGAAGTTTAACCAAAAAAAAAAGAGCAACTCTGAATATGAATGCCAAAAATCACTAAAGGCAAAAGCAAGAAACTGTAATCCAAAGGTCATTGCATTTAAACTAGAATTATATCCAAAAGCTTGAAAACATGAACATGGCCATAATCCAAAGGCTTGATACTTGAACTTGACTATAATCTCAAAGGCTTGAAACTTGAAACAAGATTTGTAATCCAAACAGGGGTCATGGAACTTAAACAGGAAAACAAGATACAGACCCAAGAACAGAACTAACTCAGAGCTGCCAAGTCAAGCAACTTGACACATGAAAATCCAACGTTGATCTCCCCATCGAACATTGACTCCAATTCCTTAAGAATACTCTGGCCCATGACATCACTCTTTCTTACACCTGGGTTCCCTTTGTTTATCTTTCCGTCTCTGGGAACAATTAATTTGTTTCTGTTTCCCTGTCAGGATGCCAACTCCAGCCATGTGAAAAAGGCCTAATTGGTCAATCTGACATGGAATGCAAGAATGAGGAGAAGGAGGGAAACACTGAGCTAATAAGACCTGCTGACCTTTGTTATGGAAATTGAGGGAGGTTGGAGGGGAGTGCAGGCAGGAGACTATTATAACCCACTATTCTGTCTGCCTTGGCAGAACTATCTTCCTTGTACTCTGATAAAAGGGAAAATGAAGTTAAGTTTTCTGTACTGTGAGCATCTCCTATTCCTAGAAGTTCTAGAGCCTGACATTAAGACAGTTCTGTATTCCTTCAAAGCTGTCAATGATGGGTTATCTGTAACCCACCTGGGTTATCTGTAACCCACATTCCTTTCAGAGTCAATGGCTGGCTGATTATCATGAGAATCACTGGCTGTTTCCCTGAAAACAGATCTACCCAAAACATTCCCATCCTCTGAAAAAACACTTTCGCATTCCTCCACAGAAACACCGGGCTCAAACAGAAAATCCCTGTCCTCCTCCTCAGAGGCTTCAAAGGCCTCAACATCACCCTTGTAGAAATTCAAGAAACCATAGCTTGCCCTATCAGAATCATGAAGAAAGTCTGCTTTCCCACTTGAATAGTCATTTAAACAGTTCTCTCCACACCAGTAATTTTGAAAATGTATAAGTAACTCTATGACTCCTTAGACAGTGGTTCCCACTGGTGGGTTATACGACCTAAATTAAGGTCCGTGGCTCTAGATTATTAAATATGGTTTTCTGTGGGCATGCAGATGGTGACTACTGGATGGCATATGCTTTGTTTCAGAAACTAGAGCTGATACAATTTTTCTGAATCGGCCCCCCAAATAACCAAACTGAATCTAAAGTTGACCAAAAACTAATTCGTAACCCTTTTGATACTAATGTTGGAGAGTGGTCCCTAGTAAAAGTGGTCCCTGGTCAAGTGGTCTCTGGTCAAAGTGGTCTCTGATAAAAAAAAAAGGTTGGGACTGCCTTAGGACAAGGGTGGGCAAAGGCCATAAGTGACCCTCAGGGCTGTTTTTCTGGTCATCAGAATACACTCAGGGTGGAAAAAAGCATTTTATTCCAAAGTTGAATCTAAATGTCATCTTGCAAAGAGAAACCTTTTTAAAGAACCACCTGTTGTTAAGAAAAGCATGGCGAACGGACGCTGTCGCCGCGTTCCGACCCACTGGTGTGGGAGACGACCGAGGGGCGACCGTGGGAGTCGCGAGAGAGTAGACGGGCAGCGCGGAGAACCCGGGGATTCGGGGGGCAGCGGTGGAGACCCGTCCCGAGCGCGGAGAGATCCAGAGGAGCTACAGGACGCCCACTTGGGCGGGCAGATCGGGAAGATCGGGAAGGGCAGCAACATCCGCAACATCCGCAGAGACAAGCAACAGAGGCAAAGCATTGCGGTGGAGGGACCAAGGGACAGCGGAAGGATACGGAACAGCGCGGTGAGTCCCAATTGATAATAACAGAGAGGCAGCACACAGGTGGAGGGACCGGAGATCCAGCAGAGACCCAGCGGTGGAGGAAGATAGACTAACTGAACGGCAGTAGGGACCCCTCAGCCCTTCCCTGGCAGCCGGAGGAGCGGGGTCCTTAACATATCGTCTGCGGCTCAAATAGAGGAACTTCGTTGGCAGGCCGCGCCGGGTCGTAACCCAGACGCGGAACCACGGCCTCGAGAGTCTGAGCTGCCAGCACACCCGATGCGCTCGGACAGGGCGTAGGAGGGACAGAAGAAGCGACGAGAGGACGGAGATCAACAACAGAGCCCGATAGCAGGAGGGCTCACGCCGAGGCCATATCCGGTCTTCCAACGGGAAAGGAGGGTATGAGAGGAGAGACAGAAAGATAGTTAAGGGAAGATTTGATAAGCCTGTGAAGGATAGAACAAACCCAGCCAATATAGAAAAGGAAAAAGGTAAGGGGGAGAGTAAAAAGAAAGAGGAGGCCAAGAAGGGTAACCCCCCCAAAGAGGAGGGGAGACTAGTGAAAGAGGCAACCCCCCTAAAGGGAGGGGAGACTAGTAAAAGAGTGGAACTATAAAAGTAATCTGAATATTGAATGTACTAATAACTGCCATCAATCACAGTAAGACAAAATACGAAACAATTTAATAACAGAAAATATCATATTGAATCTATTCCTATAACCCCCGGTCTAATAAAGATGGCAAACTATAAAATTAAACCAGACTTAAAAGAGATAAAAGACTCGAAAGGTTCAACCAGGAGACACTCAGTGACAGGTCCGCCAACCACGGCAGGCCCCCCCACCCCAACACCCGAGGAGCCAGGCCTAAAAGAACTACTAGTGGTTATACAAAATGAAATACAAGGGCTCTCTAAAAAACAAGATAAATTACAAGCGGACTTTCAAGTAAGGGCAGAGAAACAAGAAGCCCAGCAAAAAGCCATTCAAGTAGAGGTTTCACAAATCAAAAAAGAGCTTAAGGCGGATATGGACCAAATGAAAGGAGACCTAACAAAAGCTCTACAAGAGATCAAGGAATCCAAAGCTAGTAACTTGAACCTAGAAAAAGCACAACTGAAATTGGAAAAAAGAATAGGAAAGCTAGAAAAACAAAACTCAAAAGTAGAGAGACTACAAGAGAAGCTAGCACAGAATGACACAGAGTATCAATTGCATTTCAGAAACGTAATGGAAGTAGAAAAGGAAAATATCAGGGAGACTATAACTAGCCTTTTGGCTAAACTATTAGATTTACCAATACAAGAAATCGATAACGGCCTAGACAGGGTGCATAGGCTAAACAACAACTATGCAACGAGGAATAAGTCCCCAAGAGACATAATGGTAAATTTTGTCAGAAAAAAGACCAGGGATGAAGTACTGAGAGTAAGTCACTCCAAACCATTGTATCATATGGAGTCAAAAATATTAATATTAAAAGAATTCCCTCCTGATACCTTAAYTAAACGGAAGAAATATTTCTTCCTAACAGATGAACTTAAAAGGCTAAACATCAGATTCCRYTGGGAAAAACAGGAAGGAATCATGACCACCTATAAAGGGGAAAGATATTGGCTTACCTCGGAAGAGAAGGCCAAAGATTTTTTCAAAAGGCTAGAAAAAGAGCTCAAAATTAGATCCCCCCAAAGGCCGGAAGAGAAGAGGAAAAAACCAAAAAGGAAAAGAAGTAAATCTCCTGACTCTGGAAGAACGACWTTAGATCGGAGACCAAACAACGAAGAACAGGAYGACGATGAGGAGTTTGAYGAAATGGACCATGATGAAATTAAGGAATAAAATGGGAGACATCACGCAACAGGTAAAATTCTTTTCTAATAATATTAACGGTTTAAACTCTCCAGGTAAAAGGAAAGCGTTCTTTAACTATCTAAAACGAGGCAAATATAAYATAATTGCATTACAAGAAAYGCACATATCCCAACGCCATAYTGCACATTTAATTTATAAAAAACTCGGTAAATTATACCACTCTTCAGCCCAGGAAAAAAAAAGAGGGGTAGCTCTCTACATAGATGAGAATATAACATCAGAACTTTTTTTTAGGGATCTGGAGGGCAGAATCCTAGCGGTTAAAGTAATTATAGGTACAGAAACCATCCTCATTTGCAATATATATGCTCCCAACGGATCTAAAAGCAAATTTGTAAAGACTCTAAAAGAAAAAATTCTAGCTGAAAACTTCTCCCAGATGGTTATACTTGGGGATTTTAATGGAATAATAAACCCAAAACTAGACAGATCTAGATCCCAGATAAAGAGGAAAACAGGTAGGACGAACACTCTTCCATTAAAATTCTTGGCCTGTATGGAAGAATATAATCTAGACGACACTTGGAGGTCCCATAATAGGGGGGTCTTGGACTACACTCACTATTCATGTAGGCACTGTGTGTGGACCAGAATTGATATGATTTGGACCACGTCAACAGTTACATCTAAAGTATCAGAAATTAAGATTCTCCCGCGAGACCACTCTGACCACAACCCGATTGTCATGACATTAAACCATAGCCAAAGAAGAAGAAAATGGAGGATGGATGATAATTTACTTAAATCAAAAGAGGATATAAAACAATATAAAGAGAAAACCTTGGAGTATTTCAAAATAAACACTAGAGAGGAGACCAGGATCCAAACTGTGTGGGACGCTTATAAAGCGGTACTAAGGGGCCATTTAATCCAGCAGGCATCAATCAGAAATAGGCTTAAAAATAGCCAAAGAGTAATGGTGGAGAAAAAGATTGCGAGGATGGAAAAAGACCTGAAAAATAATCCAGAAAACTTAGTGCTAAACGAAAACCTGGAGGTATTGAAAAAAGAAAAACACAGGATTGAATTAGAAAGAATAGCAAAGCAAATAAAATATACTCGCCAAAGAGAATTTGAAAATGCGAACAAAGTTGGTAGATTACTGGCATGGAAAACAAGGAAGAAAATACAACAGCAACAGATTACCAAAATAAAGCGTGGGGACACCTTATTGACAAAAGATAGCGATATAATAAGAGAATTTTATAATTATTTTCGAGAGCTGTATAGCAAGAAAGAGGTAGATGTAGAAAAGATAGTGGAATATCTCAGTAAGCAGAAACTGGGGAAAATAACAGATGAACAAAGAAGAGAATTGAACAGAGAAATCTCAATTGAGGAGATTAAGAAAGCGATTAGGGATCTTCGCAATAATAAAGCCCCCGGTCCCGATGGCTTCCCAGCTAGTTTTTATAAGACATTGCAGGAAGAAATCGGATACACTCTCAAAGAAGTCATGAATAAGGCATTATCAGAGGGAGAAATCCCTGAATCGTGGAGGGCAGCGGAAATTATTTTAATTCATAAAGAGGGTTCAGACAAAGAAGATATTAAGAACTACCGCCCCATTTCCTTATTAAATAATGACTATAAAATCTTTATGACCATCTTGGCTAATAGATTTAAGACGTTTCTATCAGGATGGATAGGAGAAGATCAAAACGGCTTCTTGCCGGAAAGACATATCAAGGACAACGTGAGATCCATCCTGGACACAATTGAATACTATGAGACCCACCACCAGAAAGAGGTAGCGCTCCTGGCCATCGACGCCGAAAAGGCGTTTGATAACATTCGCTGGGAGTTCTTTAAATCACTATTTCAGGAAATGGATTTTGGGTTTCAATTTAGGAATGCTATAGATGCTATATACAGAGACCAGAAAGCAAAATTGGTTATAAATGGACTCGCTTCAGAGGACTTCCCAATAGAAAAAGGGACAAGACAGGGATGCCCCCTATCCCCGCTAATTTTTATCTTTGCCTTAGAAGTCCTACTCAGAGAAATCAGGGGAGACAACATGCTGAAGGGTTTAAGAATAGACAAGCAAGAACTAAAACTAAGGGCCTTCGCAGATGACCTCATCTGTGTGATAGAAAACCCAATTGAAAATATACAACTTTGGCTCGGGAAAATGGAAAACTATGGAGAGTTAGCTGGGTTTAAACTAAATAGGAGGAAGACCATGTTATTAACTAAAAATATCTCAAAAACAAATCAAAGGAAACTGGAGGAAATAGCAGGAATAAAAACAGTAAACAAGATCAAATATTTAGGAATATGGATCACTCGGAGAAATTTAAATCTATTAGAGAATAATTACATTGAAAAATGGAAGAAAATCAAAAAAGCGATAGAAATTTGGAAGTCTCTTAATTTATCACTTTTAGGTAGAGTAGCAATCATAAAAATGAATCTTCTCCCTAAACTTTTATACATCTTCCAGAACCTCCCTATTATTAGAAATTTTAAAATCTTCAAAGAGTGGAACAAAGAACTCACTAAGTTTATATGGAAAAATAAAAGACCAAGGATAAAATACACGATCATGACACTGCCAACACAGAAAGGAGGATTCGGACTTCCGGATCTAAAAGCATATTACGACGCTTGTGCACTAAATTGGATCCGTGACTGGTCAAGACTAACGAATATCAAAATCTTAACCATAGAGGGGTTCGATCTTCGAAAAGGCTGGCACGAATACCTTTGGTATGGAGGGGCCAAAAAAGAAGGTAACTTTGGTAACCATTTCATAAGATCTGCCCTATTAAAGGTGTGGGAGAGGCATAAAAAATATTTTTTCCAGAAAACCCCATTATGGGTCTCCCCTCTGGAAGCAAAACACCGTAGACTTTTGGGTTGGATTTCCTGGCCCTCCTACAAAAATATACTGAGTAAAAAGAACGGCTCCTGGGAACTAAGAGCTCAAAAGGAGATAGTACAAGAGTTTAAAAACGTTTCTTGGCTGCAATACGCTCAAATTAAGGAATGTTACAAGGAGGATAAAAAGCTAGGCTTCGGGGAGGAAACAGATCTGTGGGATAAGCTCCTGAAGAGGGATAAGAAAACGATARCAGCCCTATATCAGAATCTGTTAGGATGGGCTACTGAAACAGAGATAATCAAAAATTCGATGGTCCTTTGGGCAAAAAATATAGGAAGGACCATAYACCTAAGGGAGTGGGAGATTATCTGGGAGAAAAGACTTAAATATACATACGCCTCAGACTTAAGGGAGAACTGGTTAAAAATGCTACACCGCTGGTTCTTGACCCCACAAAAAATAGCAAAAATGTATGGGAACACTGATAACAGATGCTGGAAATGTAAAACGACCGAAGGGTCCTTCTACCATATATGGTGGCAATGTCGAAAGGTGAGAGAATTCTGGAAGTGTATACACAATGAATGTAGAAAAATTCTTAAGATTAATTTCCCAATGTGTCCAGAAATGTATTTATTAGGAATGTATGAGGACTCGGTTTTCCCCGACAAGAACTCAGAGAAGTTGTTCACTTTTTTTGCAACTGCAGCCAGAATGACATTCGCCAGGTTGTGGAAACAGGACCGGACCCCCTCCATATCGCAGTGGAGGGACAAAGTCCTAGACATCCAAGAAATGGACGAGTTGACTTTCTGGCTAAGGCACAATAATGGAAAGGGCCTCGCAATGACCGACTGGAGCTTGTTTAAGAACTACTTGGAAAAAGAAACACAACAATAGATAATTTCTGGTGATTAATGAAGGAAGGAGCAATATGTTGTAATAGTATTATGGTAATAGGTAATGATGTAAGAATGAATGATAATGAGGGGAGGTCGGTTTTTAATGGGGGGGAAGGGGAGGGGGGAGAGAGAGAGGGGTGGAGGGAAAAGGACGAAATGGGACTAGCATAAGCAAGGTAACATCTCTTTAAGACCTGCTTTGTTAGATATAAACTGCAGCGCTTTTGTGTATATCGTATGTATGTTTGTATGTTATATGTCCTATGTCCTATGTCTTAAATGTTCATTTTATAAAGCAAACTCAATAAAATATTATTCAAAAAAAAAAGAAAAGAAAAGCATGGCGAAAATGGCTTTCCATGCCCTGCTAAAGGGCATTGGGATAAACTTGATTAATATGATGAGGTGCAGTGGCGAGTCTCGCTTTCCGAGATCTCTTAAAGTAGATCCTTTGGTCCCTTAGCATTCCCCAGTTGTTCCTTTTTGCATTAAAAGCTTTTCTCAAAACTGCTCCTTCGTACTATCAGTTTTGTCCTACTGTATGCAGCTGAAGGGCTCTCACTTAACATAACATGACAAGGAGGCACATCGGCATGATGTAAGCCTTGCTGGAATCAAGTATGAGATATAGAACATGGGGAATTATTTTTGCTTTGAGAATGGCAATTTATTGGGGAGATCTCTCTAGAGCCACATTCCAGGGATAGGCAAGGCTGGAGTTGACGGTTGGTAGGTAGACCTGGAGCCAAAAGTGTGTGTGTGGGGGGGAGGGGGGGAATGGGATGACAACACAACTGTACACGTTTATACATGGTTGGCATCTTTCTCTGTTTGAACTTCAGATTTCTATTGCATTGAAAGATATAACCTTCATGACCAAAGAGAAGACAGCTCGGCTCATCCCAAACGCCATCCAAATCGCTACTGAAGGAGAGAAGGTTAAAATTCTTTTTAGTTCATTGTTTGCTCTTTTTCATAAATGTAATTAACTATGACAGATACTTTTATAATTTGAAAACCAGGGCTTAAAAAACTTAATTTTTCACCTAAACTGGCTAGAGGAGAAATGTTGTCCGAAAATTATTTTTTCCAGCCTTGTTTAACCCATCTCATATAGTTCATAACTGTTTATAACTAATCTCATGCAGATTTAATGGTAAATTTCTACATATAACTACCTTTCTTTAGGAGTAGTATGTGGCTTAGATGTTAGATAAAGGACCAACTTTTGCTTTAATACAAATAGTGCACTGTATTTAGAGTAAGTTCATAAATAGCAGTTTTGGGGCTTGGTGTTTTCTCTTTCCCTTATCCACACATTGATTCCTCTCTCCTCTACCTTCCTACATCTACTGTCTGACAAAATTTTAAAAATATATACATCCACATTTTTCAGGATACAGGATACAGTCTAAGATATTCTCAAAGTTATAGTAGAAATGATTAATCATGTAACATACCCTCTCTTGCATTTTTAAGTCACTTAAAATCAGAGGAAGTATCTATGAAATCAGTGAGCCTTAATACCCTCTATTGTTTGTGAACCAAACGTGTGAATTATACATATGGATTATCATTTTGCTCTGCAGTTTTTTTTCACTTCATTCAATGCCAGAGACAGAAGCTACCTCCATATATTTCGATTATGGCGGAATGCACTGTTGGAAAAGGTAAGCTTCTGGTGGCTTGAGAAATGTCTTTGTCAGAATGCTTTGTTGTAATGTATACTGCTGGTAGTTTGCCATTGCAAAGAGTTATTGCCTTAATAGCCTTAACATTGTGCTTCATAGTCATCACCATTTGAACAGATATTTCACAACTATTTCCAATGTAAATAAATACATTGTAAGGACACTTGCCCATCCTGGCTCATAAAATTGGCCAGGGCGGGACTAGCAGAGTGGGTGAAAGTGCTGGTGAATGCCCCATTGACCCAAGGCATAATGCCAATCATATTTAAGTAGGCCATAGTAAGACCACTATTAAAGAAATCAGCACTGGATCCCACTCAATTAAGCAACTACAGGCCAGTGTCAAATCTCTTTCTGGGCAAGGTTCTAAGAAGGTGATGGCCTCACAACTCCAAAGTTTCTTGAAAGAAACCAATGATCTGAATCCATTTCAACCTGGTTTTAGACATGGTTACAGAACTGAAATGGCATTGGTCGCCTTGGTAGATGATCTACGAAGAGAGCTAGATGGGGGAGTGTGTCCCTGCTGGTTCTCCTGGACCTCTCAGCAGCTTTCGATACCATCGACCATGGTATCCTTCTGGGCTGTCTCTGGGATGGAGTTTGAGGGCTCTGCTTTACAGTAGCTCTAGTCCTTCCTGGAGGGGTGGACCCAAATGGTGGATCTGGGGGACTCCTGTTTGACTCCCTGGTCAGTGGCTTCAATTCTCTCCCCTATGCTATTCAACATTTACATGAAACTCCTGGGAGAGATCATCCAGACTTTTGGAGTTCGATGTCAAATTTATGCAGATGGCATCCAACTCTTTTACACCTTTGTATCTGCCATGTAATTGTACAGTACTGGCTCACCAAAAAGATACGAGTTAAAGAAAGGGACTGGGGAGAGAAATGGTGGGTGCATAAACTTGTGCCATTTGAAGCAAGACAAGAGAGTAAAAGGTCAACACTGCAAGTCTTGAGTTTCCTTGTTGAACAAGTACAGGCAGTTCAAGAACTGGGTGAAAGCATCTTTCCCCACTACCAAATGAGACTTCCACAAGTACCACCAGCAGCAAAGGTCTTGAAAGAACTCCTCTTAAGTCATGTGTGGATCAGATATGACATTGTGGTATGCAAGCCGTGGGCACAATAGGAGCAAGTGTGCCAGTTAATGGTATAATTTAGCTGATTGTCTGTTGACCAACACATACTTTGTCGCCCCTTCCTCCAGCTCTGGGTTGCCATATCACACATTGCCTCGGGGGCCTTGAGAGGTGATAAATTATAAAGCAAAGTTTTATCTGAGTTGTTGTTGTTCTTGGTTGGCGGTTCAAATCCAGAGAGCAGGGTGAGCTCCTGCTGTTAGCCCCAGCTTCTGCCAACCTAGCAGTTTGAAAACATGCTAATGTGAGTAGATCAGTAGGTACTGCTCCAGTGAGAAGGTAACAGCGCTCCATGCAATCATGCCGGCCACATGACCTTGGAGGTGTCTACGGACAACGCCGGCTCTTCAGCTTAGAAATAGAGATGAGCACCAACCCCTAGAGTCGGACATGACTGGACTTAAAGTCAGGGGAAAACCTTTTACTATATATGTTTTAGAGTTATATGTAATTAGAGATCCATGATGGAGATGAGTTGGACATGACTAGACTTAATGTCAAGGGGAAACCTTTACCTTGTTGTTGTTATTGTTGTGTGCCTTCAAATCATGTCTGACTTATGAATTTATCACAGGGTTTTCCTGGAAAGATTTGCTCGGGGGGGGGGGGGGAACGGGGAGGGCATAATGATTTTACCAATGACAATACTGTGAGAAACGTCATATTTTGAAGTCAGCAATATTCCAGAATACTATACTTTATATGAAATGAGGTAATAACATTGTATGGTGTAATAACACATTATAAATCATAATGTGAAAAAAGTCTTCATAAACCTAGGTAAGAAAGCTGAGGGGCAGATATAGCAAAAGGTGTGTTGTGGATGCTGATGACTGACGTGTGTCAAATTCACATGGTGTATTTGCTTTTCCAGAGATGCCTGTGCATTCTAGTTGTATGTCTTTCTCCCATATTAATAGCTTGCTGTCGTAAGGTGTGTATATGTGCATGTTAGTGAAAGAATTTAAGGGACATGCAATGAGGAAGCTGTGCCCTGGAATGCCATTCAGGTTCTTCCACTGCAAAAACTGTGGTTTGACCGGCTTTGATTGCAGCCAATAGCAACATTGGCTTAAGCAGATTTAAAACACTGAGACAGCGTGGAAGAAGTCAGGTATTTTGAAGTGAATTGCATCTCCCTTGAGAAGCAGTTTAAGCCTTTATGTTTACCAGGTGTTCTGTGTGGCAGGGAAAGGGGTGGGGTGTGGAAAGTGCTTGGTAGATTCGAAGGAACCTGAGATGGGATACCTTCTCAAACTGTACTTACCTGTTTCCTCGGTGGGAGGAGGGGCCCAGGAACTGAGCAGAAGCAAAGCACGGTTTCTAATTCTGAAAGCAGACCTGCCTACTTGTCAACAGTGTGCAAAGTTCCTAGACAGGGAAGTTACATAATGGGAGCTCTTTCGCTCTGAGGACCGAAGCTGTGCTTCTTGGTTTTACTTTTCTTCCCAAACGGCATCTTGGATGTGCCATGATCTTGGTCAGATTATATAGCAGAGGTCTTTGGCATTTTTGATTAGATTCCACCTGTACAGCCTGGAAACTGCTTCAAAGCCATGTAAGCTTGAAAAAAGAGCCCATTGGCACATCAGGAAGTTCAGAATAATAGCACAGGTGGAAAGGCTGCTTTAGCCCTGAAGTTAACTCTGCTACTTTGACCTGGTGAGGTGTTCAGTTTCCACACTGTCAATATGAAGTTGCCTACCATTTCGAACTGCAAATGTATGAGTTTGCTCCCTTCTCATGCAGAGGATGGCAGGTAAATAATACAATCTGAGAGAACTGGTTCAAAATATTGGGTATGAGATGTCTTTTAGTTTAAAATCTAGGAACCAGATTTTCATTGCAATGCAAATTTGTTTATTTTCTGTGTTTATAAGGTAGCTGTAAAACTCTTCTCTAGGCACTACATAGTAGATGAATGTATTTATTCTACTTTTCAGTCAACCCAAAATTTCTCTGTCTGTCTTTCCATCTCTCGCCATCGAAGATGTTCATTCTTGACTAGTTCATCTTCATGGGTAGAGATGAATAATTCTTCACGCTGCAGGAGAAAAGTAATATTCCACTATATAGTAGTGATAATCTTGAACCTTTCCCTTGCCTGTAATCATCCCAAAGTGTGGTGAAGATGTGGAAAAAAAGATGTCTGGAGCCTAATTTATATACAGAAATCATGTATTTTTATTTATTTTTATTTTGTGTCATTTATATCTTGCCTTTTTCCTAATAAGAAGCATAAGGTGACTCATAATATAAATTGTTTTGCCAGTTCCTTCCTCTAAAATGTAGACTATAGTACCAAGTATGTGCTGGCAGACTCCCATCCAAGTGTCACTTAAGGTTGGCGCTTCTTCGCTTCTGAGGTTAAATGGGATTGGTTGCCTTTAGGGTAGTTAGGCCCCTCCAGCGGTGTTACAAATGAAGTATTAATTGTAGCCTTAATCATTTGGCTGTCTGTAATTACTATGAATGAATATGATTAGAATGGGAGTCAAGATTGAGGAGTTGACAAAAGAACTTTGATGTTTCTCTAACTGTATAATTGCCAATCACCTACAGGGATGAGATTTAGAACCTGTGCTCTGCAGAAAAGCTGTTTGTGTGTATGATAGATAGATAGATAGATAGATAGATAGATAGATAGATAGATAGATAGATAGGTAGGTCGATAGATAGATAGATAGATAGATAGATAGATAGATAGATAGATAGATAGATAGATAGATAGATAGATAGATTTGGTATGCATTCTGTGATCCTCCATGTGAGGAAAAGTGCTTTCTTGCATTTCTGACTAAAAGTGGTCAGTGCATAAAGGAAGCTATACTCTATAGCCATGTCCTTGGAATTTCTAACTTAGCAGTTGGGGAATGCACAATAGTACATAAAAAACCCCAAGATTATAACCGGACTGATTGATAACTGGCAAATACAGGGAGAAAACGTGGAGGCAGTGAAAGACTTTGGATATCTAGATGCGAAAATTACTGCAGACACAGACTGCAACCAGGAAATCAGAAGACATTTCTTCTCAGGAGGAGAGCAATGTCCAATCTCGATAAAATAGTGAAGAGTAGAGACATCACACTGGCAACAAAGATCAGCATAGTTAAAGCAATGGCATTCCCCGTAGTAACCTGTGGATGTAAGAGCTGGACCATAGAAGGCTGAGCGAAGGAAGATAGATGCTTTTGAACTGTGGTGCTGGAGGAAAATTCTGAGAGTGCCTTGGACTGCAAGTAGATCAACCAGTCCATACTCCAGGAAATAATGCCCGACTGCTCACTGAAGGGAAGGATATTAGAGGCAAAGATGAACTACTTTGGCCACATAATGAGAAAACAAGAAAGCTTGGAGAATGATGCTGGGGGAAATGGAAGGAAAAAGGAAGAGGGGCTGACCAAAGGCACGGTGGATGGATGGTATCCTAGCTTGTCTTTGAAGGAACTGGGGGTGGTGACAGCCAACAGGGAGCTCTGGCATGGGCTAGTCATGAGGTCACAAAGAGTCAGAAGCAACTGAACAAATAAACCACAATAAAACAAACAATAGTATAGATGATGACAAAATACTTTATGTCCTGTGAGATCTTCTCAGAAAAAATAAATCTTAAAGCCTGTTGTTCACATCTTCATCATTTGACTTAGTCCTAGCTTTCTTGCCTTCAAGGAGGAATTGGGATGTATCTGAACATCATCTCAATTCTTTCAATGGAGATAGCTGAAAGTAGTATTGCCAGTTTCCCAACAATGGAAGGAGGAAATGCCCCAGTATTAATTATAAGGGAGGGTTGTCAAAAATCTTGCTAGCCAAATGGTTTCTCTTCTTGATAGTATATTTATAGAAATAACAATATTATATAAGACTTACCTTCTGCAGTCTTTCCTGACTAGCAGGCAGTGCCAAATAAATATAGGGTTGGATCCAACATTAATCATGCTCAAAGTATATCCATGGGAAACACTTGACATGTTGAACATGATTAACATAAGTCTCATTGACTTCATCTGAATAACTGGTTCTAGTCTAAGGTCAGGAGCCATCTCATAGCTGACCAATATGTGTAACCTTCCTCATTCAGATTCCAGAATAATTAATGTTATCCATCAACTTGACAAGTGTCTGGGAATGAAATGGTACTCCTATTGCATCCCCAATTACAGATATCCACGCAGAGAGTATAGAAATTAGCAAGGATAGGTATTCTTTTTTTTTATGTCAGGAGCGACTTGAGAAACTTCAAGTCGCTTCTGGTGTGAGAAAATTGGCCATCTGCAAGGACATTGCCCAGGGGATGCTCTGATGTTTTACCATCCTGCAGGAGGCTTCTCTCATGTCCCTGCATGAGAAGCTGGAGCTGACAGATGGGAGCTCCCCCCGCTCTCCCGATTCAAACTGCCAACCTTTCAGTCAGCAGTCCTGCTGGCACGGGTTTAACTCATTGCCCCATTGGGGGCTGCTAGGTATTCAATTTACCACATGGAAGTTAGGTATGTATGAAGACCTCTGCTCACAGATATTCATATTTTTGTGTGAATCTTCTAGGACAGAACCATGTTATACATGTGATATCAGAAGTATGACTTTTCAGTGCAGTCTGCTTTCTCATATTCTGTTTAGTTTGAATAACTTAAGATATGAATTAAGGCATGTGCTATATAAAAATGGCAAATTACCAGTGCTTCTGACTTTATGTATGATATGGTATGCCACAATGTCAAATCAGCAAGGGATATTTCTATAGTGGTTCTGTTAGCTATTAATACACTAATGCCAATGACTCTAAACACCAAGCCCTAAACGTGCAATGGGGGTGCACCAAGGAGTCTTGCTTTGCTGCAATATTGTGACACTTGTTTATGTTTAGAAAAATGCTTTGTCTTGTAAATACTACCAGGTGGCTATGCCAAAAACATCCTGGATGTTTAATATAGTCAGCACAGCAAAAATGACCAGCTCATAAAAAATGACAGTGGCCCATAGTTAAAACATCAGAAACGAAAAATATATTTGCAAGTAAAAACTCTGGAATCTGTATGTGAATTGACCAGATTTACTGAGAAATCATTCAACATGAAGGAAAAATAAAAGCACTCTTTATTTTAATATGCTTCTTATAACAGAAAAAACAAGGGTGTTGTTTTTCAGAAGAGGGTAATAATTTAAGTTTATGAGTTACGGTATATGTCAATCCGAAATTAATTTCCAAAGAGGCAGCCCTCTTGAAATTAAGCACTCTTTATTTCTTTGAGCTAAGAGATGCTCCAAAGCTTGTTTTCCTTTTAAATGAGTGTATTAAAGGCATACCATATCTTGTAATTTATTTACAAAAGCATATTGGAAGCAAATGGAGTGCTATATAATTGGGAGCAAATCTGCTAATGCTGCATCTAGGATTCATTAAGAGACTTTCGATTTCTATGCTTGATCGAATCACTGTCCTAAGCTCTGTTTGTTGTCTCTTAGGTCCTTATTCTATTCAAAGCTACTTTCATACTTTCTCATTATCTCATCCCTTATTTATTGCTGATTTTATAATGAAACTCAAGATAGTATTGATGCAGTTTTGAGGGGCTCAAATTACCCACAGAAGCACTTTCTCTCAAGTTATTCTCCATGCATTATTATCTTCAGAAGGACATCTTTCTTTGAGTAGCATCAGCAGGAGAAATATGTGCTTTATTTTTTCTTACTGATGAATTTTTATGCCTCGGCTTTTATAATTGTATGATTTCTGCCTTGACTTGACCCTGTAAACTTAATAAGATCTTGGCATCCCTTATAAATGAAGGGTAGTTTATAATTTAAATAAATAAATGGTTTTCCATCCAGTCATTTTCTAAGATCCAGACCTTTTAAGATGCAGAAAGGTTGCTGTGCCATATTATATGACTTCAGATTACGTATTTAATTCTCTGTGGTTTTATATTTTTACATTCTAGGTTATTCAGTCCAAATACTGAATAATAGGAAAAGCTTTAGTTCATTAAATATAAACATTTATTAACCTAAATGATTTTTTTTATCGTGTCAGGAGTGACTTGAGAAACTACAAGTCGCTTCTGGTATGAGAGAATTGGTCGTCTGCAAGGACATTGTCAAGGGGGCGCTCGGATGATTTGAGTTTTTTTTATCATCCTTGTGGGAGGCTTCTCTCATGTCCCCGCATGAGGAGCTGGATAGAGGGAGCTCATTCACCTCTCCCCGGATTCGAACCTGCGACCTGTCAGTCTTCTGTCCTGCCGGCACAGGGGTTTAACCCACTGCGCAACTGGGGGCTCCATCTAAATGATTAGATTGCTGTTTTATTTATTTTTTAATACATAGTAACCCATAAGGTACAGATAACCAGTTTCACAGTAATATTATGCCTAATGTCCTTTGGCTGAAATCCCCATACTTTATGGCAGTGTTTCTCAAACTCTGCTCCTCCAGATGTTTTGGGCTTCAGCTCCCACAATTCTGAACAGCTGGTAAACTGGCTGGATTTCTAGGAGCTGAAGTCCAAAACAACTGGAGGAGCACAGTTTGAGAAACACTGCTTTATGGGAATTCTTTAGCTATCTATAAAATAGTTTCCCCTGATCAACTTGATTTATAGCTCATCAATAGTGTTCTGTGGCTATAGTAAAAGATATATTTGGGGGATAATAGGAAACAGTTTCTCTGAGATACATTTATTAGTTACATGTTCTCGAAATACATAAACTTTTTATCACCAAGTAGAATTTTTGGTAGAATCTCTGGTTACGCAGCAGGTTAAACCGCTGAACTGCTGAACTTGCTGATCAAAAGGTTGCCAGTTCTAATCCGGGAAGCAGGATTAGAATCCCGCTGTTAAGACCAGCTTCTGCCAGCCTAGCAGTTCGAAAACATGCAGATATGAGTACAGTCATGCCGGCCACATGACCTTGGAGGTGTCTACGGACAACACCAGGAGATGAGCACCACCCTCCAGAATTAGATACAACTAGACTTTATGCCAGGGGAAACCTTTACCTTTACCTTTTAGCATTTTTGGTATTCCAGGAATCATTTTATTAGAAGTCAATTCACTCAAGTTTGCTTAACTGGTTGGTTTAACAAATCAGATTTTCTTTTACATTATCCTTATATACCAGGAATTTGTCAAAATGAAAAAGGATCCTGCTTTATTCCTTATCAAAGATGCATGGAAAGTGTGTCAGACCTTTTCTGCTTGCACTCATAACTTTATACTATGTTTAGCATTATGTAGCTTAGTAGTCATACTTTGTGAATTAGGTCAATGTTAGTCAGAAACATTCAAAATGTTTCTGGTGTATGCTGGTAACTACCAGCAAAGGGAATATTTTTTTGAGTATGTGAGCATTGTCAACATCTTATACGCACTGCTTAATTCTAATAGAATATGTAATCTTTATACATCCTTTGCAAAAATAGGTGTGTAAAGATATTTCTTTTGCAAGATAATAAATAACAAAGAACATGTTTAGTAGTTAGTACCTAAGACAGAGTCAACATGTGATCTGAGATCTTTTAAACAGAGGTACTATTGGCTTGGAACCCCCGGTGGCACAGCAGGTTAAACCGCTGAGCTGCTGAACTTGCTGACCAAAAAGCCAGCAATTCAGATCCGGGGAGCGGGCTGAGCTCCCGCTGTTAGGTCCAGCTTCTGCCAACCTAGCCATTTAAAAACATGCAAACGTGAGTAGATCAATAGGTACCGGTTCTGTGGGAAGGCAACGGTGCTCCATGGGGTCATGCTGGCCACGTGACCTTGGAGGTGTCTACGGACAACACTGACTCTTTGGCTTAGAAATAGAGATGAGTACCGGCCCCCAGAATCAGACACGACTAGCCTTAATGTCAAGGGCAAACTTTCACTTTACCTTACTATTGGCTTGGTGACCTGTATCGGGGGTGGGAGTCCTATTTTGCCTTCGCCAAAAGGGGGGTGCGACTATTATGCGGTGGCAACTATTGTGCGATGAAATATGGTATTTAGCAATAACTAGTTAACAATATTTAACAATAGCTGCTACAGAATGAATAGCTGTTCCCCCTCTCCTTCTCCATAGTAGGCTAGTAGAATGAAGGCACTGGAGAACCAAGGCTTTTTGTATATAAAGAGTGTGAGCTGTATTCATTTCCGCTACTCAATTAATTATTGGTACACAAAGAGGTCTGTAATTCAAAGTCTACATTTTTTGCATCAGGTAGAAGTTGGTGAATCTCCCACCCCCATATTGCTTTTCTTCACATACTATTTTGTATTTATCCTAAGACTAGGGCCCCTTTAGCAACCCAGTGGAGAAACTGCTTGACCTGAAGACAGCTGTCGAAGAAGGATTGCAGCATTGTTGTACAACTGATGTCAGTGGAGAGGGCACAGCTGTTCACAGTAGTGAAAGTGGCTTGGGGTTTTTTATTTCAAGAATTGGGGAGGGGGCAAAATTGTAGTGACCTTGGATTCCAATAGCTATATGTAAGAAAGACTGGCTTCGGAGTATGGCTTACAGCTAATGCAAAGTTTCTTCACCTATGATCCTTTTACATTGGTTGATTGTTCAAATTGAAAGATTTCTGTCACAATTAATTTCATGTGTCATTTTCATTTAAAGATACCAGTTGACTATTGTGAAACACAGACTGCTAATGCTAACGCGCCATCAGGGACTCTTCAGTTTAACAGGAGGATTTGTTACTGCCATTTATACAGTGTCTGAATTTAGAAAAAAAAATGATCTACTATGAATGTGATCAAATGCTACCTAATTTTTGCTTTCTGCTTTCCAGAAACTAACAAAACAGGAATTTTGGCAGCTTGTGCAGCAAAGCTATGGTTCTGAGCTGGGTTTGAACACAGAAGAGATGGAAAACATTTACTTGGCATCTGAGGAGAATGAACTATCAAGGTAAGAAGATAATGTAAATTCCTACCATTTACTGGTGGCCAATTTTATATGAATTATTTGAATAGTTGCCTATAAGACTTTAGTTTGGGTGGTTTGTAGATGATAGTTGTTTTCTTTGCAAGATCATATTCCTCACAAAGGTAAGAATGAGGTACAACTTCTCCTACCGACATATCCAAACACATAATTGTTCATGAGTTAATAGATTTACCACTTGCTTATGCAGAAAAACTTGTACCCGTAGTGGCATTGGTAGCATTCCTTGCTCAGCCAGTAAAGATTAAATGTTCCTTATTTGGTATGTCTTACCCAAACACATTCAAAAGTATGTATGGCATGGTTGTGTTGCTACTGCTAGGCAAACCAGGCACATAACTGAGTGTTGCATGGAATTAAGAACACTTAAAATGCTTTCAAGGTTGTTACAGGTGGAGAAGCTTTTTTTTGCTAGTTTGGAATTAGAAAAGCCAGTTGATAAACATGCAGTGAAAGATGTTTTCTCAGTCTAGAAATCCACTGCATTTTGAAGATACTCTATGTCCTTGTCAAAGGTCGTATCATTTTCAGTTTTGGGGAGACTTCCTAATATCAGATGTTATGATGGTTAGTCTTATGAGTTTTTTTTAATCTACCCTTTGGTCATGTTTGCATGTGAAGAAAAGTTTACCTTTTCACTGCTTACTGCCAACGGAAGCAGATAATGTTCCCAGGTTCATTGAGCAGTAAGAGATGTGTTAGATCATCATTATTTGAATGGAAAAGACTATGTTGAAATGAGTGGGCATGGTTTCATCTCCTACCAGTGTTATATTCTGGTGTGGTCATCACATAATTGCTTATGTTACGTTATGCATAATTGCTAGCACACACCCTGTCCATCTTCTGCAAAGATTTAAAGACATGGCTGTTCTGCTTTGCCTTTGACTAGACAATCCCCAAGATAGCTTGGCCCCAACTAGGACCCAAAATCTTGTCCTTATTTATTTATTTATTTATTTATTTATTTACTTTGCTTATATACCGCTGTATCTCAAGCCCGAAGGCGACTCACGGCAGTTCACAAACAGTAAAAACAGTAGAAACAGCAGTGGTTCCATACAACATACAACATATAACAATTGTCCTTGCACTTTACTATTGCTCTGCACTTAAATTTACAATGCTCTATTCTTATACTGCCCTCTATCTCCACTGTTGCCATATGATCTATGCACTTTATCCATCACAATTGTTTTTGCACCAGTCCACCCACCCATACCTAGAAAATGATTGTTATTGCAGAGCTCATTGGTTGTTGGTTGATATTTGCTTTTATATTTGTGTTATAATACTGTTGTTGTTTTTTCTATTTTATGTTACCATTATATATTTTAATGTGCTATATTTTAATCATGTTGTTCAGGCTTGTCCCCATGTAAGCTGCCCTGAGTCCCTTTGGGGAGATGAAGGCAGGGTACTAAAATAAAGTTGTTGTTGTTGTTGTTGTTGTTGTTGTTGTAATAGTAGTAGTAGTATTCTTGCACAGCTAGTAGGGAGAGTCATGAGGTCCCATACTGTTTCAAGCTTGAACAACATTAGTCTTTTATCGCATTTGCCTTACACTGGAAACTCTAACAAGCTCTTCAAAATACCAGATGTTTTTCAAAAAATATGTAGCTTTTATTCCACATCATCATCATCATTTGGATGTTGATCTCTTTTTAATTATTGCCCCCCAGGCCTGGAAACACCTATGACCACCACACCACACAAGAGTCCAGGAATATAATCAAACACATAAAAAGCATATTTAAAAAGCAGGAATAAGAAAGGAAGATATATAATCCAAAAAGGTTTAGCAACAGGTGATAACCAAACAATAATCCAAATGTCTCATAAAGTTCCAGAGGTGACAAAGTCCAAGAACAGCCAGGAATCACAGATACAGTATAAGTTCACAAGCAAAAAGGTATAAGTAGTAAAAAATTGAACAGGAGTACATGAACAGGAACATAAGAAACTTCCAGGATATTAAAATCTAAGCCTTGACTTGATCCAAGAACAAGAAAACTCAGGCTTAGCTTCACTCTAACGCAGTGTTGCCTTAAGGTAAACAACTTGTTGTTTAGTAGGTATCCATGAAAGCATTACATCACCCGTGAATTTTCTCCACAACTTTCTCACATAATCTCTCAAGCTGGCGTAATCTATTTTTGGCTCTGATTTATAAACAAAGACTTTTGTTGATCTTTGTTCATCGTAGAAACAGGTGGTTTCTCCTGGGAACACTCCATATCACCCAGATCTTCACTCAATTCCTTATCTGCTGTTGCTATTTCTGATTCCTCAGACTGGCCTTGAGGCCCTGCATTTTCTGAGCCAGTTTTCTCACAGAGAGAAACATCATTTCCAAGACTGGAGAGCCCATCACTTTGTGCCACAGGAAAGCCCACAATCCTTTCTAAATCATCAGTTAAACCATCAGCGTCCGGCTGATGTACAACATTAATTACTTTTGTTGCATGTTATATGGTTTGTGTGGTAAAATGGACTATGAAATATTTAAATAATAAATGTTCTCTTGATAGTTATGAGGGGGAAAATTGTCTTAATTGTTTTTGTAAGATAGGTTTGCAGACGTGATCAAAACACGTCTAGCTCCAGCAGACAAGAGTCCTTTATCTCACCCTGGTCATTCCACAGATATATAAACACTTTTGCCTAGTTCCAACAGACCTCACTACCTCTGAGGATGCTTGCCATAGATGCAGGCAAAATGTCAGAAGAGAATGCCTATAGACCATGGCCATATTGTCCAAAAAAAACCTACAACAACCCAGTGATTTTGGCCATGAAAGCCTTCGACAATACAGTGATCAAAACATTTTACTTAAGCAGCAAAATTGAAATGCTCTTCTTTATGTAACACAGACTGGTTTTCTTTCTCTTTGACAAAGTCTGAAAAGTTGGCTTTTCCTCAGAAATATAGAAAGAGATATGCAATCACCTGATATTAGAATGACCAGATGTTATAGCAGACCATGCTGTGCTAAGAGTTTTGAAATTCCAAAATTTTGTCATTGATGTTAATGAGATAGATGTAAGTTAACCATCGGGCTGTTTCTGTCTCTGGCAGGTCTAGCCTTTGCGATGAATCTGGGGAGAAGGAGACATCTAAAGCAGATGGCGTAATCCAAGACAGCATTGCTCAGATACTTGAAGCTGAAACAGAATCGCTTAAGGAAAACACATTGAGAGAGGTAAGCTGCTCAACTTCTTTCCTGCTATAGTGGAACACATACCTGATGCTGTATTCTTTGTGGGCTTTATTTTTGAAATGGGAAGCCTCTTTTGACATTACCACTTCTAAAACCTGCAAAATACATTTCAATGTTCGTGATTTTATTGTTGAACTGACTGTGTTGTGTAGCTTAGTGTTACCTTCTTATGCTTTGTGAGCTGAAGCCAACAACAACATCTTAGTGAAAGCCAATGAGCAAATCTGGGATTACTTTGAGATCTGTGCAGACACCCATCACAGCCTCAACTCTCTGTGATATTTAACTTTATTTTTGTAGTCGGTCTTTGATAGTTTGTTTAAAAAAAGGTTGTGTAAGCATTGCCCCATGATGGTGCAGCAGGTTAAACCACTGAGCTGCTGAACTTGCTGACCAAAAGGTTGAAAATTATAAAACAAAGTTTTATCTGAGTTATTGTTGTTCTTGGTTGGCGGTTTGAATCCAGGGAGTGGGGTGAGTTCCTGCTGTTAGGCCTAGCTTCTGCCAACCTAGCTGTTCGAAAACATGCAAAGCGTGAGTAGATCAATAGGTACCGCTTCTGCGGGAAGGTAACAACATTCCATGGAGTCATGCTGGCCACATGACCTTGGAGGTGTCTATGGACAATGCTGGCTCTTTGACTTAGAAATTGAGATGAGTACCACCACCACCACAAAACACATTAGGGGAAACCTTTACCTTAAGCATTGCAAAAATACACTAGTACAGTGGTTCTCAACCAGTGGATCCCCAGATGTTTTGGCCTTCAACACCCAGAAATCCCAACAGCTGGGAACCTGGCTGGGATTTCTGGGAGTTGTAGGCTAAAACACCTGGGGACCCACAGGTTGAGAAGCACTGCACCAATATATTCTTCTGTCTATCAGAAGGGCCTCAATGTTCTGATAAATCAGAAGGGACAAATTATTGAGAGTGATGGCTGCATTATGCCCAACCTAATCCATTGGGAGTGTTACTGGATCTGGTGCTGCTATGGCCAATTCCTTTGAAAACAAGGCATATGGAAAGCTTTGCTTTATAATGCTTTAGTATTTATGGGAGAATGATATGAATTGCATTCTGATTTATGTGATTTTTGAAAGTGTTAATTGTAGAACAGCTTTCTAGGAGTGTTACATGACTACCATGAAAAGGCATACTTTCGAATCTTCCATTCTGTATCTATTCAGAAACAAGTCCATCTGGTTTAAATGAAACTACTTCTATAATTGGTGGATTTTAGGATTTCAGAGGTTTAAATACTAGTTTACTGTTGTTACATTTCAGCAGAGTGGGCTTGGCTAGCTCTTTATAGACTGAAATTAATTCTGTTCATCCACTTTCTATAGCGTATCAGGTTTTGTAAACAAATGCTTGCTGATATTATTTACAGGAGAAATATCTTTCATAGCTTACCAAGTTAAAGGAAGGCACAGAAGCAGAAGAATGTCTTCACGATCTGAGGAAACTAAAGTTTTATATTCTAATTATTGTGAGCATATGTGCAATTTAAGCTGAGGTTTGAAAGTGCTTGACATGAAAGCATATTTCTGCTTAACAGATTCCAGGGTGCTGATTCCGCCAGTGCTACATCATGTCCCTATCTGCTTTTACTCCCACATTTAGTATGAAATGCCTTTTTCTTGTCATTTTATACTGTTGAAGCTTCTATCGTTACTGATCTGCAGAACTCCCATTATCTTAAAAAATATAGGGACATTCTGTTCAGGGCTTCAATTTAGAATTTCCTAAATCTCAAGTGCTATTCAAAATATGGCAACAACTTAACTTTGCTTCAGCATCGTTTGTAATAAACAGGATTTTATATAGCACTTCCCCCCATATGTTTTCCCAAGCTGTTTTACATGTAAGGTCTCAGTAACCCTTAAAAAGTAGTGTAGACAAATATAATTGCCACTCCATAGTGAGTTGAACCTTTGCCACCTGGCAGATGGGTTTTGAAATCCTTGTTAATGTTGTTGTCATGTGCCTTCAAGACATTTCCAGCTTATGCAATCATAAGGCAAACCTATTGAGTTTTCATGGCAAGATTTTTTTCAGAGAAGGTTTGCCTTTGCTTTCTCCTGAAGCTGAGAGCATGTGATTTATCCAAGGACAGCAAGTGGGTTTCTATGGCTAAGTGTGAATTTGAACCCAGGTTTCAATAGTCATAGCCTAACACATGGAGCCCCCGGTGGAGCAGTGGGTTAAACCCCTGTGCCGGCAGGACTGAAGACTCCGGGGAGAGTGCAGATGAGCTCCCTCTATCAGCTCCAGCTACTCATGTGGGGGCATGAGAGAAGCCTCCCACAAGGATGATAAAACATCAAAACATCCGGCCGTCCCCTGGGCAATGTCCTTGCAGACGGCCAATTCTCTGACACCAGAGAATTGGCCATCACCACGTATCAGGAGCAGTTTCTCAAGACGCTCCTGATACGACCAAAAAAAAAAAGCCTAACACATCGGGCCAAATTTTAATAGCTGTCCAGCAGTGTAATAAGGTTTATAATTTGTACAGGTTGAATAAGTCTTGTCTGAAATGATTGGAAAATGTTTTGGCTTTCAGATTTTGTGTGTGTTTAGAATACTTGTGTTTGCTTATACTCACATCATGAGATCTCTTTAGAATTCTCAACCTAGAGTTGAGTATATATGGTTTTTAATTTCTTTTTAGTCTTGCTAACAGGCATTCAAGGTGGCCGACAAGTACAGGTTGAATATACCTTATCTGAAATGCTTTGGACCAGAAGTGTTTTAAATTATGGATTTTTGAATGCTTGCATATAAATAGAAATTTTGGAGATGGAACAAAAGCTATACACAAAATATATTTGCACTTCATATACACCTTATACACTTGGCCTGAAGGTAATTTTATACACAATATTTTCATTTTTTTATACATGAAACAAAATTTATTTACTTTGGATCTTCAGAAAGCAAAGGTGTCACTATGAGCCCTTCCACTCAGCTCAATATCCCAGAATATCAAGGCAAAAAATCCCACATTATCTGAGTGTGGGCTCAGATAACCCAGTTCAAAGCAGATATTGTGGGATTTTCTGCCTTGATATTCTAGGATATAGGGCTGTGTGGAAAGGCCCTATCTTAGTCATCTATCGGACAATTTTGGAATATTTTGGAGTTTGGAATTCTGGATAAGGGATGCTCAGCCTATATTATCATTTCAATACTGTTTGGATTAACTTGGCTGTTTTAAGTCTGGGAAAAGATATGAAAACTGAGGGCCCTTCCACACAGCCCTATATCCTTGAATATAAGGCAGAAAACTCCACAATATCTGCTTTGAACTGGGTTATCTTGAGTCCACATTCAGATAACATGGGATTTCCTGCCTTGATATTCTGGGATATAGATCTGTGTGGAAGGGCCCTGAGAATGGACCCAGAGATTGGATTTTTCTCTGCTACTAACCTGTTAACATATTTCTCATAGCTATTGGGAAGACGGATTTATTTATTTACAGTATTTATACCCCACCCTTCTCGCCCCGAATACACAGAATACACACATATGGCAAACATCAAATGCTGATTATACAGTATAATAGAGACAGACAACACAAACAGACAACATCCATATTAAACCAACTGTTGAGGGTTCCAATCCAGACCAAGATCTCTGTACAGCCATGTATGGGGAATTGGATCTCTATTTACTGTCAAGGGATATGAGTCCCATCAATAAAAGGACTGGATTGATGCTCTGCTGTGTACCATCTGCTGCATCATTTACTAGCAAGAAAACTTATCTTATAATAGTAACATCTATCCAGGTCTCTTGGGGAGACCTGGAACTATACATAGTCCTTGAACAGAACACTCTCTGTTTAGTTCTGGTCCAGTTCCAGTTTGTGAGCCATTGGCTGCTGATCCTTGGTGAGTTTCCAGGAAAAAAAGAAATAATCGTAGCTAATGGACAAAAATATGGCACCTGTCCCTGACACACTGAAAATTAAAAATACAAAAACAAATTACCAATTCCCATATTAGATAACTTGAGAAGAACTTCTTTTGAAAAATATTGGGGTGGGGTGGGAAAAAAGCTTGTCATAGTTTTTAGCTTTTTTGGGTTGCTGTGAGTTTTCCGGGCTGTATGGCCATGTTCCAGAAGCATTATCTCCTGACATTTCACCTGCATCTGTGGCAGGCATCCTCAGAGGTTGCGAGGTCTGTTGGAAACCAGGAAAATGGGATTTATATATCTGTGGAATGTCCAGGTGGAAGAAAGAATTCTTGTCTGTTTAAGGTAGATGTGAATGTTTCAATTGGCCATCTTGATTAGCATTTAATGTCCTAGCAGTTTCAAGGTCTGGCTTCTTACTGCTGGGGGAATCCTTTGTTAGGAGATAATTAGCTGTCCCTGATTGTTTCTTGTCTGAATTCCCCTGTTTTTAAGTGTTGTTCTTTATTTACTGTTATGATTTCAGAGTTTTTTAAAATACTGGTAGCCAGATTTTGTTCATTTTCATGGTTTCCTCCTTTCTGTTGAAATTGTCCACATGCTTTTGGATTTCAATGGCTTCTCTGTGTAGTCCGACATGGTGGTTGTGAGAGTGGTCCAGCATTTCTGTGTTCACAAATAATATGCTCTGTCCAGGTTGGTTCATCAGGTGCTCTGCTATGGGTGGCTTCTCAGGTTGAAGTAGTCTGCAGTGCCTTTTCGCTCTTTTGTTTGCAAATATATAACAGGAAAAGATGGGGATCAATAAAAAAAACAGGAAGTGTGCAAGCCCCATTAAATGAAAGAAAACTGCACAGTGCTGTTGTTTGTGGATGGTATTCTTACATATGGAAATCTATGTATGGGAGAAGGTTTTATAGGCAGTGTACATTTTTAAAGGAAACGGCAACAAAGCACAGAATACTGCACACCTAAAACATGTTTCTTACAGTCTGCTACAGGTAAAGCATGTTTTGACCAAATAAATGCTCATGAGTTCATTCCTGTGCGTTAACGTGCTCTTTGTTTGTCTGTTTCCTTTCCTTCTTCTTGGAAAGATACGAGACTATGAATTTTCATGGTGCAAGATAATAATGAGCAACCACAAAGATTTTTGATGTTACAGCTGCTCTTTATGGCTCTTTTGTAGACAGTAGATCCAGAGGACTCTCCCTATGATAAGCTGGAGAAGAAGAATTCTCAGTTGTCTTCAGAAAGGAAAGCAGCTGAGGTAGCGCAACGGAAATGTTCAGTACAATCCTTCGATATAATTGAGAATTTCTCTCAGGAGAAGAGCAGTGCCTCAGAAAGTGATGGAGAAGGTAAGTGGGCTCTGTTTCATAAATACAATCTTCAAAACATGGCTCTGAAAATACCTAAAGCCAAAATTATAATGACCAAGAGCAAAATAAATCCTTAGCTCAGGAGTCATACTATGCCAGCTAAAAGGAAAGTGAATGTCACAGCTGAATGGAGCATTTTTGTTGTTGTGTGCCTTCAAGTTATTTCATGTCACAACCTAAAGTGAACCTATTCTTGAGTTTTCTTGGCAAGATACGTTTGGAGAGGGATTGACTTCCTCTGAGGCTGAGAAAATGTGACTTTCCCAAGTTCACCCAAAGGGTTTCCATGGCTGAGTGGCAATTTACATCCCTGTCTCCAGAGTCCTAGCTCAACCACAATACCGCACTAACTCTGTGTGTGGTGGAATGAAAATCATGCATAATTCATATCTTTACCAATCCACACACTATCTTGCTAGAGAAAGGATATGCCACGCAGATGATCAGTAAAGAATAAGGTATTTACTTTTTGTTATGCAGAGCATCATATATACAGTGATGAGAACAGTTGCATTGACTCACACAATTCCTTTGAGAGAGATTCAAAGAGATTCATTGGGTGTCCGTGTCAAGAATCTTCTTCCATCAGCCAAGAAGCAAAACTACAAAAACTGTCTTGGCAAACTCCTTCACAGAAAACTTAAACATGTAACTGTTGCCAAAACTTCCAAGCTCAGCTAGCTTCTGGGCGTAGCCCAACCAATTAGCTTTGTGGTTGGCATTTTTCTGTTAACACAGTCACCAACTGATTTTTACATGTTCCTACATAGTGGGGTTTTAGAAATCACATTTTCCAAGACCCAGTCAAAGGGCTCTTCCACACAGCCATAAACCCAGAATACCAAGGCAGGAAATCCCAAAATATCTGCTTTCAACTGGAATATATGGCAGTGTGGACTCAGATAACCCAGTTCAAAGCAGATATTGTGGGATTTTCTGCCTTGAAATTCTGGGTTATATGGTTGTGAGGAAGCGCCCTAACTGTTCCAGTTCTAGCCATTACACCACACTGGCTCTTTCTTCGTACAACCCGTCTGTTATCATGAGACGAATTATTTTATTTGTGCAAAATAACTACAAAATAAGGTAATGCAGTGTTCTATTCCAGGTAATGTTAATTTAACCTTGTTCAAACTTTGCCATCTCTCCCCAAAGTTTTGTGAGATCCCTTTAAATTTCCACACAGCAGTCTTTCTGCAAGACTGAGCAGTTGCTTGTGATTGATGGGTTAATAGCTATATCTCTAAATTAAAGCCTTCTGTGAAACTTACAACATGTCATTTTGAATGGGGCGGAAATGTTCTAAATAAAAGCTTTTGGAGGCATGTGTATTATTTCATTAGGAACAGTCTGACATTTCAAGTTACAGTATTTTCTTTTTGCTAAGATAAAGATAATCTCAAATTCTTCTGTATAGTATTACTGTTTCAGCAATCATTATTGTACAGATACTGTTACATAAGACCAACATACCAGATGTATTGTAACTCCAATAATCAGTTTTAGAAATAAGGTATTTAAAGAATATTTCCAAATTTTCCTCCCTTGATGAAAAAGCATAACCCAACTGGTTGATTTGCCCCTCTGGAAAAGAAAAGGTCTGGTGCTTTGATTTTTTTTTTATAACCCTCTGTGACAGTAAAAATACTAACACTTTGGTTTGAGAGTTGAACTATGACTTTGGAGACCAGGGTTCAAATACCCACTCAGCCATGGAAATCCACGATCAGTTCAGAAATGATCTGAAAGCACACAACAGCCATCACATAATTATTTCTTATATTTTGAAAAATACTTTTGAGAAATGGAAATTTTTATCTCATTGAAGGCAACTCCACTAATACCAGTATGCACATTCACATGTATGTATGTATGTATGTATGTATGTATGTATGTATGTATGCCATGGTAAATTCAGAAGTGTAGGAGTTCATTTAAGGTGCTTCTGTATTGGACCTTGGGTTGCTGTGAGTTTTCTGGGCTGTATGGCAATGTTCCAGAAGCATTCTCTCTTGACGTTTCGGCCACATCTATGGCAGACATCCTCAGAGGTTGTGAGGTCTGTTGGAAACTAGGTAACTGAGGTTTATGTATCCGTGGAATGTCCAGGATGGGTGAAAGAACTCTCTGCCCCAGAGTGTGGTGGAGGCTCCCTCTTTGGAGGCTTTGAAACAGAGGCTGGATGGCCATCGGTCTGGGGTGCTTTGAATGCAATTTTACTGCTTCTTGGCAGCGAGTTGGACTGAATGGCCCATGACAGTACCATAGCCAGGATTTTGATTCGGGGGAGGGGGGCTGAGTTTGATTGCGGGGGGGGGGGTGAGTGAGAGAGGATCTACCCTAGCAAACCTTTTGTATCATTATCCTAATATATCCCATGCATATGGGATATATTGAGCATGGTGATCAGATCATTATTATACGAATAAGCATAACAGTTTAAATAATAAATGTTATTTATTTACTTTCATTAACATGAGAATTTGGGGGGGGCAAAGCCCCTCAAGCCCCCCCCCCCCCGGCTACGGGCCTGGCCCATGAGGTCTCTTCCAACTCTATGGTTCTATGATTATATTATTCTAATTGGCCAGCTAGATTAGCATTGAATAGCCTTGCAGCTTCAAAGCCTGACTGTTTCCTGCCTATGTGACTCCTTTGTTGGGGGGTGTTAGGTGTTAGTTGCAGGCTTTGAAGCTGCAAGGCTATTCAATGCTAATCAAGCTGTCCAATTGCAACATTCACACTTGCCTCAAGCAGACAAGAGTTCTTTCTCCCACTCTGGATATTATTCCATGGATATATAAACCTCATTTGCCTAGTTTCCAACAGACCTCACAACCTCTGAGGATGCCTGCCATAGATGTGGGCAAAACATCAGGAGAGAATGCTTCTGGAACATGGCTATACAACCCAGAAAACTCACAGAAACCCAGTGATTCCAGCCATGAAAGCCTTTGACAACACAAATCTAACCTTGCCCTTTGCTATAATGAATTTCAGCCTTAATGGCCTGTCTATCTTTTACATACAGTAGCTTGTAGAATTAAAATCAGAAAATATGGATTCTTCAGATTCTTTTGTTTTCAACTCCTGAATTAGCAGAGGCAATGATGAGTGAATGAAAGAGCTGTAGTCCAAATTAGCCAAAGGGTCAGGGGTTTGACACCTCTGATTTAGAAAGCATGAATCAGGCTGAATTGGGCAACTTGTGGTTCTTCTTGTGTTGCTGGGCTGCAGCTCCTACCTACCTTTTGGGGTGATTTACTGTATGATGCATGTTTTATTCTTTTTTTAACCCTTTCATTCTTTCCTTACACAGTTGAAGAAATCATACTTGAGAATGATCTCCATGGAAGACTCTTCATTAATAGAATTTTTCACATTGGTGCAGAAAGGCTATTTGAAATGCTTTTCACCAATTCCCTTTTCATGCAGAGATATCTCAGCACCAGAAATATAACAGGTAAAATATTATTCTGTACTGCAAACCACCAGTGGATAGCTCTCTGGTCAGTTTTCTTGCGAAATGAACTATGAGACAAAGTCCATGATTTTTGGTGGGTTGCTGTTAGTTTTCCGGACTGTATGGCCATGTTCCAGAAGCATTGCCCTGGCATTTTGCCCACATCTATGGCACGCATCCTCAGAAGTTGTGACACCTCACAACCTCTGAGGATGCCTGCCATAGATGTGGGCAAAACATCAGGAGGGAATGCTTCTGGAACACGGCCATACAGCCAGGAAAACTCACAGCCAATCCAGTGATTTTAGCCATGAAAGCCTTCAACAACACATTGACCATGATTTTGTTTTATTTCATAGATATTCAAAGCTGAATGCATAACATTTATAGATGTGTACATAACCACTTTGTTTTTCTTTTTGTGCATGTCAGGCAAAAAGCTGGAGAGTCATAGCTTTGAATTATATTGAAACCAAAGATTCCCAAACAATCCAGAATATGAAATCATGATTCAGCTTAGCTTCCAGAACTTTGGGAACAATTAACTATAGTTCATTTTTGGGTAGAATACAGAGGCATAGCCATATTTGTCTAGAATATCAGAATGCAAAGGGATTGTGTATCACCTTTGAGACTGAGAAAAAAATTGTAGCATAAGCCGTAGTAGACTTTGTCTATTCCTTAGATTGATGGAGTGACCTGCTCCTTAGGCAGTGTCCTCTATGGGCAGATTGTCTGAATAGTCACAGACATTCTAAACTTGTTGGTATGATGATGAGATAACAAGTTCAGTTTTAATATGGTCTTTGAGGGACAGGCAGGAGAAAGGATGCTGTCTTGAGGCAGAGTGGATGGGTAACCATAGGAAATGTGGAAGGAGTTCTTGGTATATAGTATAATTCTGGCTGATAACCAGAAAGGAGAAGAGGCAAACTGCACAAGAGCACCCTCATATCCTGGCAAAATACACATAACATGAATTAGACATATCTGAAAGCTACAGTTAACTGTGCTGTCCAGGCTTGTTTCTCAGTAGTACCAGATGTATGCAGGTATGTGAAACTCATAAATCTTTTAGCTTTTGAAAGAGAAATTCACTTATTTTATATGACTATTGTTTGGACTCAAGCATATCACTAAATTGTGGCAGATACACCAGGATCGGAAAGCATCATTTTTATGCTAGTTCTTAAACCACTACTTGTTCTAAATCAGCGTTTCTCAACGTGGGGGTCGGGACATTTGAGGAGGATCGCGAGGGGGTGTCAGAGGGGTCACCAAAGACCATCAGAAAACACGGTATTTTCTGTTGGTCATAAGGGTCTATGTGGGAAGTTTGACCCGATTCTGTTGTTTGTGGGGTTCAGAATGCTCTTTGATTGTAGGTGAACTATAAATCCCAGCAACTACAACTGCCAAATGTCAAGGTCTCTTTTCTGCAAACTCCACCAGTGTTCACATTTGGGCATATTGAGTATCCGTGCTAAGTTTGGTTCAGACCCATCATTGTTTGAGTCCACAGTGCTCTCTGGATGTAGGTGAACTACAACTCCCAAACTTAAGGTCAATGTCCACAAAACCCTTCCATTATTTTCTAGTGGTCATGGGAGTTCTGTGTTCTAAGATTGGTTCAATTCCATCACTGGTGGAGTTCAGAATGCTCTGATTGTAGGTTAACTCTAAATCCCAGCAACTACAACTCCCAAATGACAAAATCACACACACACATACCCCACCAGTATTCAGATTTGGGCTTATTGAGTATTTGTGCCAAATTTGGTCCAATGAAAATACATCCTGAATATCAGATATTTACATTACGATTCCTAACAGTAGCAAAATTACAATTATAAAGTAGCAACAAAAATAATTTTATGGTTGGGGTCACCACAACCTAAGGAACTGTATTAAGGAGTCACGACATTAGGAAGATTGAGAACCACTTTTCTAAATGCTTACAATTGAAAAGCTGTTGTTAAGGCTATTCCTTTGTCCAGAGGAGTGGTGGTTACACCATGCAGATGGGAATAAACTCATTCTGAACAAAAGAAGTAATGAAAACATATAAACAATCCCAGCCAAAGAGTTGCTTATTTAAGTCAGCCATGGGCTCTTAACCGTGGGTAGCAGAATGATTATGTGTAAGCCTCACCAAAGACAACTCCCCACCCTACAAATCAGAAATTGCCAACTTGAAGTAGTTGCACATGGATGTTAATATTTTTGCTGAGCAGGCAAACATACTTATCTGGAATGGAGAGTTCTGGAAATCCAGTCAAACCTTTGCTAACCTGTATGCCCTTTTTCACACAATTTGAATTGTGATTTTCTAGAATAAGAACTCATTTCATGGTTAGTGCCTCTGACCATTTTCTAAGGAAATTTCAAGCCTCTCTGCTTTCTCTTAAAGCTATTTCCAGTGTAGATGTTAAACCTTGTAGTCCTTTCCAGGAGTAATTATGCAATTTTTCCTCCTTCAGTTCCATCAACTGGCTTGAATTCCTTGACTGTCACTAAAAAGAATGCACCACATCATATTTTCACCTTTTGCAACATGTAGTGAAACATACAAGTGACTTCTTTCTTTAATGCTCTCACCTCTACAATTTTGATAAGCAGCAACATTCTCAGTTTGGCATCAATAAAACACATAGGACAGTGGTTCTCAACCTATGGGTCCCCAGTGTTTTGGCCTACAACTCCCAGAAACCTCAGCCAGTTTCCCAGCTGTTAGGATTTCTGGGAGTTGAAGGCCAAAACATCTGGGGACCTACAGGTTGAGAACCACTGCCATAGACCATCATTTGGGGCAGATGTTCCCAACTAGTATGCCATATAATTGAAACATATTGAAACCAGTGACTTAAAGCTTATTGTTGTCTACAGCAATGCCTATATGTTGGGATGGTATTCCAAGATGTCAAGCTCACATGACTTCTAGTTGCTGAGGAGCTGGTAAGGTGGCTGGGATTTCTGGGAACTGAAATCCAAAACACCTGGAAGAGCACTGGTTGATAACTGTGTAAATTGCTTGAAATGACAAATATGCTTTGTTTCTAGATTTTGTATCAACTCCCTGGAACAGTGAAAGCGGAGGCAATCAACTACGGACCGTGACTTATACTATTGTTTTTAACAGTCCACTTCTTGGAAAGTCCACAGCTGCAACAGAAAAGCAGGTACAGGATTCTATAGCAGGTGTGAGCCTCCACTCAAGATCCAGTTGCCACACATCCTTGGCAGCTACACCTGATTGTCCTTTTTGCTTCTCACAATGCAGTGCCTCTTTATTAAGAATACACTCTCAAGGCTACAAGGAGGGTTATTTTACCATACTTCCTCCTATTGTAGTTTTGGGCCAGTAATCATATAGCAATAACTTTATTCTTATATACCGCCGCCATCTCCCCGAAGGGACTTGGAACGGCTCACAGACAGCACAAAGTGCTTAAAAACAAACATAAAAGTGAACACAGTATAAAACACAATAAATTAAAAAAACATGCACATATAAAAAAATGAATTCAGACTCAATGAAGCTGCGATTCTTTAACTGTGGCAGTAAATTACTGGCACCACGGTCGGGCTGTAAACATTGGAATAAAATAAGTGCCAGCTGCAGTAATGGAGAGAGGGCATGGGCCCCTTGGCTGTGGAATTTCTTCCCCAGTGATATCAGATCAGCCCCCTCCTTCCTGGCCTTCAGAAAGAGAGTGAAAATGTGTCTTTGGGGTGAAGCCTTTGGAGAAGTGCAATAGGATTCCCTAGGTCTCGGTGGTGATCATGGGAGCACAGTTAAAACTTGTGCACCAGCTGCACCCATACCTTAGGAAGTCTGACTTGGCTACGGTAGTCCATGCTCTGGTTACATCCAGTATAGACTATTGCAATGCACTCTAAGTGGGGTTGTCTTTGAAGACTGTTCGGAAGCTTCAAATGATCAAGTGGGAGGTAGCCAAGTTACTAACAGGAGCAGTGCATTGGGAGCATACAACTCCTCTGTTGTGCCAGCTCCACTGGCTACCAGTTTTCTACCAGACATAATTCAAAGTGCTGACTTTAGCCTATAAAGCCCTAAATAGTTTCGGCCCAGCTTACCTGTCCAAATGTATCTCTCCTTATGAACCATCTAGGACTTTAAGATTGTCTGGGGAGGCCCTGCTCTCACTCCCAAGTCCTTCACAAGTGCGTCTGCCGGGGATGTGAGACAGGGCCTTCTCAGTGGTGGCCCCTCAGCTGTGGAATGCCCTCCCTGGGGATATTAGATCCACCCGCTCCTTCCTGACATTTCGTAAAAAAGTCAAAACCTGGCTCTTTGAGCAAGCTTTCGCAAATGTTGCATAATAGGTAAATATGGAACTATGGAACGGCTTAGATGTTGTAACTGGAAAATGAGTTTAGTAAGATGCTGATGATTTATATTTTTAATTGTTTTTTGTATGGTTTTATATTATATGCTAAATGTTTTTAAACTGTATTTTATGTCTGCTGGGGCATCAAATTGCTGCCAACTGTAAGCCACCTTGAGTCACCTTCGGGCTGAGAAAGGCAGGATATAAATATCGTAAATAAATAAATAAATTGCTGGTTATTGGAATGGCCCCGGATTGCAATTTTGGATGCCATGGTTTTAGTAATGGATGTAATGTTTTTAACCGTTTTAATGTGTTTTAATTTTAATCTTAATTTAAATGTTTATTTTAATTGTATGTTGTTTATAAGGCACTGAATAATTGCCTATGTATAAAGCCGCCTTGACTCCCCTTTGGGGTTGAAAAGGGTGGGGTATAAGTATGGTAAATAAATAAATAACTAGCACTTTGAATTGGGACCAGAAACTTTTTGGCAGCCGGTGTAACTGCTTTAGTAGGGGCATTGTGTGCTCTCTATAGCTGGCTCTGGTTAGTAGCGTAGCTGCAGATCTTTGGATCAATTGCAGTTTCCGATCCGTCTTCGAAGGCACCACCACATAGAGTGCATTACAGTAATCCAATCTTGATGTAACTAAGACATGGACCACTGTAGCCAAGTCTGGCTTCTCGAGGTACAGTCGCAACTGGTGCACAAGCTTATCTGTGCGAAGGCCCTTCCAGACCCCGTCAATACCAAGAAGCGGTTTTTAGAAAACAGGACATCCGATTAACTTTTGATTCACTTCCTGGTTATCATTTGGGCTTAAAAGAACACTGACAGGCAACAAAACACTACACTGCCCCCTTTGCCTTCTCAAGGCCATAGAAAAGCATTTTGAGTTCTTAAAAGTGTCAAAATACTTTTCTCAAACTTTTGAGACATATTTGGGTCCTTGAGACCCTCAAAAGTGGAATGGGGAGGTCCTGTACTACCTGCAAAGCCACTCATTCCTCTGTTGTCTCGCCTCTGTGAAGGCAACGATAGCCTAATATTACTTTATTTTTTTCTTTACAATTTATAGAGTGTCAGAAAGAAGACAAATATTTGTTCTTCCTTCTCATAGGTCCTTCTTAAACGAAGCCACAAAGATCAATCATATCGGATAGATGCGGAGGTGACGACGCATGACGTGCCTTACCATGATTACTTCTACACTGTGTATAGTTACTGTATCACCCCTGTATCCAGTCAGAAATGCAGACTCCGGTGAGCCATTTCATTTTATTATATTAGGGAAATTTGGAGTCCCAGGTGGCACAGTGGGTTAAACCCTTGTGCCGGCAGGACTGAAGACCAACAGGTTGCAGGTTCGAATCCGAGGAGTGTGCAGATGAGCTCCCTCTGTCAGCTCCAGCTCCCCAAGCGGGGACATGAGAGAAGTCTCCCACAAGGATGGTAAAACATCAAAAACATCCGGCTGTCCCATGGGCAATGTCCTTGCAGATGGCCAATTCTCTCACACCAGAACCTACCTGCAGTTTCTCAAAGTGCTCGTTTCTCAAGTTTACTGCCTGCCAATTAGGGAAATTGCAGGCAGTAAAACAGAACCACACTTAGTATAGGAAACAGGTTCATGTGCACAAATATCTTTTTGTCAGTGTGGCTGACCATAAGAACAGAGCAGGAAAATGCCATTTTGGTTCATGCTCTTGATTTGAAAAGAATATATGCATAGAAACAACCATTTCCTGGATCCTTGACTTTAGTCCCAGCTTTCATTCTACCTTCAGGTTCAAACATAAGTGAGGTTTTCCCATTGGTCTTTTCAGGAGAAATCTTTCCCTACCTGCAATTGTGTGATCTGTTACAGCCTTCCAAAGTCAGTGGGTGTGCACAGCCATCATAAAGTACCATTACAACCCAGAGCTATTAAACGACAAGTATTTTTGCCCATTTCCTTCTTTGCTTGTCAGCATGAATGTACCAGGTCTCATGTAGTGACTATGTTTTTGCTCCGTGTACGCAGTGTGTTGCTTTGAATTGAAATAACTGAAAAATGGCTCTCAGAGTGAGTGAGAAGGCAGGCCTGTTGTCTTAATGTGGCTGCTATTACAATCGGCTGCCAAGTTCGTTATTCTTTTTTTTGTTGTTGCAGGATTTCCTCGGATGTGAAATATAAGAAACAACCATGGGGCCTTGTCAAGAGTATAATAGAGAAAAATACGTGGAATGGGATACAGGGAAATTTTAAGCAACTTGGTAAGTGCTGTTTCTTTTCCTTTCTGATAGATTCAATTTTCTTTGATTACCCTGACTAGTTACCCACAGAGAAATGAGTCATTGCATTCCTCATAAATGATGGAAATGTTCTATGAGATTTGCTTCGCTTTGTAAAACAATTTAAAGGTGTGTTTGTGTGTGTTGTTATTCCATTTGTGTTTTACCCTTTTACCTTGTGCTGGCAGGACTGCTGATTGAAAGGTCAGTGGTTCAAATCCAGGGAGCAAGGTGAGCTCCAGTCCATCAGCTCCAGCTTCTCATGTGGGGACATGAGAGATGCCTCCCACAGGATGGTAAAACATCCGGGTGTCCCCTGGGCAACGTCCTTGCAGATAGCCAATTCTTTCACACTGGAAGTAACTTGCAGTTTCTCAAGTTGCTCCTGACACGAAAACAAACAAACAAAAAAACCCTTTTACTGATCCGCAAGCCGATGTGTATGCTTTTTAGCAGGCAAGGTAGGAAAGTGTCACTCATGACACTGAAAATGAAGAATAAAAATGTAGCAAAAACATCCCATGGTCTTTCACAGTGTTTCTTGAGTGCTTCATTAAAATTCTTTTATTCCACTGTTAACCATCTCCTTGTGATCTTCTGGAAGTAGGATAGTAAGCACTTTATCACACTATTATTCCACTTTAACTGCCATGGCAACCTAATATAAAATGCTGGGATTTGCAATTTAGGGAGAGATGTTTCAAATTCTCATGAGAGAGACATTAAGCACCATTAGACTACAAACCCTAGAATCCCACAGAATGCAGTCATAGCAGTTAAAGTGAGATAATAGTACCATAATAATGTAATATGATAATTTTGGTGTATGAGAGATAAATAATATAGCCACAGAGTCCTTGGTTGTTAGGCCTGATCCTGGGGCTATTTGGGGTACAGATTCAGAAAATTGTGTTGGATAGATTGCACCAACTCTAGTTTTTTAGATATGGTTATCATGATTATCTGTGGATGAGCAGATGGTGACTGGTAGATGGCATATGTTCTGTATCTCAAAAACTAGAATGGATAGGGGAAAACTGGTGACATTTTTGGAATCAGCAGGTCAAATATTCCCAGAAACGGGTTTATCATTTAAGGCACAAAAATGTGTGGTGTGTCAGTGGAATGCTTATTGTAAGCATTGTGCCCCTTTCTCCTCCGGGTTATTACTATGTGGTGCTTGAAACACAATATAAACATCATATTTAAGAGAGCAAATTGTATATTTTTGGTTTAATGTCTTGATTTTTTATCAGTAATGTATATTTATCACTTTACTGTTTTTTCTCTCCTCAGAGGTAAGCTTGTAAATGCAGTAAGAAATACCTGCATGGAACACACGTACATTCTGAATTCACATGTAGAAAAATGAGAATTGATATAAAATTAAGGTTATGCCTTTTTTTACAGAATCTGAATTGCTAATTGAGGAATATACACTCAACAAACCAACAGAAGACCCAGCAAAGCTAGGTGTTTTGAGGCGGAGGAGGTGGACTTTACAGCGGAACATGGGAGAGATAGTTCCTAAACGCTCTGCACATTATTCTTCTGGGGAAGTGGTTGTGCCTTCTTCTCATGGAGATGCAGGTAAATGCAACCACTGAGTAGAGCCTTCAGTATCATTTGTTGGGGAACATGGGCAGAATAATGGCATTACAGGCATTTCCTACTTTAGTGGGCTTACTTCTGGCCTTGGGAGAAAATAGATAGGTTGCTGATTTCATCCAGCATCTGACATTATCCAAACCAAAGGAATGCTGATTAGGGAAGATCCACAGATCACATAGTACCTTTACACATTAGTACCTTTGTAAAGACACTTTTCCCCTTCAAACACGGCAGAATTGGGGTATCACTAGTTAAACGTAAGCAGTGCATCCTTAATAAACAAAGAGTGGTGACCGGTATGCAAAATCTTTAGAAGCAAAGTACTGTTTTTCCCTATAAAGAAACATGTTCTCTATCTACCAGGCACCTTCATTTTATAACACTTTTCCTTACGAAAGAAGGTCACAGCAAAACAGCACTATGCTCATGTCCTTAACAGATTAAAAATCGGAATGGTTTCATGAGTAAAGCATCAGTATCAAACCAATTAATATTTACTAGCTAAAAGACAGTGAAGTGTTAATGTCTTATAAATGTTAAAAGACTATATAAATGTGATACAAGAAAAAAAATTTAGAAAACTAAAAGTACAACAGGCCTTCTATCTTCATAGGAGTTAGGGATGCAGGATCTCCATGAAAGTAGAAAAACCATAAACATTATTTAATACTACTACTACTACAAGTACTACTACTACTACTACTACTAATAATAATAATAATAATAACTTTATTTTTATACCCCACCTCCACATTGGACAAATTGTCCACAAAACATCAAAACAAATCAATCCGATTAAAAACAAAAAACACAATGAAAATAAAACATAGCAAAGCATAACAATAAAATGAAACATAATTAAATAAAACATAATGGTATAAAACAGCAGCCTTAAAACTCACTCAAACAATACACAACAAAAACTAATAATCAAAATATTAAGATGGACATGATAATGGTATAAAAAGGACTGGGCCTGGGATAGTACAAAACAGCATACTATAGGGATGGGGGATTAGAAGAAGTTCTGAGAACAGAGTACAATCTGGCAAGCGAAGTACCGGGCATTTATAAGTATGGAATAGTTGTTCTCAAATGTTTGTTGGAACATCCAGGTTTTGAGATTCTTACAGAAGAAGGACAGTGAAGGAGCTTGCCTAATCTCCCTGGGGAGGGTGTTCCAAAGTTGGGGGGCCACCACCAAGAAGGCCCTCTCTCGTCCCCACCAGCTGTGCTTGTGACGATGGTGGGAGCGAGAGGAGGGTCTCCCTGGTGGATCTTGGAGCCCACTTTGGCTCATAGGGGGAGATGCGGTCGCAAAAATAGGTGGGGGCCCAATCATTTAGGGCTTTGTAAGTCATAACCTGCATTTTGAATTGGAACTGGAAACTTATTTAGGAATCTCTAGGTCCTCCAGGTCAACTCAATGGAGAGCTTGGGAATTTTATTTATTCTTTATCCTATAGACTGAAGCCAGGAAAAAATAGATTACCATGCAAAAGATTGTTAGAAGCTAAAACCAGAGAATACAACTTAAAGTACAGAACTAGTTAAAAGATGCAAAGACATCTTTTTTGATGATGGTCTGAAAAACGGCAGCAGAATGACCCTTTTTTGAAGGACTGCAGAAGGTGAAATAGCCAGGCCTGAAGGGAACAGAGTGTAACATCTTCTGACCTAGATGGTATTTAAAGCTGTTTCTTCTGAGGATGACACAGAAGTGCTGAAGAGATCAATTAGGCAGTCATCCTCCCCTTCTTCTCCTCTATAGTTGAAGTACCCAAATGTTAAAATACAGTGTGCTAGAGCATCATCTTCCACTTACATCCTTTGTGTTATTTCCATCATTTCTATTTCATTCTTATTGTAAACCTCTCTTCCAAATCCATCTGTTCCGCTTCTGTCCCCGCAAATCCAATCCATCATAAGGGGACAGATAGGACAATTTCACAAATATTTCTGACTACAAAAGATGGTTTTCCACCATGAAATACTTCTGATTTGCAATATATCAGCTGGAAGGCTGGGCAAAAAAAGATGTCGGATTACAGATTAGATAGGATTACACCAATGTCTTTGTTTCTGGAGTTTGCAAAGCACAAAGAATCTGAGTTCTGTAATTTCCAAAATTTGCTCAGTGGTTGGGTGCATTTCTTCATTTATATGAGTATACTTGTGTCTGTCCTTATTGGATTTTGCTAATTAAGTAAACATTCCTCAAATCCATGTATGTACCCTTTAGATTCTGTGATGAAGCCCACAGTTGCCCTTTGATTATGTCATTCATATCCAATTGATTAGGATTTGCATATGGTTATGTTCTAGCTGCTTGAGAAAATTATTATCTATTTACCAGAACATATGTCACAGTGTAGAAGATTGAGACAGACAAACTAAGTAATGCAACTTAAATGACTCTGAACAAGTAATGTAGAGTCATTCCATGAACATAATTCCAAAATATGCTGCATATGGCATGCATTGGTTAATCCGTGCCATTTCTTTAGTAATTTTAAGTTGTTTTTGAGATCTTTATCACTGTTTACAAGTGTGGAGGAATTTCTTCTCCTTCATTTTGCTGCAACCACGATGCATAATCTTCTGTCAGGGTTGGCAATATGAATAATAGAAAAGGTTTTAGAAAATCACATAATGGACACGAGGCAAATAATGATAAGCAGCATTTCAGGTTGAGGGGAAAGTGTTTCATTGGGTTCTAGATCTCTGTTGGCAGCAAGAAATGTATGCAAAATTTTCATGTCAAAAAATTCTTAACTGAGTTGCTGTGAGTTTTTTTTTTTTTTTAGCTGTATGGCCATGTTCCAGCAGTATTCTCCCCATGTTCAGGAGAGAATGCTGCTGGATCATGGCCATACAGCCCAAAAAAATGTTCTCGAAGCATTCTCTCCTCACGTTTTGCCTGCATCTGTGGCAGGTATCCTCAGAGGTTGTGAGGACCCATAGTTGTTCGTTATTGTTTTTTTTCCCTTGGAGAAGAACAAAAGTAGTTTTATGAAGTTATAATGTAATGAAATCTAGATATAATGGAATCAAGAAGAAAGCACTTACGTAGACAGGTAAAAGAGAGCATTCATGGATAGTATCAGTCTGTAAGACTGATTGTCTGTAAGAACAATCCTATATGTCTCACTTTGTTATTAGGATCACGGTGAGATAACTGGTACAGATAGAAAGGCTGTGGATGTTTTCCATTATATTGCCAAGTATGCTTTGTGATCTTAGTTTGTAAGCAAATTCAAGCCATAGCTTACCTGTTTGGGAGGAAAAACAGCATAGCAGTTTGCTACAGGCAAGCAAGCAGGAGATATCGTCAGGGGGCAAGTGAATGGGTAAACTTGGGGCTCTGCAGTGTTAATTTGCTTCACCCCAAACCATGGCATATTGTTCCATTTGAAAATACCTCCTGTTGGTGCTTCAACTTTTCCTATTTTTCCTCCGTGAAATCTTGAACAGAGATGCCAGTGGCATTTGTGGTCATATACCTTTCCTCTTCTAAAAAAAATACTATTTGTGTTTAAATTTTCATGGTGTCTAAACACAGGATATATAATGCAGTGCCCCTTAGGATGGCTGGGTAATTGTATTCCCGTCTTTTCACCTCTGTTCATTAATGTTGTGCTTGTGTGATCTCAGAACTATACAGTGTCAAGAGATGTGAGATTAAAAAGGTAAAGGTTTCCCCTTGACATTACATCTAGTCTCATCCGACTCTGCGGGATGGTGCTCATCTTCATTTCCAAGCCAAAGAGCTGGCATTGTCCATAGACACCTCCAAGGTCACGTGGCCAGCATGACTGCATGGAACACCGTTATCTTCCCACAGAAGCAGTACCTATTGAACTACTCACACTTGCATGTTTTCAAACTGCTATGTTGCCAGAAGCTGGGGCTAACAGCAGAAGCTCATCCCGCTCCCCAGATTCGAACTGCCAACCTTTTGGTCAGCAAGTTCAGCAGCTCAGTGGTTTAACCCACTGTGCCACCAGGTGGCCCTGATGTGAGATTGTTTTTGCCAAAAATTGCACAGGAAAAAAATAGCCATTTTCAGAAAACCTAGTCTTTTGGACATGCGCTGAAGTTTTCAGCAAAGAGAATCATGGAATGAGCTATGGAAGTATGTGAAGATATAGTAGACTCCATCCATATGTAGCAGATGTAATCACAGAGAGACAAGAATAACACAACAAATGCTTATGTTGAAATGTTACACAACACATTGTAGTGGTGAAAGCCAAGGTTTGTGTAGCCTAGAGCAACCTTTAGTGCAAGAACAGCTGCCAAGTCCTTGTTAGGAAAACCACATCTATGCCATGCATCAAATTAACATGTTAAAAGCATACACTTGCAGTAGCTTTTTAGTTGAGAAAAGATCCAGAGAACTTGAAAAGAAGACTACTCTCCTACAATAATGTTAATCTGATTTAGGAAGTTGACTACTGTAGACTTACAGTTTCCTCTTTTGCCAAACAGGACCAAAAAGGGATGCTACAAATAAGACCATCACCATCATAGTGGTAATGAGCATCTTGTAAGTACTGCCTAACACCTCTTATATCTTTCTTTAATTTTTAACACTAACAATCTAATAAACAATCAAAATGATATACATTCAAAAAGGTTGTCAGTTCATCCTGGAAGAAAACATAATTTACGGCTTACTTGTCCAAATGTACCTCCCTCTATGAACCATCTCTGAGATTAAGATCGTTTGGAGAGGTCCTGCTCTCAGTCCCACCACCTTCGCAGGTGTGGTTCGTGGGGACAAGGGACAGGGCCTTCTCAGTGGTGGCCCCTCAGCTATGGAATTCCCTCCCCAGCAAAATCAGGTCAGCTCCCTCCCTCCTCACCTTCAGGAAGCAAGTAAAAACATGGCTTTGGGACCAAACTTTTGGCCAGTAATGCTGTACAATAAGTAAAGTATAATTATGTGCAATAACTTTAATTGCTTATGCGGAAAGCCATCTTGAGTCTCCTTCGGGGTTGAGAAGGGTGGGGTATAAATATATCAAATAAATGAATAAATAAATGATAACAACTGGAATGGCCTTTGACTTTATTCTCCAATTATGTGATTTTAAAAATGTGTTTTAATGTTTTAATGCTTTTAATTTTGTTTTAAAGTACATATCTATTTTTTATTGTCTGTTGTCAGAGTCCCCTTTGGGGTTGAGAAGGGCAGGATATAAATATAGTAAATCAATAAAAATAAATACTATTTGCACCAGTGGAGGCTGAAGTTGCAGAATGGACCTTACCTAAGCTTTTATTCAAATAATATTATCCTTTTAAAACAATAAATACTGTTTCATAATGATAGTCAAAACATGCAAGAAATCTCAAGGATGAAAAAATTGGATTCAGAGGGAGGCCTGTGATCCTTTAAATTTCTGTGGCTTACAGTTACCAGGATGCTACAGGCAAGAAAATGAACAATAACAATACAGCTTGATTTCTTTTTTTTTTCCTTTACAGTTTGCTCTTGCTGGTTCTGCTGAATGTGACATTATTCCTGAAATTGTCTAAGATTGAATATGCAGCTCAGTCATTTTACCGTGTTCATGTTCAAGAAAAGGGATCAGCAAAGTGAGTAGTCCTTTCTTCCCAGTTAAAAAGATGGGCAGATACAAGATTCACATTTACTTTTGACCTCACAAAGGCCCTGTTTTTTTTAGGGGTTTTGTGAGTCCAAAACTAAATGTGAATCTTGTATTTCTCTCATTAGCTGGGATACTATTGGGGTATTATGGTAATCCAATTTCCCAAGTTTATGTAAGGAAGTATCAGTACCTTATGATGAAACTGGTTCTTTTCATCACCTGGCAACAGAATGGGCTGTGTACATTTCAGTCTTGGACTCAACCTGTGGTTCCCCAGATGTTTGGACCTTCAACTCACAGAAATCCTAACAGCTGGCAAATTGGCTGGGACTTCTGGGAGTTGTAGGCCAAAACACCTGGGGACCCACAGGTTGAGAACCACTGGTCTAGGACATGTATACAGTTTCTCCTCCTCCTCCCTGTCTCCTGCTTTTGTGGTGATAGCTGAAATAATGCATTATTTTTCATTCAGCAATCCAGTAGGTGTTTATGAGAGGTGAAACTCACACCTTTTTCATTTCTCAATCTGCAGAGATTTCCCTTGCCTCCCCGTGGGAGATTTTATATGCATATACATTGGACAGCTGTCTCTTATAATCTCTGCTGCTCCTACTGACTATAATAAATGTAACCTAAAACCATCACATCATTACCACTTTGTTTACCTGGAAAAAAAGATCATATCACTCATTTGTTGCCCAAATAATGGGAGAACCCAATATCACACCACTTCCACCTCAAACCAGATGGTCATTGATTGGACTGCTAGAAAACTTCCAGCTAAATGTGATACTGCTTGGGCTGCTACTGGACTGGCCAGGATTTTCTCTCTCTTATGGTCCACCAGCCTATATTAAGTAGAGGCAGCCCCTGAGTTACAAACATCTAACTTGCAAACGATTCATAGTTAAGAACAAGGCTGGGACAACGGGCAGTGAGAGAAATCAACCTCTCGGAAGGGAAATTCACTCTTGGAAGAGTTATCAAGGGAAAAAGGTGTCTCCACTGAAACTTTCTCACCAATTCTTGTTTCCATAACAAGCCATTTTTTTTTCCAAAATCCAATTCTCACAGGAACAGAAAGTGAGGGGAAATCCTCTGGACAGGGGCACAGATAGCAGAACAAACACCACAGGGATGTTAACCTTTCCCTATGCTATCCAAAGCTAAAAAGTACATGTTTTTGACTGTAGTTACACTTTTAAAAATGTACCTGTTCTAACTTACATACAAATTCAACTTAAGACCAAACTTGGTGACTGCCTGCACACTGCTATCCACTCTGCAGGCCTTTCATAGGAACTTGTTCATAACATCCTTCCCACTAAACTGTGTAACAAAATTTGAAATATTTTCTGTTACTGATTTGAAAGTGTTATTTCCTGTTTAATTGTGCAATACTTACTTTGAAAGTAGTTGTTATACTCTGGAAACTTCATTTTTGTGGCTGCCACAAACTGTGTTGAATTGGTTGAGACTCAGATGTTCATTTAAAAATGATAGCAAAAAGTGCTGCAGGATATCCTGCAATTTTTTTTGCAGTTTAATAAACCTTTTCCATTTTTTTGTGACAGAACCAATTAGGAAATGAGATTTAAAACCCAGGAACAAAGTGTTATTTAAGTGTTATCTAAGTGTTATCAAATATGTCTTTATTGTTTATGGTTTCTAAATCTTTTCATTCTTTTCCTTTTTTTATATAAATCATTTTTATTGCGTTATAGTGTAGATACATGGAAAGTGGGGGAATAATTGTGAAGGAGATAGGAAAGTAGGAAATAATAATAAGCAAAGAGTGATAAGAGGTAAAAAAAAGAAAAAAGAAAAAAAAGGAAAGATTTGGTTGGACTTCCATCTGTTCTTTGAAGATCTTCTGTATTTGTATAAAAAACAAAAAAGTAAAAAGCATGGTAAAAAATAAAAAGAGATAATGAAAGCGAAAAAACAGCTTTCATTCTCAATAGTCCAGTCTGCTTTCCTGTGACACAGTTATTTGTGTTCTGTCTTATTGTATATCAAGAAATGACCTCTATTTTTTGTTGTTTGAAATAGTTTTTCACCAAGTCCCAATTTGTATGTTTTTTCGGTTTTCCTTCATTTGGTGTCAGCCAGTATTTTAACTCGTCCATGTTCATTATTTCAAATATCTTACTTTGCCATTCTTCTATTTGTGGTATTTCTTTCTGCCTCCAACTCTTGGCATAGACAATTCTGGCTGCAATGATTAGGTAATTGAAGATAATGTCTTTATTTTTATCTCCTATAATGTCAAACATTCCCAGCAAGAAGAACTCTGGCTCCTTTCTCATTTTTATATCAAGTATATTTTGTATATCAATATGAATTATATTCCAAAAGTTTTTGGCTTTTGGGCATGACCACCACATATGGTAGAAGGATCCTATATGTTGGTCGCATTTCCAGCATCGGTCCAATGTATTTTTGTGGAAGATTCCACTGGATCCATTATCAAACCTTTTCATTCTTTTCCCAGTGTACTCCTTGATGTGGCTGCAAGAGAAAAAAGCTCTAATCGCAAGTCAGACCAAGTCCAGCAGGTGAAAAGGGTATTGAGGGACTCTATAACATTGCTTGAGCAGGTATGTGTTCTTATTCTTTTTCATCTTTGCCCATATATAGAGAGAGCAAAAGTAAAGGTTTCCCCTGACATTAGTCATGTCCAACTCTGGGGGTGGTACTCATCTCAGTTTCTAAGCTGAAGAGCTGGTGTTGTCTGTAGACACCTCTAAGGTCATGTGGCAGGCATGACTGCATGGAGCGCCATTACCTTCCTGCAAAAGCGGTACCCTTTGATTTCCTTACATTTGAATGCTTTCGAACTGCTAGGTTGGCAGAAAATATAATATAATATAATATAATGTAATGTAATGTAATGTAATGTAATATAATAATTATAATTATAATTATAATTATAATATAATATAATATAATATAATATAATATAATATAATATAATATAATATAATATAATATAATATATATTAGTTTGAACAGCCTTTAAAAATAATGCATTGTATTTCTATGCTTTGGTTATCTGTATTTAGATCTCAACTAGTTAAGAATGTGGTGCAAACACCCAAGTAGGTTTGGAATTATACTCACTAGGTAAAAAGTATAAGAATGTTCTGGATCTTGGAAAACTTTAGCAACTAAAAAAAGCAATGTGGCTAAGAGTTTTTCTTATTATACAATGTGTTTTATTTATTGACTCCAGATATAACTATGTTCAGAAATCAATGGGGCAAAAGTTGGGTGTTATTACTAAGTTTGCTCTAAGTATGCCTAAGTCTGAATCCAATATTCTATGCACGTATGTGCTCTAGTGAAAAGGAGATTAAGAGTGATCCTGTTTAAAATGATTGGTTGCGGCATCATGGGAAATTATGTGCCAGCTGCCTGGTAATGACCAAAGAAGTGCTGCACAGCCATTCATTCTTTTGATCAATAAACAGGCACACCTCTTCAGTGGACATAAACCGAGGGAAGAGGAAGCACAGCCTTTTTATGGGGCTTGGAGACTACCACAATCGTTTTAAATTTGAGTGTATGTGAATACACTTTATTTATTTATATTCCACGTTGTCTCCCTGGAGAGACTCAGAGCGGATTACAGTTTTACATATATAAGGCAAACATTCAGTGCCTTTTTTACACAGTAAACAACAACATACAATATACAGACAGAGATAAAGGCCTTCCCCTTCCATTTCCGGTGTCTGGAGGCGGTGCTCAACTCTGGCCATGAGGAGGTGCTCATGTTCCATTTTTCCATGCTGGGGAGCCTGTTGTCCGTAGACTTCTCAATTGTGTTACCAGCATGTCTACAAGGGGTGCCTTTTTTACCTCCCCGCCAATGCGGTACCTATTGATCTATTCGCATTACATGCTTTCCAACTGTTAGGTAGGCAGAAGCTAGGGCTGACAGCTGGGAGCTCACCCCAACTCGCAACTTTGAACTACTAAGCCTCAAGTCAGCAGATTTTCTGCAGCTAGCGGTTTAACCCACTGCCCTACCATAACCCCTATGTGCTGGATTTTTATCTGTAGTTATACTTTTAAATGGCTTTACACTTCCTAAATATGGGTGTTTTAATATGCCAACTTGTTTATGTTTCAACTTGTTTTTATTTTCATGCTTTAGCTTTATTATTTTTTGCCTTGTTATAAACCTTGGGTGCCATGGTAGGAGAAAAGTTGGATGTAAATCAATGTAATCAATCAGTAAAATGAGAGGGTATTTGGAAGAGGAGCCATGTTGATAGTCCCCTCAAACCTAGAGCTATACTGGATTGTGGATCATTACATTTTAAATTGCAATTCACTGCCTAATTGATACATATATTTTTCTCTGCAGTTGAAGAATTCCCTTTATATGCTCCAAAGCAGTTTTGATCACCTAAACAAGACTAGGATCAGGAAGCCTGAAAACTGATTTCACCTAACTAAGGGAAAGGAAGATACGTGGATGAAGCTATATACAATGAGACTGTTTATTTTTCTTACGTTTCTCTTCAGCAGCCATTTGCACTTTTTACAAACCTCCCTCTTACATTACCAAAAAAAGCACACATTTCTATCAAAAGGGTTTTCTTAGCCCATTTAAATGTCAGATCTTTCTTTGTGACTATTTTTCTAAACTGTGAATTCTTTGTGTGAATGATAAAGAACACTGGGTGTCTGGTAATTATACGTGGAAGAATGTGATAAAATGTAAATTCATCTCAGACAAAGTTGAAGAAACATTATAAAAGATGCAAAAGAAGATTGCAAAGGTTGTTACACCCACAACTTCTCCATATGTCATCTAAATTCATGTGACAACTCTTCAGAAAGTAAAGTTCTATACCAATGTTTTAAATAGCTGTCTGTTTTCCTTATATGTCTTTCTCTGTTTCACAGTCACCATAACACCACTTCCTTCTGTCTACTGTCATTTCAGTTCTCCTGGTTTCTCAGGGAATGTTGAAACCCATATTGGAAAGGCAATCATTGTATTTACTTGATTTGTATAATACTGGAGTACAGGGAGACGTCTTTGTAAAAAATATGTTTCACGGGTTACGCACTTCAAGTCAATCTTTTGTTCTTTAGTTTGGTTATATTTATTTTTAAGCACAGATGATAACTGTACTTTGTAAGTACTACTGGGAAAACTGCCTTTTCCTTCTTTAGATTAAAAAAATTGTTATCAGACACTGGAGACCAAGCTTTCTAAAGTGGATTTTTCCAGAAACAGAACAAACTAAATGTGGCACAAAGAAGAGTGTGAACTCAAATAGTAGTCATGACTATCCTGTACATTTGTTGAATGTTCAGTTGGGAGGGGTTTGTTTTTCACTTGCCTTTGATCTAAAGTGCCTTTGTCACTGTTTGTATTGGAAACTGGCTTTAGCTGTTGGACCAAAACTATGTACTTAAACCAGGCCTTTAAAAAAAAAAACACACACACAGAGGAGTACTATTTATGGTCTGTACAAATATACAGTACTGAACAAGTATTGGCCATATATGATGTAGATGGAAATGTATTGTAATTGTTAATGACAAACTATGTATTTCCCTGAAACATAAATGTAAATAATCATCGGAACACCTAATAAAATGAAGGATAAATGAATGCATTGTAATGTTTCTTATAAATCTGGTGGCCTTTAGGCTTTTTGTCATCTAAACACAGAGATAATTTTATACATAAAAAGCATGGAGCTGAACATTATACATATTACGAAGTATTTGGGAAACTAATAAGTTACAATTGTTTATGTGAATGATTTCAAGAGAGGGTTCAATAAAGGTGCTAGAATAATAATAACTTTATTTTTATACCCTGCCACCATAACAACATCAACATCATCAACAACAACAACAACAACTTTATTTTTTACCCTGCCTCCATCTCCCCGAAGGGACTTTGGCGGCTTACATATGGCACAATGCTCCTAAAACCATGCATAATAAACACACAATACACTACAAGATAAAACCAATAACATATAAGCTCAAAACAACGCCCAATAACCTATGATAATCACTGTTGTAAAACTTAGCCAGCTGCAAACAGAAGCGGGGAATAGGAAAATGTAAATTTTAGCTAATGAACTAGGGCATGGGGGTGAAAGTGCTGTGCTGTGACATCAATTGTGGACCATTGGGACTAGACATTCTCAAAGACTTGTCCAAACATCCAAGTCTTCAATTCCTTCTGGAAGCAGGACAGTGTGGGTCCTGCCCAAAGGGACTTGGGGTGGCTTACATGGGAACCAAGCCCAGCGTATAACAAAATTCACCAGCTAAAACATCGTTAAAAACATAATATTATATAATATAACATAAACAATTTAATTAAAACAATTAAGAACGGCAAACATATAAAAACATCGTAAAAGTGTATCAAACGAATCTCAATAACCAGTAACTTAAACAGAGGCTGGATGGCCAACTGTTGGGGGTGCTTTGAATATGATTTTCCTGCTTCTTGATAGGTGGTTGGACTGGATGGCCCACGAAGTCTCTTCCAACTCTGACTCTATGGTTCTAACCAGGAATATGGTAGGCATGAACAGATTAGAGAAGACAGGGCATGGGTTTGTGCAAAAAGCAAACTATAGGGCCGGGGCTATAGGATAAAGTGCTGAATACAATCTTATAAATAAATTAGGGCTGGGCATTCATGAACAGGGACTAATCATCATTGAAATGCACACTGAAACATACAGGTTTTCAAATCCCTGTGGAAGGTGAACAGAGTGGGGCTAGTTTAATCTCCCTGGGGAGTTCCAGAGCCCTTTTCTTCATTTATTCCATGGATCACTATACACATTTCATTTCTTTTTAACTACAGGCATAATATACCTGGATGTGCAAAACAGATAGTTTGCAAGTCTTATTTTAAAACAGATGGAACAGCCTTGGCACTCCAGGTTTACAATTACACACAGAACTGACATTTGGAAGTGGCCCATAACACTGGATAGTTGAATACTTCCTTACCAACATCCAAAATAATGTTCGCGTTGCTAGTGCTGGCAATATATATCTGATGCTTCAAGTCAGCTCAGACCCTTGGCAAATAATTGGCATAAATGAACACAGTGTGCAACTTCTCATCTTACAAAGCAGCCGTTAAAAAAGGAACTGCAAATAGCTGCTGCTTCCTTTCACCTGTTTGTAATAAGAGAGGACTCTTTGCTGTGGTGAAATATAGACCCTTGTTCCTTGGCTCTACACCGAGAAGCATTTGTGTGTTCAAGGAATTCTCGGTTGGTGAACTGTGTGCTTTTTCTCACTTTAAGAGGGACTTGTGTTTATGAGTAACTCTAATGAGCCTAATCTTCTAAAGCATTCAAGAATTTTACCTGCAGTCCTATGTTGACACCCCACTTGACTACTTTAAAAGCACTTTTCTGCAGAATCTCAGCCTTTTTTCATGCTTAGTAACCATTTAATTTAATTCCTGTTTTTCAGTCCTGACTATAGTAATGTCTTAAGGTTGGCTTTAGAATTATGTTTGTAATTTAAGCAGATAAGTTGCACTTTTCTTTGAGTAGGCAGTTTGATCCTAAGAATGTTTACTCAGAGACCCACTGACACACTGCTTCAGTCACATCATTTGCATTATGGCATGGTGCTTAATGGCACGCTGCTTCAGTCACATCATTTGAAAGACATTGCACACAACGTCTAGAATCATAAAGAGTTGGAATTTTATTTATGGATGATGTTACTTTTGAGTATTTTACTTAATTGAGCTGGGTTTAGTGTTGTCCCTGTGCCCCCCCCCACGGGGGAGGGGAGGGGGGTTGGGTTGAGAAGGGTGGGGTGCAAATATAATAAATAAATAATGCTTTATGTAAATTGATATTGTTATTGTCACAAATGTTGATGATTTTATGTGTGCTTATGGCACTATTATGTGCTGTTCTGAAACCTTCCCCGAGTCCCTTTTGGGAGACGGTGGTGGGATATAAATGAATTATATTATTTTACTGACACAAAAACACAGTATGTCACAGCAAATGAGATCTATATGCTGGATTTCATATCACAAAATCACAACACTTCCCAAGCATCTAGGACTGTGTGGTGTATTTTCGAATGATGTATGCAGATCCAAGTAAGGTGGCCCTTTGCAGTTGACAAATCGTGATTTTGTCAATGTTTATTGTTTTCAAATGCCGGCTGAGATATTTTGGCATGGCACCCAGTGTGCCAATTTATTTATTGTGTCAGGAGCAGACCAAACAGTTGCATTGCATTTTTTAACAAACAAACAAACAAAACACAAAGTTTGCAAACTTGGTAGTTGTCCTTTGACCAGTAGCTGGCCACTTGGGAGTGCCTCTGGTGTTGCCACAAGAAGGTCCTCCATTGTGCATGTGGCAGGGCTCAGGTTGCATTGCAGCAGGTGGTCAGTGGTTAGCTCCTCTCCACACTCACATGTCGTGGATTCCACTTTGTAGCCCCATTTCTGAAGGTTGGCTCTGCATCTCGTGGTGCCAGAGCGCAGTCTGTTCAGCGCCTTCCAAGTCGCCCAGTCTTCTGTGTGCCCAGGGGGGAGTCTCTTTTGGTATCAGCCATTGGTTGAGGTTCTGGGTTTGAGCCTGCCACTTTTGGACTCTCGCTTGCTGAGGTGTTCCAGCGAGTGTCTCTGTAGATCTTAGAAAACTATTTCTTGATTTAAGTCGTTGACGTGCTGGCTGATACCCAAACAGGGATGAGCTGGAGATGTCTCTGCCTTGGTCCTTTCACTATTGGCTGCTACTTCCCCGGCGGATGTCAGGTGGTGCAATACCGGCTAAGCAGTGTAATTTCTCCAGTGGTGTAGGGCGCAGACACCCCGTGATACTGCGGCATGTCTCATTAAGAGCCACATCCACTGTTTTAGTGTAGTGAGATGTGTTCCACACTGGGCATGCGTACTCAGCAGCAGAGTAGCACAGCACAACGGCAGATGTCTTCACTGTGTCTGGTTGTGATCCCCAGATTGTGCCAGTCAGCTTTCGTATGATATTATTTCTAGCACCCCCTTTTTGCTTGATGTTCAGGCAGTGCTTCTTGTACTGGTTTTATTTATTTGTCGTGTCAGGGCAACCAGTCCATTATATTACATTTCTAACAGAACAAAGCAAACAAACAGACAAAATACAAAATTTGTGAGTTTGGTAGTTGATTAAATGTCCTTTGACCAGTATCTGGCCACTTGAAGTGCTTCTGGTGTTGCTGCAAGAAGGTCCTCCATTGTGCATGTGGCAGGGCTCAGGTTGCATTGCAGCAGGTGGTCAGTGGTTTGCTCTTCTCCACACTCGCATGTTGTGGATTCCCCTTTGTAGCCCCATTTCTTAAGGTTGGCTCTGCATCTCGTGGTGCCAGAGCGCAGTCTGTTCAGTGCCTTCCAAGTCGCCCAGTCTTCTGTGTGCCCAGGGGGAGTCTCTCATTTGGTATCAGCCATTGGTTGAGGTTCTGGGTTTGAGCCTGCCACTTTTGGACTCTCGCTTGCTGAGGTGTTCTTGTAGGTCAGAGCACGGTTCAGAATGACTCCCAGGTATTTCGGTGTGCTGCAGTGCTCCAGTGGGATTCCTTCCCAGGTAATCCTCAGAGCTCGGGATGCTTGTCTGCACCAAGGCAGTGAAAGTGCCTCATTTCTGCAGGGCGAAGGTAGTATCCCTCATTGACAGATGCTCTCCTGCCAGCCAGGGCGCTCTGCTCCAGTACATTCTTCTCGGCCGCAGACGATTGGTCAAAAATCCCGTGACGTCATAAAGGAGAGAACGAAGCCGAAAAGGACGGAAGCTTTCGGACTGCGGCCAGAGGGAGGGAAGGCGCGAGAGGGGAGGCGGGGCTTGAAAACGTTCCAACCAATCGCCGCTGCCGAAGGGGGCGTGTCTTGGCAGAAGACTGCGGCCGTTGAGGAGTTTTCTTTTCCCTCGTTTCATTCCTCGCCTGGCTGCCGGAGGGGTCGGAGATGAGTAGCTGTCAGTATGGAGAAGCAGGAAGGGCGGGGCTTGGCTACAAGTGGGGCCAGCATTGGCCGTCTCTAGCCGTCAATCAAATCAATGAGTAGATTCCAGTTCCCTCAGAGTTAGGGGCAGATGAGGCGAAGGAAGGAGGGAAGGGGCTTCGAGGGAGGATGATGAAGAAGAAGAAGCAGCAGCAGCAGCAGCCGCGCCGAGGCCCCCCCGAGGAGGAGGAGGAGGAGGAGACCTTGTGCTGCTGCGAGTACCTCGACCGCACGGGGGAGCGGAGCCACCTAGCGGCCTGCCTCTGCGACTGCCAGGACCTCGACGAGGGCTGCGAGAGGTGAGCACTGCGGGAGGCCCACGAGGAAACTTTTCACCACACGACCACAAAGCCCAGGGACGGACCACGCGCCGGCCGTCGAGTCCAGCAGCCTCAGGAAGGAGGGATTGAGAGCTGAGGTGGAAGGAGAGGAAGCCCTCCAGGAAGCTGGAGACCTTGCTGGGGTCACGCTCTCTCAGCCTCAGAGGAAGGGCTTGGAAACGTATTTGCAGAATCTACCAATCAAGATTCATACCAGGCATGGGCAAACTTGGGCCCTCCAGGTGTTTTGGACTCCAACTTCCAAATAGGCCCTTTCCTTTCCCCCTCAGCCGCTTAAGCCAGAGGCTGTTAGGAATTGTGGGAGTTGGAGTCCAATTCATACCAGGCATGGGCAAACTTGGGCCTTTCAGGTGTTTGGGACTCCAACTTCCAAATAGGCCCTTTCCTTTCCCCCTCAGCTGTTAGGAATTGTGGGAGTTGGAGTCCAATTCATACCAGGCATGGGCAAACTTGGGCCATCCAGGTGTTTTGGACTCCAACTTCCAAATAGGCCCTTTCCTTTCCCCCTCAGCCACTTAAGCCAGAGGCTGTTAGGAATTGTGGGAGTTGGAGTCCTGGACACCTGAAAGACCCAACTTTGCCCATGCCTGATTTTTAGAACTATATTTTAGTTCTAAACACACACGAGGGTTGAATGACAAGTAATGGCTCCACCTTCATAATTCCTCAACAAATGGCCGTACTGGTATGCGGCAGGTACTGGCTTGTTTCAGTAGACTCTCCTCTACAGTTCCATTTTGACAGGAAGCCTTAGCATTGAACAGTTGTGTTGTTAAAGTGCAAAGTATGGAACCCTGGGCAGATGGTCAGTCAATGCGACTTAAGCAACGTGCAGTCATTGAATTCTTGACAGCAGAAGGTGTCACCCCAAAGGAGATTCATCAGAGAATGCAAGCTGTTTATGGTGATTGTGTTGATGTGAGTACTGTGCGTCGTTGGGCGAGTAAGTTTAAAGATGTTGAGGTGACACTTTCTGCTGTCAAGCATTCAGTGACTGCAAGTTGCTTAAGTCGCATTGACCGTCTGCACAGGGTTCCATACTTTGCACTTTAACGACACAACCATTCAATGCTAAGGCTCCCACCAAAATGAAACTGTAGAGGAGAGTCTACTGAACAAGCCAATACCTGCCACATACCAGTACTGCCATCTGTTGAGTTACGAAGGTGGAGGCATTACTTTTTATCCAACCCTCCTGTGTGTGTGTATATATAAATCTATGTTAACTGAGGAAATACATTGTAGCTTTAAATGTCATGTCATATTATATATATATATATATATATATATATATATATATATATATGTGAACCATAACATGTAAAACTGCAATGTATTTCCTCAGTTAACAGGTCAGCTCTCCAGACATAGCTGAACATTAAGTATAGTATGTATGTGTGTGTGTGATATACAGTACATGAACCATTGCATGTAAAACTGCAGTGTATTACTCAGTTAACAGGTCACCTCTCCAGGCTGAAAATTAAGTATAGTATGCATAAGCCCCTCCATGCAGTCATGCTGGCCATATGACCTTGGAGATGTCTATGGACGATGTCAGCTCTTCGGTTTAGAAATGGAGATGAGCATCTCCCCCCCCCCCCCGCCCCCCAGAGTCAGACAGGACTAGACTTAATGTCAAGGAGAAACCTTTACCTTGATCCATTACATTTTAAACTGCAATGTATTTCTTCAAGTCAGCTCTCAAGGCATAGCTGAACATTAAGTATCATTTTTATATTATGTGTATGTGTGTCTATATATAGATATAGTTTTATATATTACATATGTATATATATATATCATTTATATAAATGTATGTATACACATACATACAGAAATCTACCAAGCAATATTTATAGTTGAAAACCTGTATTTTTATGTATGTGTGTGTGTGTGTGTGTATGTATATATATATTTATGCATACACACAGCGCTCCATGCAGTTATGCTGGCCACATGACCTTGGAAGTGTCTATGGTCAACGCCTGCTCTTTGGCTTAGAAATGGAGATTGAGCACCAACCTTCAGAGTCCGACACAACTAGACTTAATGTCAAGGGGAAACCTTTACCTTTACTATATTATATAATTGTATGTATATACACATATACATAAAGACATCTACCAAGTAATATTTATAGTTGAAAACCTGTATTTTTATTTATAAACGTCTATATCATTTATATTTATTATATACATGTATGTATATACACATATAGATACAGAGATCTTCCAAGCAATATTTATAGTTGAAAACCACTGTGTGTGTATGTGTGTGTGTGTGTATACAGAGAGAGAGAGATTTTATAGTATATTTCTTGTATGCCCTGCAAGGATGGAAATAATCAAAGTATGGCGAAAAAAGAATACAGAATTCGATAAATGGAATGTGTATAGCTTTATCTGAAAAATTAACCTAGAAAGTAAATTTAGAGAGAGGGAAAATAAAATAATTTGTTCAAGGTTATATGGAATTGTTGTTTTTATATTGATTTATATCCCATTTTCCCCTCAAAAAGGATACACGGAGCAGCTAACAACACTGAAATATATATTTTTATATATAAACCTTATCATATATTTCTGGTATGCACTGCAAGGATGGAGATAGTCAAAATATGGCAAAAAATAGAATCCCACTACGAAATTGGATAAACAGAACATATAGCTTTATTTGACAAATTAATATATAAAGTAAGAGTAGAGTGACAAGAAATAAAATATAATTTGTTCAAGGTTATAGAAGCCATTTATGAGCTGTATGTGCCAGGGTGATATCAAATTTAAACCACCCTCAGGTTAAGTGAGATTTTGATTCAAAGTCTAGGGCAAATATGTCTGTTATTTTAAAAATAAGACAATAGAGGATAAGATAATGTACTAGTAAAGGGACTGATAGAGAAGTAGTATGTAAAGGTCTGTGACTTGGAGAGGGAAGGGAGGGTGGATGGGATAATGCAAAGAATTTGTGATTATTAATAAAATAAAATGTTTTTAAAATTTTCCTAACATAAAAAACATGTTGGAAATGACTAGAAGGCACACAGTAACCTAACTAAATTATTGCTCACCTATGGCAATTTGATTTCCAGACATAGGCAGTCAGGTTAAGCATGCCTTACCTGAAATTTTAGATACTTATTGCATTTTTAAACTACTAATTAAATCATTTTGTTTTGTGTTTTAGCTGAAGCAATGACATCCAATTCCAGTAAAAGAACTGCACTACGTATAGACTGAGCATACTTTATCCAGAATTCCAAAATTTGAAATTGTCCGTAGGTGGCTGAGATAGTGACACCTGCACTTTCTGATGGTTCGGTGTATTCAAAATTTGTTTCATGCACAAAATTATGAAAACTATTTTTTATAAAATTGCATTCATGCTGTGCGTAAAGTGTATATGAATCATAGTCACTACCTCTGAGGATGCTTGCCATAGATGCAGGCGAAACGTCAGGAGAGAATGCCTCTAGAACATGGCCATATAGCCCGAAAAAACCTACAACAACCCAGTGATTCCGGCCATGAAAGCCTTAGACAATACAATGAAAAACAATGTTCTGTCACTTTTAAGAGTCATGCCAACTTACAGCATAAAACATATAGAGATTTATTGGTTCCCATCATTTTTTACCTAACACTGCAGCAGTCACTGTGCAACAGTCATATCTGTCTTTCCCTCAGAAATAAAAAGCACAGGCTTCTTAAAGAACTTTAATATTTTTTCATTAATGGTGTTTCTATATTTTGCAGTAGTAATCAATTTTTCTAACATAAGCAATTCAGTAATAGTGTTAGAAGTACGTACAGACAAAAATAGTATTTCTATTAAAAGCCTGAAATGGTAATATGTTAAATATGCATTTTATTGTGATGTAAGCATAGAATAGAAACATAATATGCTATAATATTGCAGTTCTTCTATTGGGAATAAATTTTATTGCTATAAGTAAACGTAGAACACACATTGTAATTCTGTCATTGGGAAAAGATTTCATTGTTTCAGCTAAAATACAAAATAATTCCATTAGTAACTAAACATTGCAATAATTTTACAGATAATAATGTGATAGAAATTGTTAAGAAAATCTGGCATCCCACCTACACTGCCACTCACTCGTACACACTGGCTAAAACCATCTTCTAACTAGATGAAGTGGACTCAATTCAATTGTTATTTATGCTTAATAACATTTACTTTTTATATTGCCACAACAGCCTATTATGTTTGCATTCAGAGTTTGATTTCAGAACTCTTTCCCCATCATGGCTCTACCCCATTATTGGTGTTTTCTGATACATCCTTTTATCAATGTCTCTAACTGATCAGGTGGCTTCCTCTGTCGAATGCATTGCCATCTCGAGGCTTTTATTTGCAATTACTATTTGTGAAAACATTTTAAAACTGCTCTTCCTTGTTAATACTTGGGGGGGGGGGCAAGTGTATGATTACAGTCACACAAATTATAATAAAACCATCAAAAATGTAATAATTTTTTAAAAGGGAGTCAGTAAATGTAAGAGGTAGTATACCGTACCCACCAGTTAAAACAGCTGGGCAAACAATCAGATGCTGAAACAATTGAAATATTGACACCATTCATTTCTCCATGAGAAAAATATTCCATAAATAGGTCATCTGTGCATTTAACAAGGCAACATATTTTAGAAAAGTGTATGAACATTTTACTTACAGAAATTCTGGATGACATGCAACTTTTAGAGACTTGTGAAAGCAAGTGACATTTGGAAAGATTTTGTTATATTAAGATTAAGGATACTCGGTAGTTTCCAGAAGTGATTATTGTTAATTACCATTGTTTACTTTGATTTATGGTGACCTTATGAACGAGAAACCTCCAAGAAATAAACAGCTCTGTTAAGTGTGTTGTTGAAGACTTTCATGGCTGGAATCACTGGGTTGCTGTGAGTTTTCCGGGCTGTATGGACATGGTCGTACAGCCTGGAAAACTCACAGCAACCCAGCTGTGCTAAGGTCTTGCAGACACAGGGCAAGTCCCACTCTCTCATCCTCAGAGGAGGACAATGGCAAATCTCTTCTGAAGAAAACCTGAGATAGGGTCACCATAAATCAGAAATATCTTGAAGGTGTACAACAGCAGAAATCATGTCTTTAGAAGCCCATGCTTGGAAGTAGTACCAGACAATTGAACATTCTGGAATGGGAGGGAGAGATTGATGACAAAAGCTAGCAAAAATATGTGTTTTGATTTCTTCGGTCTAACATGAGCAGAAATCTGTGCTTTTCCCTAACAGGTGGCTGACTTGCCGATCTTTGCCCCCGGGAATGTTAGAGAGAATTGCAGACACCTTCACGGACCGCTTTCGCCTCCCTTGGCTTAGGGGGGCTGTAAAGATTGATATCAGCCTCCTTCCACCAATCATCCTGCTGCCTGTTTTCCTTCACGTAGCAGCTTTGCACTTCCTCCTGGCTCTTGTTACCCTGATATCACTTCCTGTCTTGGTGCTGTGGTATTACTACCTTACACACAGGAAGAAGGGCCAGACCCTCTTTTTCTTAAGTCTGGGTCTCTTCTCCTTAGGCTACATGTACTATGTCTTCCTCCAGGAAGTGGTTCCCCAGGGCCATGTGGGACACAGTCAGGTGATTCTTCTCACATGTGGTTTAATCCTCATGCTTGTGGCTTTGTCTCGAGCCAAGAGAGACCCGGGCTACCTTGACTGCCAAATAAGCAGTGACGAAGCACTTTGCCAAGGCAGCAGCAGCAACAATAACAACATATTAAACCGGAATGGCCTCGGGAGTTCCAATGGGCTTTACAGAGCAGCTGTATCTGGAGATACTGTGAATAGTAAAACTGAGGGCAATGCCAAAATGTTTGCAGTGGGGCCAGGTGGGGACTGGTGCACCAAATGTCAATTGGTTAGGCCAGCTCGAGCTGGGCACTGCCGGATTTGTGGTAGATGTGTGAAGAGACTGGATCATCATTGTGTCTGGTATGTCCCTTGAAGTTTCAAGTTGACTTTTGCATTTCTCTGACATATGTCTTTCCAATGAGCTGGGGTCTCCTTGAAATTATATTTCTCGTTTTTGGGGGATCTGTCCATTTTTTTTAAAAAAAGTAAGTGAAATTCAGACTCTTGGAAATTTAATGTCTGGGCTCTTTGCAGTGGTAGTTAAGGGATTTTTATTTTGCTCTTCTAAAACTAGAAATTGAGGTATGGCAATAAATTGTGACCCCTCCTGAGAATAATAATCAACTGGCAATCGTAAACGTTGTGAATGTTTAATAGAACAGCAGTTCCCAACTTTGGTCCTCCGGGTATTTGGGACTTCAACTCCCAGAAGCTCTGGCCAACTGCCAGGAATTCTAGTAGGTGAAGTTAAAAAAACCCTTGGAAGACCAAAGATTGGGAGCCATTCCAACAGAAGAATGGGAAGCCTGTGGCTCTCTGGGACTTGTTGCACTAAACTGACATCATTCCCCATAGACATGGTGGCTTTGATTGATGGAAATTACAGCCCAAAACATGTGAAGGATCAACCCTGATTTTAATAAGTTGTTTCTCAAATCTGGCCTGCCAAAGCATTGGTATAACTCCCTCGGAGGTTTGAATTGGCACTTGCAAACAGGAATGGAGAAACAGTAGGGCAGAGCATTTGAGAAAAAGACACTAAACTACAGACACTCTTCACCTGGCAAACTTCAAAGTACTGAGCCTTTACTATTCTGTAAACGTGACCGTCAGAATCAGTAATCAAAAACTTAAATGATGAAGGTTCAGAAAGCCAAATACAGCTATTAAATTTCACATTTATTATGGGAAATCTTGAATTGCAAAATACATGCAGCCTGTATGTATTCCTGGTGGATGTGAGTTATTCCAATTGCAATAATGCAAAATGTGCCTGTCTGCTAGCAGCTGATCTTAAGTAGCATGGATTTTTCTCTGTAGGCTATGAGTACATGCACATATTGTTTTAATGCAGTTGCTTCAGACATAATGGCAAATCATATTTTAATACTCCAATGAGCCTTTGAAGGAGGTACAAGCTATTACATTTTCCTCCCCTTCTCCTGTGTCCCCTCCCCATGTGGCAATCTTTTCCTCATGTTAAGATCAGCCATAGTTGTGCAAAACAGCACACTATGATTTGTGCATTCTTGTAACCCAGGATTAGAAGCTTCCCAATTCAGGGAAAAAAACAAGGATGAGATCAAATATTCAATTAATATTTCGCAATATGGAGTCTTAATTTATAATCCAATCCATTGTAATGCTTTATTTCTCTCTCTCTCTTTCTCGGAGGATTAACACCTGTGTGGGTGAACAGAACCACCAAGCCTTTATCCTTGCTCTCTGTCTTTTTCTCATCACCTCTGTGTACGGGATTTCTTTGACTCTGGACACCATCTGTAGGGGAAAATCTACAATCAAGGCACTGTTTCATTGTCCTGGTGTCTATGGAGATTACAGGTGCGAGAAATGCTAAGTAAAGGATTATTGAGTTGTTGATGCAGCCTTTTGTCAGAGAAGCCATCTTCTGGTTGGTCTTTCCTCTGCTGTCTTGTCTTCAGTTTCATATGTGACTGCATGATGATCTTGAAAGAGTTGTCATTGTAAGGCTTTTTGCTAATTTAATAGAAGTCTGCTAAACTGGGCTACTGTATACTTCTGACTTCGTCAAATGAACATATGGCAACTGCATGGTGCAAAGCTAAAGTTCTTTTTTTTGTTTGTTTCTGTTTTTGTAGATGGTTAGCTTTGTATTTCTGTCAGCCAAAAACAAAACAAACAAAAAACCCCTTGCTAATGATGTCCTGGAAACGGCTTGGTGTTGCAGTTCTTTTCCTTCCTTGCTTAAATCCTTGTGCTTTCTAAAATATCATCACTTGTTTCAGTTGTCTCAGTAGCCCTCATCCTCATTTTGGTCCTTTTGGTGTCAGTTTTCCTATAAGTAAGCTTTTTAACCTCCTAGAGCTCCCTTGCTAAAAGCATATTTTGTCCTGTTTATGTGGAATATCTGTAGGGAAGATTATTTCAACTGTTTATATTTGTCCCTTACCCTCATACACTTCCTCATACACTTCCAACTGTCTGTGAGGACGTTGCCCAGGGGACACCCAGATGTTTTGATGTTTTACCATCCTTGTGGGAGACTTCTCTCATGTCCCCACATGGGGAGCTGGAGCTGACAGAGGGAGCTTATCTGCACTCTCCCTGGCTTCAAAACTCTGACCTGTCGGTCTTCAGTCCTGCTGGCACAAGTGTTTAACCCATTGCGCCACCAGGGGCTCTGTTTTCTCTGGTGCATGACAAGCGGTGTCTCTAGAATACCAATTGCTTAATAATAAAGTTTTGCATTTCGTATAAGGCATGAATAATGATGGTATCCTAATTGAAATATCATATTTGAAATGATCTAATGAAATTTAACATTAGATGGCAAAAACCAGACTTCAGTTTTATAATGCAATTTCAGAAATGGAAGAGGCTTAAAAGAAGAAGAACCTGAAATTGCTCGAACGCTGTGTCAGTGGTGGATTGAAATGATGAGGAGACACATGCCAGCTCTAGGGTCAGAGTTCTTCCTCATCCACATCACTAACTAAAAGCACTTAATATGTGGATTTTTGTCTGTGTTAATGCTCTGTGTCTTTGCTTTTTGTTCTCTTCTTCTAGTTCTGCCCTGTCCTTCACCTGTGTATGGTACTGTACTATTGTAACCTCCGGCATGGCTTACATCCTTCTCATCCAGTTCTTCAACATCAGCTACAATGTGACTGAGAGGGAAGCTCGTATTGCATTGCGAGAGAATATTGGACGAAGGCTGTTGTGTGGCCTGGTGGTGGACACAGGCCAATACAATCGAGGCTTCTTGTGCAATTGGATCCATTTCCTTTCTTTGCGTTCAGCCGTTTTGCACCACTCCGACGAAGACATTGTATGAAGTGGGCTGCCAATCTTACTGGGTTATCATCCTTAGCTTATTAAGGCATTAAGAGCACAAAGCTCTCATTTGCTGGATACTAAGTAACAATGCAGCATTTTCTAAGCCATATTGTGGTTTCATATGCCATGTTCTGTGTGCGAAGTTATTCATTTGATATGTTACATGATATCTTATGTGTACAAAAGAACCATGATAGACCAAACACCTGATACCTAAGGCTCTTTACTTTTCTCTGAAGGCTATTCATATATTCAGCTGTTGGATTGTCTTGTACATTTACATGTGAATTAGCCAACAGATTTCTGTATTGGTGCTTGGGACTGTAGGTTGGAGTGATCGTCTTTATCAGGGCATCAGCAATCCATTACATGATTTAGAGAGGAATGTTCTCTTCAATTCCAGTGCAGTATCTTGAATGTTGATATGGTGTTTCTCAAAATTGAGCGCTAGTTGGCCTGTGAGAATTCAGGAAAACTGAGCAGCAGGTTGCTGAGTGTGAGAGCTTTCTACAATCCACAAATACAAAGGCCAACTCCTCCAAGTTGCAAAGGTTTTGCTTCACAGCCACTATATTAATTGATGTACTAACCAAGAGAGCTGCAGAGAGGCAGACCAGAATATAAATCATGGATCTAGCAGTAGAGTTTGGTGGTGGTTTGGCAACCATATCTAATTAGTTGTTTAACAATAATTGATTGAACCAAAGCACAAATTTTACTACTAAAAGTTTTTGAAAAGTGAGAATTGAGATGCTAACCATGTGTAGATGTTGAAAAGAAGGGAATAGAAGCTTTATTCAGTTGTACTCAAAACATGATGGATACTGTGGTTCAGGTTACGATAGTGTAGTTCAAGCTTAAGGTCACTACATATGCTAGGGAGCCGTGGTGGCGCAGTGGGTTAAACCCTTGTGCTGGCTGAACTGCTGACCTGAAGATCGGTGGGCAGTTCAAATCCGTGAGACGGGATGAACTCCCATTTGTCAGGCCCAGCTTACCATGCAGGGACATGAGAAAAGCCTCCACAGTATGGTAACACATCTGCACATCCCCTGGGTAACGTCTCTGCAGACAGCCGATTCTCTCACACCAGAAGAGACTTGCAGTTTCTCAAGTTGGTTCTCACACCATTAAAAAAAAACCCTATACATACTACTACAGCTCTATACGTGGACTTCATGTGTTCACCTGCAAAAATGTTAGCTGTCTTTGGATTGTGGAATTCAAGGTAGTATAGAGAAGTGTTTGAATCCAAAGTTTGAGAAACATTGTTTTAAGATACTGTTACAATGGAATCAAATGTACCATGCTGCAAGTTGCTTGCATTTTTTAATTTTAGTATTCAGTAGCAAATTGTATGCTTTCATTATGTTTTGTGCCAGGTGCGGTATTAAAAAGGGAATACTCCTGCACTTCAATTTATATAGGGAAACTAGTAACCCCACAACATTAATTAACATCTTTTCACTTTCTCCATTACAATAATTGAGATACTTTGGTAGTTCAACCAAGTGCCTTTGGGATTTTGTTTCTCTAGGAGCTGAGATTTGTGAGGTTCTTAGGTAGGTAATAGCATGGTTGCTGCCACCTATCTGTCACAGAATATGATTTTTTCCTATGTAATTATTGCAGATTTCCCAATCTGAAAGATAACTCATAACAAAAGATAGTACGCATGGGCAATCCATGGTTCTAACGTACTTACAAAACTAAAGCTCTGGTGGTGAAAACTAGAGGGCGCTGGTGCTTTGCTTCTACAGTTTGCCAAAGTTCTGGTGATGAAAATTTCATTATTATATCATTATTGGCAATTTTTATGACAGGAACCAATTAGGAACTACCGTTTATAACAAAATTTTGAATTTTTTGTTAGAGTTCTGAATTTTTCACCACCAGAACTTAGTTTTGTAAGTACTTTAGAACCATCTAGAATCATGGATTGCCCATGCCTAAAATATAGCAGTTGAAAACTGAAATAATTACATTGCCAGAAATAGGCTCAAAAAAGCCTGTAAATCAAATGTATAACAGTACAAAAATGCAATACTGGACATCAAAAAGCACATTGCAATGCAAGAAGCATATATGGGGTCACATCTTGTACTGTTCTATATGGGCCATTAACCCTTGTTTTGGTGGGGTATATGTGGTTTTCCAGAGGTTGCAAATTGGCAATTCCTATTAGTTATAACCAGGATATCCCATATTGAGAAAAAATGTAATTCAACAACATCTGGAAGGCCACATAGTTGCCATCTTTTTGCAACCATATCATAAAATAATTTGGACAATCAAGAATGTTTAGTAAGATTTAAGTGCCATTTACAGTGCAATACAGGCCAGTGAGTTACATTATCCTGAGAAGATATTGTAGGAAATTGTTGCTTGTACTGTTGCATCCTTTTTGTACAATCTGGTGCAGAGATAGGAATGCCTTAATTTATATTATTCTCTGGAGAGGTCCTGTACCATGTTATTTTAGTGGGGCATTACAGTTCCACTTGTACAAATTGGTATGGTATGAAATTATTGCTTAAATAGATAATAAGATGGTTCTTTTTTAGTGTGATGTTGTGATAAGGGTTACATACATTTTGCAGCACACAGCTAGGCATTTGAAGGATATAACAATGTGCCAGTCTTTCTTTTCTTTGTATACATTCACATTTCTTATCACTGTCAGCACATTGTATAGAATTAGTTCAAAATACACTATTTTATTTAGTCTCACATTTGGAACAGCAGGGGGCAACAGATAACAGGAGCCATCAAACATCCTTTACAGAAGTTTGTATCCAAAGACAGCTATTGTCTCACTTTAGGCCTTAGTTTTGCCTTGATACCTGCACAGGTTTCATCTTAATTCTTTACTAGTTGCATTATCCAGTATTGCTTGTAAGATCATTACTGATCATTCTGTTTCAACTGCTGCAGAGGATGAATGCCTATCTCTCTGAGGGCTCAGGTGTTCTTTATATTGTGCCTCCATATCCGTTTATCTTCCAGTCAGTTGTAACCACTACTCTGTATGAATGAAAAATAATTGGGATGTCCCCAAGATTCCTCCAAAGTGCATTTAGTGTATTCACATGATAAGTCAGACAATTCCAAACATCCCCTGGTTCAGAAAAAAATTACTGTACATACATTCCATGACTTAAGTGATGTGATAGCCAAGAATGTAAGTGTTATTTATATCAAAAGCTCATCAGAATCTTTCATATTGTTATAAGCATCTGTGAGTGAGATAAAGATGGAATGCCAACCAATCTCTCCCAATGAATGTGTGTACATAGCATAGCCCACATTTTAGCTAAATGTTCAACTTCTTGCTAACTGAAAGATGTGTTGAGCAGGAACAATTTTAGGATGTAGTTTGGAATGGTCTGCATGAGGGCAGTGGTATAATCTCTGAATATATTTTGCCAAGAAAATCCCCTGACAGAGATGCCATAAATTGGAGTTGTCTTGAAGGCATGAAGCAATAAAAGGAAGTGTCTGATAAGGTAAAAGCACAGGATGACTGATCCTGTATGATCACTGTTACTGCAAATCTCTGCAAGCATTTTTCTTCAATGAGCTAGTGAATTTTTGTTTATATTATACTCTTTTGTGGCAGGAATGAGCATTGAAGATATTTTGTAGTATGAAGGAATTTTATAAAGACTGGAATGTGAAATCTTGAAAACATTAATCTTTCCTATTAAAATTGTCTTCTGTGCTGCAGAATAAATTTCAGTAACGGAAAACTCATGCCTTTATAAAGCAACATTATCTAGATTGTTGTCACTGCTGCATCAAAGTAAAATCCATGCAATATAAAAACATAGCTCTGAGCACAATGGAATGCAGTGCTTGGAATAAACTTGCTACCTTTTCCTAGTCATGCCTTTCTACTTGCCAGACATTTTGTAGAAACTCCAATTCTGTTTGAATATCAGGTATTTACTTCATCTCTATAAGGCAGAAATGACTTCCTGGTGGGCCAATAGCATTTCAGCCCTTGTATTCAATGGTGCTTTTCCAGAGTAGATTTCTTTGTGTCTTAACCATTTTCTGTTAAAAGTGTCTTATGTAGAACATGTAATAACTGCCTCACTGTCTAGTGACTTCATTACGTGCTCTTTTACTTTAAATTATATTAATGTATTTTGTCCCTGCAAGGGAAGACGATGCAATGATTACTGCCTTTTTCCTATCACATCTTAAGTGGCATTAGTTTTCTGAGAAAATTTCATTCAATGCCAATTCTCAACTGCACAATGAGATGAAAGAAGGACATTGCCTTTTTCAGGCATTCTGTGTCATAGATGTATAGACAACTGCAAAATGGGAGAAGACAGAAGAACAGCTTCCAACTTGAATATTTCCTGCTGAAGACATTTGGAAACTCAGTTGTCAAATGCTTATCTGTGAAAATGTTTGAATATGTTTTATTATGTATCCATTTGAGATGAGTCAGTACCAGCTGAAATATTTTTTTTTTTAAAAAAACACCTATTTTGAATTATCATAGAGTTGTAGAACCATACTATCACTTCATACGTCTTGGTGATAATAAATTTAAGCCAATACCTTGGTGTAATGTTGCTGCAAGTCTTTTCTTCCTCGGAGGGTTAGGACTGCTTGCTTTTCACTGTGCGTGCCCTTGTACGAGAATTCCAACTTAATGGACAGTGAAGATAACCTTCTTAGTAACTGGGCAGCAACATTGGTGGTTATACTCATAACCATCGTTTCCATCAAAAAGAGAAGAGGGGGAAGGAAGCAAATAGGGCCAACAGTAGGTTTACACTATAGGCTCTTACCACACAAAAGAAGGCCAACAAATATAAACAAGATTAGATGGAAAAAAGAAGCACTAACCTGTACTTAAGCAGGGGTTTAATCAGCAATTTTCTCTGGAAAACAAAAGATGGTCTCACACTGGCAGAAACAAAATCACACAGCTCTGCCATTTGCGTGAACCAATTTTATAGATTAAGACTCAGAGAATGGGACATGCAAATTCTTCCCCCTAACTCCCAAGTCTAGTTACTTTCTTGTCTGGAATCCATTTGTAATGTTCGGAAATCTGGCAAAATTTCAGATACTCTCCTCCTCAATTGTTCCAGTCTTTTTTCTTTCTCCCTTTCCTCTTTCATCAATGCTGGAAATTTACTCCAGGTTCTGAACACAGTTAGCATTATCCTCCTGTATCAAAAATGGCAAGAAAGAAGAAAGCAGTATAGGGTCATCACAATAACAACGGCCATTCATGAGTTTATTCATGTGTTTAGAAGCCCTTGGTGGTGCAATGGGTTAAACCCTTGTGCTGGCAGGACTGCTGACTGACAGGTCAGTGGTTTTAATCTGGGGAGAGTGGGTTGAGCTCCCTCTGTCAGCTCCCCAAGCGGGGACATGAGAGAAGCCTCCCACAAGGATGGTAAAACATCAAAAACATCTGGGCTTCTGGGCAACGTCCTTGCAGACAGCCAATTCTCCTACACCAGAAGCGACTTGCAGTTTCTCAAGTCACTCCTGACACGAAAAAAAGTGTTAAGACATTGCTTCTTTGTTCTTTCTATTCTCCACTAAATAAAATTGAAACTGACAACAGAAACCCAATTCAAATAGATGACTTTTCTAATGGCAAAAATTATCAAAAAAGTGAGGAGCATTTTGTTATTCACTGCTACTCTCTGGGAAAATATTGCACATGCCATCTTAATGGGAGGTGAGGTAGGAGTGGTGGAAAATGGGCACTCAACCAAACAATAGAAACTGTAAGAGACCCAGTTGAAGCTATGTGGGAGAATCTGTCCTGCTTAGGGTTCCCGAGGCATAAAACTTTGCTTGATCAAGTCTCATTTTATGAGCTCTTACTACTAAGAGTGTGTAGTTATTCAAAAAAAGTAGTGAACATTTCATACAATTATTATTAATAATAATAATTCATTATTTATATGCCACTTTTCTACAAAGGGACGCAAAGCGGCTTCCAACATGTTTAAATACAATAGAAAATCAACAGCAATCAAACACACAAATATAAAAAGTTATAAGCTATAAAATAAAACATAACTAAACATGTAAAACCATATTCAGTATTGAGCTACCGTAACACATTGCACTAAATACCACCCAGTAAGGATTAAACCTCATCACTTCAGCCTAAGGTTTACATATGAGCTTCTCAAATGAAAAATTCTGGTATATTCACAGAATTACCTGTCACTATATTGATCTGCAATCTTCTGTTTCTCCCAGAGTGCAGTTTTCTCTTCACTGAACACATCAAACCAAGCCCAAAAGACCTTCTTTTTAAGGGAGCTTTCATGGTGCTTTATTGCATCCTCTTCCAGAGCAGATAAGTAATTCTTGTACTGGAAAACAAATCCAAGGAAAATATAGAATCAAAGCAATGTTTAAGTTTTACAGCTGTATAACAACACAGGAAGGAGCAAAGAAACAGTGTGGAGATGAGAGCCATTTGGTGAGAAAGGTTTCTGTCAGTAAATGTAATGTTTTGAGAACCTCACCATTTTAAAAGAGTACTAAGGACAACTACATTTGCATTTCCACTTAAAGCTGGATCAAAGCAAAACTACACTGTTGTCCCAGTCACTGTTCACAGTGGGGATGTACATCTTCTCCTGTGATATTTGCCATATGAAAGAGTTTTTCATCACCATAAAAATAGCTCTTAAACAAAGCAAAGGCTCCCTGGTGGTTTCAATAGCCCACATCTTGCTATCTCTTCTCTAGATAATGTTTTTGAGAGGCATATGAGTGAGATAAATAATATAGACAGACAGGTAAGCTTCCCACAACTATATCTGAACAATAAGTACATCACTGCATCTTTATGATGTCTAGGCTGGGTGTAAAAATTTTGTAGGTCGGCCTATCCATTCACACTCACCCCTTTATTATTTTATAATGTACTTTGGCAAACAAAGCATTTTCATGTCCATCTTTAGCCTGCAGGCCTAGATTAGAATCTCCTATGAGAGCCTCTACTTTCATAACCTCAAAGCTGTTTCAAAATTATATTTTGCTGTTGTTTACCTGCATCCAGATCCTGAAGTACCTTCTGAGCAACAGGGAGGAATAAAGCTCTTCAGCTTTAATTGTTTTCTCAGTCAAATTTTCTTGCATATGATGAAGCCAGGCAAGTAAACACTTCCTTTTCAGTCTACAGCCACGGTGCTTTTGTGCCAACTTTTAGCCCAGTAACCAAGAAAGAGAACCAGTCAGTCAAATGATGGCTTAGGAGTTGCAGCTACAGAAGTTCCATGGCAAGCAACAGTATTCTAGCAAACAGCGCCAGATGGAGTGCTGGTATACAACTCACCCTCCCCGCTTGCGAGGTTTGGAAGTCATAGTCCAACAACAGTTGGAATACCACACATTTCCCCACCTTATTATAACCACTAAACTGCATTTTATTTACCCTCATGAGTTCTCATTCTATGATAATTAGATTTACAGTGTATTATATTTTAACTAAACCATTTTCATGCCAACTCTAGGAACTGTCCTCAATACACAAAGCCAATAATTCTTTCAAGATGCTTATTTTTGTCCCAATACCTACCAGCACATTTTCCTGGGCTTGCTCTATTAGTTTTTTCCAGGGCTCAAAACCCTTTTTCTTGAGTAGAACCATATCATAATGCTCCTTTGCTTTTGACAATAGCTGCTGGTCTCTCTCTAACCTCCTCTGATTTTCCAGTTCTTTCTGTTATTAACAAAACAGAAGGAATGAATTCATGAAGTCAGGATACTTTATCAAGAAAATGTTTGCAACATGCATTTGATCTTATACTAATTATTAACATTATAAATGAGCTTCTATTAAGAATACACTTAAGGCCTTTCAAGACACAGGCCCCATTATGGGATATGTAAAGCAGTTTCACTCATCTGTCAAACTGATATCACCATATGTTATTGAAGGCTTTCATGGCCAGAATCACTGGGTTGCTTTGAGTTTTTCGAGCTGAATGGCTATGTTCCAGAGGCATTCTCTCCTGATATTTCGCCCACATTTATGACAGGCATCCTCAGAGGTTGTGAGGTTTGTTGGAAACAAGGTAAGTGGGATTTATATACCCGTGGAATGTCCAGGGTGGGAGAAGAACTTTTGTCTGTTGGAGGCAAGTATGAATGTTGCAATTGGCCACCTTGATTAGCATTGAATAGCCTTGCAGCTCCAAGGTTTGTCTGTTTCCTCCCTGAGGGAATCCTTTGTTGGGAGGTGATCAGCTGGCCCTGATTTATTCTTGCCTGGAATTCCCCTGCTTTTTGGGTGTTGTTCTTTATTGCTTAGTTTCCAACAGACCTCACAACCTCTGCGGATGCCTGCCATAGATGTGGGTGAAACATCAGGGCAGAATGCTTTGGGAACATGGCCATACAAGCACAGAAAACTCAAAGCAAGCCAGTGATATCACCATTATTGTTGTTAAGTATGTGACTATGTTGCCTGTCAAAAGGTGGAAAGAAAGCCCTATGAAATTCATGGGATCATCATAAATCAACCGGCAACTAGAAGGCACAGGCACAGAACATGGAAATTTTACTTTTTTGAACTAAGACTTCAGGAGATGTAGTCCACCTCCTGTACCGTTTTGGATGAATTAGCAGTATTTTCTTTCTTCTGTCTTGCATCAAGGTGGGACCTGCTGAACCCCAGAATGCAGCAGAGGGATGTTCTGAGTCTTAGAAATTCTATAATCCCATTCCTTCCCCTGCCTTTGCATCTTCACTTCTCCTCCATCTGCTCTCACTGAGAGTTAAGATCATGAACTGGCTGCAGCAGTGTCAACCCATCTGCCCTCTTCTGGGCAGAACTAAAAATAAACTGAAAGAATGAATTAAGTAATGGGGACAGTCACAAAGAGAGAAACCTACTGAAGGCTAACCAAAATCTGCAGCTGAAAGTGCTTACATTCAGCCTATTAACACCTAAAAATTGGCACCTTCCAAGGAAGCCTATCGCCGTAGAAATACCCATTTTTATGAGATGGGTCCATAGGTATTGTTTTGAAAAATGACCACTAGTACTGCTTTGAAATAATTATATATAGAATAGATCTTTTGAGAAAAATATGAAAGCAATAGAACTTTCTAAAGACTGATGAGATAAACTGATACCTGCTGTTTATTACAAAGTGTCACTCAAGAGCCATCATGACCAATACTTTCAAGAACTAGAAGCATGGAATAAAAGTTAGCGCAATAATCTCACAATTTTTTGCAGTTTTCTTTCCTCCCGTCTTTTTTCTAATTGAGCTTCCTTTTCTGCTGCTTCTTCCCTCTGGCGCTCTTCTTCTTCAGCCTGCATTTGGGCCTAAAAGAAATAAAGAAACCCATTACATGTCAATCTCCCCTCTTATGCCAGAGGAATACAGAGGTTTGCATCCTGTTTGTGACTTGTGTTGGTGTATGCTGTTAACTCCCCTTGGGCACTGTGCAAGGAAGTATTCAGTATTTTCTTGGTAATACCTTAGCTCTGGATGCACAAGGTCATTTGAAAAGCTACTGATGCAGCTCCACTCTCCACCAGCCATCTATGGATTATTGGCTGCATAAGTGTACCTGGATACATTATAAAACTGATTTTCAGTCCCCAGCCCACCAGTCTACAACCGTTCCAATAGGATCCTGGCCAGAAATTCCAGAGTTTAGTAACTATAGATTGTTGCTGTGTGCTTTCAAGCTGTTTCCGACTCTTGGTGACCATACCACAGGGTTTTCTAAGGCTACATGTATGTGACTTGCCCCTTGTCTCTCTAGTTAGCAGGGTTCTAAACTCTGGTCTCCAAAGTTAGAAGTACAGCGATCAAACCACTACACTATCATAGTCAAATATAGCAGGATTCCCTCTATCTTAGTGTGAATAATTTTCAGTACTTGTGGTCGATATCCCATCAGACATTATTAGCAAATAACAGAATATTCAAAAAGAGAATAAGAAGCCTTAACAACTAAAATTAAATAAAAAACGCAAACTGTTATATCAGATATAAGACAAAACATCAAACATGGAACAGAAGCATCAATTTCCAGTTCCTTGGGAGCAAATAGATTATTGCTCAAAATGTCTATTGTTTATTTGAAAGGGAAGTATTGTGTATCTTCTTGTACAATGCCTTTGCTTTAGGTATGAAGTTTATAAAAATTGTTTATAAAATAATTTGAACTAAACTGCCATATGAGGAACTGAAGTCTTCCACCAATAGCATTACTGCATTTCTCTGCTGGATGTAAAACATAGGGCCCTGACATTACTGACACCTAGTATGGTTATTTTGCCAGGGCCGGAAGAGAGACAAGACTTGCCATCTTTGGTTACTTGGCTAATGCTTAAATATAAAATCAATTTAGTCAAACTGTATAAACCAGTTCTTATTCTGTTATGAACTATACCTAATTTCAGTTTTGAAATATTCCATATAAGAGTTTTGTTATTAAATTTTGGAGTTTATTTATTTACAGCATTTATATTCCTCCCTTCTCACCCTGCAGGGGACTCAGGGCGTATTACAGTGTACACATATATGGCAAACATTCCATGCCAATTTGACATACAACGTACACAGACATACACAGAGGCTATTTAACTTTTTCTGGCTGCCAGGGGAGCTGTCGCTTTCATCGTCCATCTGCGACACTGATGAAGTACTTCCGCATTCCCCGCATGCTGGAGTCTTTTTATGGCCTCATAAATAGTTAATTTAGCCTCCCCACACAAGGTGGTACCTAATTTTCCTACTTGACAGATGCAACTGTCTTTCGGGTTGCAAAGGTTGACAACAGGCTACACAATTGGTTGGAAGCCCACTCCAACCCAGGCTGGCTTTGAACTCATGACCTTTTGGTCAGAGTGATCTTATAATGCAGCTGATACTCAGCCAGCTGCGCCATAACCCCTTTGACTTAGGTATCATTTAAAATATCTCAAAGTCAGCTTAGATAAGCATTTAGTTGGACTTACAAGCTTGTCTTCTTCTCGTTTCCTCTTTGCTTCTTCCAATTCTTTCCTCCGTTCTGCTCGCTCTATTGCTCTCTCTTCCATAGCTAAAAAAGAAGGAAGAATATGAATAAATATATAGAGGCAACATTGCAAAAATATTTCTGATTTGACCTGGTAATACATAAGTGAAGTAGAATATTTTAATTGAACTCTACTTTCTATCTAGATAGAGGCAATTTGTATTAGAAAATTTCTCAAGTACAGAACAGCAGTTATTTCTGCTTGCAGCAATATCCACCAATGTTATCAAAATCATACTTTCTTAGAAAAAGGGCAAAAGTTTTGATGAAGAATTAATTGAAGGAGAGGCGTTCAATTATTCAAATGAAGCATAAGCCACTCACGTGATGGTTTAACATTTCACCTAACCAAGCCCATAACAAGGCTAACTTCAATGTCTGCAGCTCCCTCAATGTTTTTCTCACCCCTGCCTTTTAATTTACTTTGCCTAATGGAGTGTTCTAGAGATCTCAAGGCAGAACATGAATTAAATTATCACCATCATTATTACTATTATTATAGTAACTATAGGCATCAAAGATCTATCAGCATAAGATATAGTATTTTATATACAAATTTGAGGTAGTAATTTGGTCAGATCAACAATTTCTCCATTATTTCTTCTTACCCTAGTCTGAAGGCTGGATTAAGTAGAAAAGTAGCAACAAATCACCTAAAATGTGAGCATTGATGTGTTGTCACAATGCGGTGACCTCAGCCTGTTCTTAGTGAGGTCAACAAGGAAAGGAAATAATTACTGAATTCAAACATAAAGAATCTATCTCCAGAAATGTTGACTTCCAGTTCCCATCACTGCCATCTATTAAGGCCAATTGTTGCAGTTCAAAGAGAATTGTACATTTGGAATTGTTCAAAAAAGCTTCTTGGTGTAAAAAAAATGGAATGATAGCCATGTTTCAGTGGATATATCTTCAACCAACAAATGTTATTAAACATTTCATAGTTTTTCTATCTGGGATATTTTTCAAAATAAAAAAGTGTATCTTACATTATATAGTCTCTGTAACTGAGGCTCAAAACTATGTATTTTATACAGAAATCAATATACAATGGTTTCACTATATGCGAGTACTGAACAAATTGTATGAATTGTTGGCTGTATCGAGCTAATGAAGCCTATCATGTCTGGATTCAAAAAGGAGACAGATATGCTAAGTTATGATAGAATATATGTCAGACCAACACAGAGAAGCCACAGAATTCCACAAGCATGTGAACTATCAAAAGAAAGGAGGAAACCATCAAAATGAACAAAACTGGCTACCAGTATAAAAAAAAAAGCTCTAAAATCAAGACAGTAAATAAAGAACAACACTCTGAAATCAGGGGAATTCCAGACATGAAACAATCAGGGCCAACTAACACCTCCCAACAAAGGATCCCCCTCCCTCATGCAGGAATCAGCCAGGCCTTGAATCTGCAAGGTTTCGCAATGCTAATCAAGGTGATTAACTGCAACATTCACACCTGCCTTCAACAGACAACAGACAAGAGTTCTTTCTCCCACCCTGGACTTTCAACAGATAAATAAACCTCCCTTGTTTAGTTTCCAACCTCTGAGGATGCTTGCCATAGATGAGGATGAAACGTCAAGAGAAAATACAGCCCGGAAAACTCACAGCAACCCGGTAATTCTGGCCATGAAAGCCTTCCACAACATATGATAGAATATTCAGTCAACTTTTTTAATTGCAGGTCTTCCATAAGCATTCCAGAAACAGACTCAATAAGTCTGAAATCTTAGAAATATACCTCTGAGTAAAGGATGGGTTGTAGATACCATTTTCAAGTTCTTTTTGCTTTGGACTGCTGGCTGGGATTTTTCTGACCTAATAAAAAAATACAAGTCATTATGGAAAGAATCTACAAGGTACACCAAATACAAAATAAAGAAAAATGTATAATCTAGGAAGATATAGAAGGGTCAGTGGGGATTTTCACTGCTGCTACTTTTAAAAGAAGAACAGATAAATATCTCCCATTCTGTTGAAACTGGGTCAGATGCAAAAGAGACCCTTTTTTAAGTCCACATAGGTACAATTGTATTGCCCCCTTCCTCATTTTTTATTCCCCACTAGCCCCTGGTAGATGTTCCTTTTGGCTCTGCTTTTCATTTTTTTTCATGGGGGGGGGGGGGCGATGAAGCAAATTTTCATGACATTTTGGAAGATTTTCAGCTTTTAGGGGTCCAGCGGCTACATGTAAGCTCCAATTTTTCCCCTCCTGCCTTGGTAGAAAACACACCTGAATATATAGGTTGAATCAAGTAATTTTCCCAAGACTGGGAATGGGTGGCACAGAGGGCTGCAGTGTGAGAGAGGCACTGCCAACTGAATGAAATGAAAGCACATTCTGTAGGGCAAACCATGTACTGGATACTTCTCATTTGTTATCTTGTTCCATTGTTCAACAAAGCTTTAAGGCAGACATGGGCTAACTCGGTCCTCCAGATCTTTTGGACTTCAGCTCCCACAATTCCTAACAGATGGTAGTTTGCCCATGCCTGCTTTTTCTGCACCTAAACCAACTTTTTCTGTTCTTCTGTCCAGCTATCTGATTCTAAAAACTATTATTTATCTTTCCTTTTTTTCTCATTTTTGTTTAATTGCAGTCCGTGCCTTGCAAAAACCCTGCACCAACATAACCTACATTTTATGCATGGGGGTGGGTTTAAAAAGTAAAAAAGTGACTTCTGATGATATTCAGTTCTTAAAAATGTCTGTCATTTCCATAATTACACCAAACTCCCAGGTCTTAAAGCCAGTTTTATGAAACAATGTTAGTAAGTACCTTAAAGGCTCTCTGTTACTGGAATTTGATTTCTTTCCTTCCCTGGTTTTCTGTACATGGTTGTCGAGTGCTAAAGTAGCAGTTGTGGCTCGTGTAGCCTCTTCCCTGGCTGCTTTTAGTCTCTCATTTTCTTGGAGTTTAAGGATCAGTTCTTGCTGTTCTTGAAGCTGCCGTCTCTGTTCTTCAATCAACTGTTGCTGGAAAGCATGGCGGTGCTCCATGGGGCCCAAGAAAACAGAAGCAGATTTTTGTTTTGTCTTTCCTAGATGTTGCACATAGTCTCTTGTAGGGTTAACAAACATGGCACGGTCCTGAGTATTTAAAGCAGCATGTTTCAAGGTAACCTGCCATGCCCATTTGGGCTTTTGAGGCGAATGATGATCAAATTTTTGACTTTTAACTAAAGAGTAGGAATCTGTGTTTTCAGCATTTTCAATTGGAGGATCGACTTGTATCAGGGGTATTTCAGCCACCTGGAAAAGTGAAAAAAACCCTTAAAATTCTGAAAAGGTACCTTTTCCATCATCAGTCCATAAACTGTTATGATGCAAGTAACCCATAATAATTGATTTCAGAAGGCTCCAATTGACTCCCCAGTTGGATTACTCTTGCAGGAAGAAAACTATTTTTAAAATGATTTTTAAGAATCTGAGAGACTTCTGCCTCTTTGCATACACCCAAAGGAAAATGATGGAAACCAACAATTAGGAAGAAGATAATTACCCCAAATTGGAGTACATGCTGGACACTGTATTTCTAATTCATATAAGGTTTTTCTACTATAAAATTTATTATGGTTCTATACCACATTAATAGGAGCCTTGGTGTTGCAGCAGGTTGTAGTGCTAAGCAGCAGAACTTGCTGACCAGAAGGTTGGCGATTTAAATCCGAAGAACGGGGTGAGCTCCCGTTGTTAGCCACAATTTATGCCAACCTAGCAGCTTAAAAACACGCAAATGTGAGTATAAGTACCACTTCGATGGGAAGGTAACGGTGCTCCATGCAGTAATGCCAGCCACATGACCTAGGACGCATCTATGGACAACGCTGGCTCTTTGGCTTAGAAATGAAGATGACTCCCCCGCCCCCACATTGATATTTTAATTTGTAAGCATTTTACAAATATTCGTAACTACATCAAGTAAGTAAATAAATAAGGCTATACAGAAAAGTGCATAATGTGAAAACGTTATTTATTTCCATAAGACTCACACATTGGTCCATAGCTCCTCCTGTCTCATGGGGACTCTTGGCATCCCATGAACTGCACACAGGAAGAAGCTTCCCCAATGCTACTTCCTCTAGCAGCTTTGCCATTTTCTTCCTGGTTTCCTCCTTTTTCAACTGTAGTTCTCTTTTTTCCACCTCTGCTCGACTCCAGTGTTGCCACTCAGCAAAACAGTGACGCAAAATGCATTTCCGATTAAATTCTGTAGCCAACAGTTTTTTCCTTAAAACAAACATAAATGTGAAGCAGGTTACTTTGTTTGGAAGGATCATATCTCTATCTTATCTTAATAATGTCCTGCTTCAAATTTTAGATTATATCTTCTTACTATATTATTGGCACATATTAATTTAGCATAAATCAACAACAGTTGAATTGAACAGAAGAATACAAAGGCATGCCATCTTAAGTATTCACTTTCAACTTCCTGTGGTGTTCCCATACAATGGAGAAAGCATTTTATCATATATTTAACTACTTTTCTTATAGCTCAATGATAACTCGTTCAAAAGTAGTTCCCCAATATAAAAAATGGCTCCTAATTTCAGAGGGTGAAGTTAGGCTGGATCAATACTACCATATAAAATCCAGATTTTCTGCTTTAAAGTGGATTATATGGCAGTGTAAACCTGATCTACATTGCCATATAATCCAGATTATCAAATCAAATACTCCAGATTATCTGATTTAATCTGGATTTTATATACAATGTAGAAGTGGCTGCAGACTCATAATCCACTTCAAAGATTTGCTAATCTATATTATTTGGCAGTGTAGGTGTGGTCTAAGAAAGCCGCTGTTAAGTTCTGCTAGTAAGAATCCCCCAGGTGTGGATAAAATGCTTCCACAAATTTACAATCAAAATATAGTATCACCTCACAACCACTGAGGATGCTTGCCATAGATGCAGGTGAAACGTCAGGAGAGAATTCCTCTAGAACATGGCCATATAGCCCAAAAAAACCCCTACAGCAACCCAATCAAAATATAGGTTGGTAAATTTTAATACAGTCACAAAGCCTTTTGCTTTTATCAATTATTCTCAACTGATTCCATTTGAATATCTATCTATTTATTTATTTATTTACTATATTTATACCCTGCTCTCTCTCACCCCAAGGAGACTCAGAGCAGCTTACAAGTAGGCAACAATTCGATGCTGCATAACAGATATAGAAATAAAATAAACATATACATTAAAAACCATAAAAAAATAAATCTAAACATTAAAAACAATTATTAAAACCACACAATCCAAAATTCATACTCAAGGGGCTGTCCCAATCGTGACTGCACTTATTCCATATCTCTTATTGCCCTTAATTACTGTCCAAAGGCTTGGTCCAACAGCCACGTTTTTAATTTCTTTCTAAAGGTCAGGAGAGAGGGAGCTGATCTGATGTCACTGGGGAGAGAGTTCCACAGCCAAGGAGCCAGCACTGAGAAGGGCCTGTCTCTTGTCCCCACCAGTCGTGCCTGTAAAGAAAGTGGGACCGAGAGCAGGGCCTCCCCAGAAGATCTTAACCTCTGCTTGTACCAGGCAGAGAAAAACTTCTATAGGCACTGCACTGATGGTATTAAAATATATGAATTGCTGCCATCAGAATTTATCAGATGTGTTTTTAAAATTAATTATCTCAGAACATCTGCACTTAAAAACTGGAACATGAAGAATTTTATAGTAGAACAAGCTGCAAAATGTCCACAGTCACATTTATTCTGATCTCATTGACTTCTAAATAGAATTTAGAAAGACTTAAAATCTTTGTATAGGACTCATTTATTATTATCCATTGATTAACCAGACAATGAGAAATTTTGTTCTTTAATACCAATATTAATAATAGGTAGACCTCTTGGATAAATAAATTACACATAAACCATTTTTTTAAAATTTTGGGATTTAACAGATTCAATGCAGCATTATTATAGAAAATTGGGTTCAACAGAGATCATGTCTTTAAAACATTACCATCTCACAACCTCTGAGAATGCCTGCCATAGATGCAGGCAAAACATCAGGAGAGAATGCTTCTAGAACATGGCCATACAGCCCGAAAAACCTACAACAACCCAGTGATTCCAGCCATGAAAGCCTTCGACAATACATTACCATCTCAGTATGAAGATGTTACACATGACTAGTGACAAATCAATTTATAACAAATCAAGTTCAAAATGCCATTTTGCTGATTAATCTATTCATCTTCTTGTATTTTTTTAAAAAGACGAACACTTCAATTTAAACATAAGGATGTGATTTTAGTCCTTTGCTTCTGATACAAAAAACTGTATCTGTATCCAAACACATTAGGTACTTTCACCACACTGCCATTTTCCTCAGGAATAAATTGCTACCTATTCTGATCCCGAAGCTCGTGCTCCATTTTTTTAGTCTCCTGCTCCAGTTTCTGAGACCAGACGTGATCTCTCCAAGCTCGCAGAGTCTTCAGTTGGCACTTCCAGTCCGCAAGAGCTCTTGCTTTTCCCATCTTAAGCCTGAGATCCAGAATGAGCTTGTACCATGTAGAAAAATACTTCTGTAGGCACTGCACTGGGAAGATTCATGAAATCAGCTAACTATATTCTGTCACATCCACTGATTGATATCAAATGTCTTTACAACTCACTTGATGTTGTACTTCTCCCCCAAAGCTGAATTCAGACAATTGAACTGTGATTAGAAATTCCAAACAACCTTTTTATCATCAAAATAAACTTCCCAAGTTACATCTTACTTTAATGATTGACTTTTTTGTTGTCATCGCTCTTTCTGAAATAGTTATATATTTAAAAGAGCTTTATTGGTACTCACAAATTTGTATTTTATAAGTGTTCTCTTTTTAAAAAGAAAAATAAGAATGCCTTTAAAATATTTTAGAAGAAGCCTATTGTCTAGAAATCAAAATCCATCTATGCTCTGCCAATATTCCCAGGCATAAATGAAATTAAACTATATCACCTATTTCTGCCACAGTTTCTTTGCATACCAAAGGCAATCAGTAATTGTTAACAATCCATACTCTTGTTCTTATCCTTCCCCAATCTTCAAAGAAACATCCTGAGATTTCTATAACCAATCTTCAGGCTGTCTTTAACACAACAGACAGAGGAAGTTGGCTTAGTGATAATTGCTAATGACATATGCTAAACACAATTGTATGCTTCAAGGTACTAAAAAAGACCAAAGTTGCATATTATTATAATTAGCCAACATTCCAGAGCAAACCATGCTTATTATTTATGAGCAGTCACGCTATCCAATCCTTTTCAACGCAAGAGGGAAAAGCTAAATATATCATGGACCCTCCGGCATGTTTATTGTGGCATCCACATGTGACATTCTTGTTTCTCTTTTCCTCATTGTGGCAAAATAATAAACCATGGCTTATTCTGGTTTGTCAGTATATCATGTCTAGGTGTCACAATAAACACACCACGGAAGTATGTTTTGTGGTTTATTTAGTGACTCCTGTTTGCAGCCAGTGATCAGGTAGCACTCATCAGCCTACTGGCTTTTGTGACAATAAGCAAGATGAAAGAGCTCACCTTCTTATTTGCAACATCAACTCTGTTCAGCAGCTCTTGAATTTTGATGTGTTTCTCCTTTTTTAGTTCTTCTTTCTCACAATCTATAGGGCCTGACATACTAGGAAGCAGGCCAAATTCTACCAGCCTGTGACTCCTCTTCAAATTGTGTCTCTTTTGTTCCCTGAAAATTAAGCCAATAAACAATACAGAAAAAAGGGCTGTGACAATCTCATCCTGTCATTATGAGTCAGTTACCAAGTCTTTTCTTTTAGATAAACTAAGCAAGCAGCCCTAGCTATATGACGTCCTTACAAAGATGCATTTCAGAAAGTGTTCTGAGAAATTTTGGAAACCAGAAAAACTAATTTTGCAAGTCTAAAAAACTGAAAGATTTTTTTTTCTGCATTTGGATAAAGCTTTCACACCATCTGTGAAATGGTATCTTAAAATATGTTAGAATAGCAACTAACTAACTTTTCTCAAAATTCAGTCTGACAGGCACAGGTTTCCCTGTCTTTCTGTCATCCAAATACTGACAATGTTTTGATTCTAAACATACATTTTCCGTGCTCCTTCCATCAGGTGCCTTCTATCTACCATCTCTTTTCGAAGCTTCACCATCTGCTTTTGAATTTCCTCCTCTTCTTTTTTGGCTTTCAAAGCTTTTTTCTTTTTCTCTTCCTGGAGCTGCTTCTGAGCCTCAGATATTGCAGATTTTTTCAAGGCTCTCTCCTGTTTTAGAAGTTCAAGCTCTTTCTGCCGTCTCAGCCGATTTTCTTTTACCTGAATAACAGGCGTAAGGTTGAAATCACTATTCATCGTCTTTACATTGTCAGACGAATCTCACCAACCAAGTATTACAAGCATATTACTCTGAGGGCCACTTCACATTTTCAAATTACTCTTTCTCACCGAGATATTTTTAGACAACAACAAATACTTAGGAAATGCATGAAGAAATTACAAATACATTATTACACCCTTCTTTAAATAGTCTACTCAGTTGGCATCATTGAGACTGCATCAAAATCATGTTGATGATATGAATGGGCAAGTTTCCTTGGAGCTGCATACCTCCATATCTAACATACTGATTAAGTATGAACATGCAGGACATTTCCAAAAATATTCATTTATTCATTTAAATACTTCTATCTACATGAGTAAAGTCAAAATCAAATTAAAACAATTTAAAATAATAAACATAATTGTAAAAGTAAAAAAAATATATTCAATTTTTTTTTCATGTCAGGAGCGAATTGAGAAACTGCAAGTCGCTTCTGATGTGAGAACTGGCCACCTGCAAGGATGCTACCCAGGGGACGCCTGGCTCTCTCATGTTCCCGCATAAGTCAGCAGTATGTACCCAAATAAGAGTTTAACCCATTGCACCACCAGGGGCTCCATTCAATATGTTAACAAGTTAACAAAGGTTAAAAGGTTACATCAGTTTAAAGAATGCACACCAAACCTTACATGTAGAAATTTTAAAAAACGAATTATCCAAGTAAAAGAAGGAAGGATTTTTTTTTGTTCTCCACCTGTTTATGTCTTAAATCCATGGTCATTCGTGGGTCCCTAGTCTTCTTTTTCTCTTTGAGATCTTCCGTTCTAAGGTCCTCCAGTATACCGCTATTCACAACTTCACTTTGCAACAGATGTTGCAAATAATCCTGCACTGTGGTATCTTCCAGCTCTTCTTCCAAATACTCATATAACTCTATAATAAAGTCATTAGGAGAGAGTACGAACACAAAATCCACAATTAGTCCTAGCTAATGAAGTCAATGGGACAAAATTTATCAGTTAATATATCAGTTATTTAAGGTTAACATTGGTAACAACTCGGTGGTAATAAAACCTAAATTAACACAAAATCAGGTAAGTTATTCTCTAGCTCTAAGTTTGAAATTCAGGAAAGGTCTCACCATCAAATTTTTGATATGTCTGAAAGGCAACAGTGGGCTCTTGGGAAGGAATTGGCATGATAGGATTCCCATCAGCATCGTCTTGATCACTCATCAGTTCCAGTTTCAACTTGGAATCCATCCAGTCACTAAGCAGTTCTTGAGCTACATTAATAAAAGGAGAACATTTTTATAGATATGAAAAGAAGCAATTAAATATGAAGTTGTAAAACAGAAAAAACAGTAAACCTTCATGTTAAAATACATGTTCTTAGAAGTAAGTCCCACTGGATTCTCTAATACTTCTAAATATGTTTGCCTAAAACTTGGATTCCTGAACTTTTTTGGGTAATATCAAATTGGTAAATTTAATATTACCAAAGTCTACTATATACCATGCAGCTGTGGACAAGTCTACATATGGACCACCAAACACAGCGCCCAGACCTGAATCGGGGAACATGAAAGGTACTGCAGGGTAATTCCAAAGACGAAGCAATCAGGGTCAGCTAATCACCTCCCAACAAAGGACTATCAGCCAGGCTTGAAGCTACAAGGCCATTAAATGCTAATCAAGGTGGCCAGTTGCAACATTCACACTTGCCTCAAGCAGACAAGACTTCTTTCTCCCACCCTGGCCATTCCATGGATATATAAACCTCACTTGCCTAGTTTCCAACAAACCTCACAATCTCTGAGGATGCCTGGAACATGGCCATACAGCCTGGAAAACTCACAGAGAACCAATTGGTAAATTATTTTCAGCTATCTTGAACTCGAGAGGAGCAAATCAATTGCAAAACACATTCAATGATTTAAAATTATTATTACTACTAAAATAGAAAATTATTATTATTTAAAGTTATTTACATTACTCATTTAATGCTATTTGTAATTCTGACATTGATTTAGTCATCACCATGAAAAGCACTAATATGAGAAGAGGCCTACCATGTGGGAATAAATACAATCACTCAATCAACTCACTCATCTCCAATTCTGGAACAGATACCCAAACCTCAGCAATCTCCAAGTTGCTTATTATATATAGAACTTATTGTATACACACATACAAGGCTCTTCAATAAACCTGGGGATAGGGTGAAAGAGCCCTGTTATTCCTGGGGGAAAAACCCAAGATCTTCTGGGTTTTGTGAGGTATGATTAGTGACTTCAGAAAGTATTAAATGTTCCTATGGATTGACTGGAACAAACAGTCTACATTACAGTCTACATATACCTTCTGCATATGCCTCATCATGATCCAGTAGTTGATCTGTTGTTTCCAAATTTAGCACTGGACCATGAAGACCCCTGGTGTAAGATGTCTTTTTCAAGGAAAAAGCCTCAGAAACAGCATACTCAGAAGCTTGTTCCACTCTCTGTGAAAAAAGAAAATGAGAGATTAAAACATGTGTCACAATTACATTAAGAGGTGTGAACACATTTTTAGTACAGTCAGAATTAATGCATACTGTACTACATTAATCATCAACTGAAAGGCTACAAGAAGCTGGCAACTTTTCAGAGCATACCATGCATTTAAGATCATAGAGAAAATAAAGTTGTATTATAAAAAACCTTGAAGGATTTAATAGCTAACATGTTTATTTTGGAATATATCAATACATCCCAGAAGTCACCTAACAAATACTTTAGAGTGGCAAGAGAGTGTTATTTTGGTTGTAAGAGACCTACCACACTCTCTGTCTAAAAATTTATATAAACAACGCACATAGCAATCTTAGCCTTCAAATTAAGGTTACTTGGGGGAAAATGTGATTAGGTGGAGATTCCCACACAAAACTCCACAGGTATTTTCAATTGCACTTTTGGTTGTGTTGTAAGTGAATAATCCTGGGCAGAAGCTCTCTCTCTCTTCCTTTAAAGCAGTGGTTCTCAACCTGTGAGTCCCCAGGTGTTTTGGCCTTCAACTCCCATAAATCCTAACAGCTGATAAACTAGCTGAAATTCCTGGGAGTTGTAGGCCAAAACACCTCAGGACCCACAGGTTGAGAACCACAGCTTTAAAGTCATCAGTTTTAATTGCACAGCCCCTATTCCTAAGTATCTGTGTCCAGTGCAAACAATGCAGAAATGCACAACTAAACGGAGACCTATATGTAACTGCTAATCCCAAACAGAGTAGACCCACTGAATCAATGGCATTTATATAAGCATTGACAATTGATTTAATGGATTTAACTCTTGTTGATATCAGGAATGATGACTTAGGCAACAGTGCTCTTAGATCTTTCATAAGATTTGAAGTTTAAAGAAATCTATAGTGCTACTCTGAAAAAACTATCAACTTTCCAATTATTTTAACTGCACTTATTTCACAACAAATGTAGTTATTATGTGGAACCCAATCTCCTCCTGCTCGTTATTATTCTTATTCTTCTTATTATTTAGGAAGTAAGTCTTAAAGAGTTTATTGGAGCTTATTACTAACTACAACATCTCTAGAACAGTGGTTCTCAACCTTGGGTCCCCAGATGTTTTTGGCCTACAACTCCCAGAAATCCCAGCCAGTTTACCAGCTGTTAGGATTTCTGGGAGTTGAAGGCCAAAAACATCTGGGGACCCCAGGTTGAGAACCACTGCTCTAGAATGTAATGTTTAGGAAGCAAGTCTCACTAAATAAACATGATACAATAAGACTTATTTGTCAGTATTGAAGGGCTGCCCACCATTATACTTCCCCTTACCTTAATCCAGTGGTCCACATTATCAGCGTCGAATTTTTTCTGAGGAAAAGAAATGAAAATAGCTTAGCATTAAGTTAAATAGTAATCTTGAATTTTTTTCCATGTCAGGAGCAACCTGAAAATGTAGCTCAAGCAAGTCGTTTCTGGTGTGATAAAACTGGCTGTCTGCGAGGATGTTGCCCAGGGGACGCCCAGATGTTTTGATCTTTTACCATCCTTGTGGGAGGCTTCTCTCATGTCGCTAAGCCAAAATACTCCAAAACTATCCACATGACTGTTATGTTATATTTCCTTTCTGATGGTACAATCATTGTGCATAAAACTACCTTTAGGCTATGTGTATACGCCAGGCATGAGCCAGCTTTGGCCTCCAGGTGTTTTGGACTACAGCCGTGGGCTGTTAGGAATTGTGGGAGTTGTAGTCCCAAACACTTGGAGGGCCAAAGTTAGCTCATGCCTTGTACGGGGTGAGGCAGCATAACTTCCTTTTTTAAAATGCGTGCCATTCAGTCGGTTGAAGACGTAGTGGAGCTAGTGGTCTCGTTCGAGAGGCGGGAGTATAAAGTTTTGTCTTGGCACAGTTCAGTCGCCATCATGCGTTGGAACAGAGAGGAGCGTGCTTTTGCCGTTAAGGCCTACTTTTCGAGTGGATTTGGAGTGGCCGGCCCGCTCTCCAGATTTGGCCCCTTGTGATTTTTTTCTATGGGTTTTTTTTTAAATCCCGTGTTTATGTGAACCGTCCAAGGACCCTACAAGATTTGAAAAACATTTAGGAAGAAATTGCCAACGTAACGCTTGCTATGCTGGCAAGAGTCATGACAAACACCAGAATTCATTTTACTCAGTATATGGAGAATGGGGGACGTCACCTACCTAATTTGATCTTCAAAACTACGTAAAACATTTCTGATTCATACAATGGGTTTTTTTAAGTTTTGAAAAAAGGAAGTTATGCTGCCTCACCCTGTATATCAGTTGTATATGACACAAACCCATTGTATGAATCAGATATATATATATATATATATATATATATATATATATATATATATATTTCTGATTCATACAATGGGTTTTATTAAGTTTTGAAAAAAGTTATGCAGCCTCACCCTGTATATCAGATGTATATGATACAAATGAATCCTGAGTTTAGACATAGGCCACATCTCCAAGATTTCTCCTTAAGAAAGGATATACAAATATTCCCAAACCCGAGGGCGTGACTACACTGCAGAATTAATTCAGTTTGGCACCGCCTTAACTGCCATGGTTCAATGCTATGGGATCCTGGAAGTTTGGGGAGGCAGAGGTGGGTAAAACTCCACCTCCCAGGATTCCATTGCATTGAGCCATGGCAGTTAAAGCGGTGCTAAACTGCATTAATTCTGCAGTGTAGATGCACCCTGGTCCCAAGGGATATTCAATACCTTACAGCACAGACTGCAAGAGAGGAGTCTTTTACCTTCCGCTTGGATAAAGGCTGGCTGAAGCGCCGCCATCGATACAATTCAGGCCGGGGTCCCAAGACCGCCATTGAAGAAGCAGCAGCAGACAGCTTTCCTCTTCCTCACCGAAGCTTGAGGCGCGCGCGAAGGCTGCTGGGAAACGAAGTCTTTCCTCTGCGCCGCACACTGGCCGCAGATAGGATGGCAAACTACAAGGACCAGACCACCGCGCGCGGGGGGAGGGACCTGGGAGTAGCGTCGTTTTGCGTTGCCCTGGCAACCCCGTCCCCGGGCGTTCCTGCGTCGCTTCTCCGTCGACGAGTGATGACGACTAGAGCTCTGATTGGCTTGGAGGCTGGGAGGGAGAGAAAGGAGTGATTCCTCAAGACGGAAGCGGGAGGACAGTAAGAAAGCAATGCGAATGCGTGGGAAACGTGTATGTAGTGCAGGCATGGGCCAACTTGGGCCCTCCAGGTGTTTTGGACTTCAAGTCCCACCATTCCTCACAGCCTCAGGCCCCTTCCTTTTCCCCCTCAGCCGCTTAAGCTGAGCGCTTAAGCGCTTAAGCGCTTAAGCGGCTGAGGGGGAAAAGGAAAGGGCCTGAGGCTGTGAGGAATGGTGGGAGTTGAAGTCCAAAACACCTGGAGGGCCCAAGTTGGCCCATGCCTTCCTTAGGGTTGTCAGAAATCAAAATGACTTGAAGGCATAAACGTGTATCATGGGAAGAAACGACTCACTAGAAAAGACAGTGATTCCCAAGTGTTAGGCATTAGGGGAAATGACCACATTACAGATGGATAGACTCACTCTGGGAAGCCACAGAGCTGAATGTTGTTGATGTAACTGTTGTCAACTTGCAGCTCTTGAATGTGATCTCAATATGTCTCTTATTCTAATTCCCAAAGCCCTCTGTTCATAATGAGTTCAAAAGCTATAAATATAATCTATCTATTCCCCTTTGTAAATAGGGACTATTTACAAAGGTGTAACAAACATAATATTCATGTTTTCCAAAATAATTAGTCGGATCTTCCAAAGGTCATGTGGACAAACTTCAACATATCCAATATTGTCCCATTGGAATTCAAGATGTGATAAAAAGTCTTAGGAATACAACAAAATTCCCAGGGGTTTATAGTCCTTATTTCAGGAGGAGTATCCCTTCTTCAGGTTTCTCTCAAGGTTTCTTCATTCGTTTGAAATAATATCTTCTGAGGCTTTATAAACTAAATTTAAAGAGGACAAAATAATAGATATGCTAACCAGCACTCGGCCCCCCCCCCCCCGGTGGCGCAGTAGGTTAAAGCACTGAGCTGCTGAGCTTGTTGACCAAAAGGTCGCAGGTTCGATTCCAGGGAGCGGCGTGAGCTTCCACTGTCAGCCCTAGCTTCTGCCAACCTAGCAGTTCGAAAACAAGCAAATGTGAGTAGATCAATAGGTACCGCTCCAGCAGGAAAGTAACGGAGCTCCATGCGGTCATGCCAGCCACATGACCTTGGAGGTGTCTATGGACAACGCTGGCTCTTCGGCTTAGAAATGGAGATGAGCACCACACCCCAGAGTCAGACATGACTGGACTTAATGTCAGGGGACAACCTTTACCTTTACCTAACCAGCACTCAGGACCTTCTCAGTGGTGGCCCCTTGGCTGTGGAACACCCTGCCTACAGAAATTAGATCGCCCCCCTCCCTATTAGCATTTTAGAGGAAAGTGAAGACCTGGTTATTCGAGCAGGCATTTGAATAGGCAGTGTATTGAATATAGGAATATGGAACAACAGATTATGAGATTGGATCTTGATTCTACCCATGAGACGTTAATGAGATGTTATAGTTATGTTTAATTGATGGTTTATTATGTCATTGTTTTAATTGTTTTTTAACTGTTTTTATTATGTTGAGCATTGAATTTTGCTATTGTTAACCGCTTTGAGTCGCCCAAGGGCTGAGAAAAGTGTTATATAAATGAAGTAAATAATAATAATAGTAAATTAATAGTAATCATAAATAATTACAATATGATAATCCTTATATAAACAATTTAACACAATAACATACTTACTTTCACTTGCTGAATGAATGTGTTTGTTTCCCATGCTTGTGTACTATACGAGTTAGTTTGGTATCTTCCTCATTATTCCTATTGTTATTTTTGCTTTAGTTTATAGCATATAGGATATTTGCGTATTGACATTGTATTTATAGATATCTGTGTAGTTAGAGTGTCCCCCATAAACCCATTGCATGGGAAAGAGGAAAAAAAGGGTTGATTCGTCTGCTTTTGGCTCTGGTGCCACCCAGCATTAGTTTTAGAGCTGTCTCCTGCCAGCAAATGGCCTCCAGCAGATTGTCCCCAAAGAACTGTCCCTTGAAATAAACAAGATACATTTGAGGTATGAAGAGATTACTACTTGTAGGATCAAGTAATATCTTCATACCTGGGGGTTGCAATGGTCAACATGGAGGTCTGGCATGGGCTGGTCTATGAGATCACGAAGAGTTGGAAACGACTGAGCATAAGACACAAAGATAGCACTCAGCCACAGAATATAAAACAAAAATTTATAGCAAACGCGATACTGTAGTCAAAGGGCCCAGTCTGGTGGTCAAACGCCGAGAGTACAATGAGCAAAGAAGACATGTCTTATGTGCCTTGAGATGTGATGAGCTAGGCTGTGGTCCATTACCGTGGATTTGACAAAAAAACTTCTATGTTTCATGGTAAATAAAATTTGGGCCTTGAAAGTTGTCCACTGAGAAGGAATTAGATGATTGAAGAATTTTCCAAGCTGATATTGTAGAAAATGTATAGTTACAGTCATTGCATGATAACAAAAGGCTTTTTGAATGGATTTATCACTATGCTTTTTCAGGTATTTTTAAGATGAAATTCAGTCTCTCCAAAATAGTTGATGGCTGTCGTCTTGGTACATTGACCAACCTTGGCCGTAAAGGACTTCAGTCCATGGACATTCCAGGTTGTCTGCTTTATACCAGAATGGGATCTGCACCACATCTGACCCATGACACTCTTCAAATGGTTAAAGGTGTTCCTGTAGTCGCTCAGCTTTCACTTTCAACATTGTGAGTGCAGTTTTCACCTGTTGAAATGTACAATTTAGGCCTTTGCAGACAAAACAGCGTATTAAATTGTACTCATAAAGACAAGGGCATGCTGTAAAACAGATATTCAGGGGTACTGCCCGCCTACACTTTATTTCTTTTTGTGTGTGTGTGTGTCAGGAGCAACTTGACAAACTGCAAGTCGCTTCTGGTGTGAGAGAATTGGCTGTCTGCAAGGATGTTGCCCAGAGGACGCCCGGATATTTTGCAGCATGCCCTTTCAGCTACTTCGAAAAAAAGAGAAAACAGCAATCCTGCATTTGCAGACTTGCTCAGTAGTTAAAGCCGCTATGAGTTTAGTTAATAAGCAGCTGTCACATTGTATGCAGTTGATTCCCCTAAGTGCATCATTTTCCTAAAACATACTTGTTTTAGAAAAAAAGTGTAGAAATTATACATTTATTTTGCTACTTTTCTCTCAAGTATATTAATTATCATTATTTGTGTAATATGTCTCTGTGCTTGGGTACAGGGCAGATCTTCATGAAGTCTTGGCAGAATATAAAGAAGGAGCTGCAAAGTTCATAGGTAAAACAATTAAAGTGTAATATGTAATCTAGAAGTATTTCTTATGGTGTTAAATACTGTATTTTTGAAGTAATTCTGAATGTATTTTGTGAGAGCATAATTAGCAATCATAATAAGGCATCATTCTGTACTGCACCACCATGACTCTGACTATTTTTTCTCAATTAATGCAAACTCTAGCATCATATTTTATGTTTTATTGCAGGGAGGCTCTGAGCTTCTAGTATTATGCTTTTTAAAGTTAATGTTGTCAACCTGCAGCTCTTGAATGTGATCTTATGTGTCTCTTATACTAATTTCAAAAGTACTCTGTATGTAATGTGTTCAGGAGCCATACATGTAATCTGTCTGTTCCCTATAAACCCATTACATGGGAGAGAGAAAGAGAAAGAAAAGTGTTGATTTGTCTGCTTTTGGCTCTGGTGCCACCCAGCACTAGTTTTAGAGCTATCTACTGCCAACAAATGGCCCCCAGCAGATTGTCCCTGAAGAACTGTGTCCCTGGAAATAAAAAAGATACATTTGGGGTATCTTTCTTGTAGGATCAAGTATTTAAGCTTACTATTGTGTGCATACTATTCCTTTTTTGTATATGTGTACTGTCGTAGGCAGAATAGGCCTACATACATACGTACATAGGGAGACTAATTCAGCTTATGACAGTCATAGAAAATACTTAAATTCTTAGATGCTGTACAAATTTTAAATCTGTGAACTTCAGGCCACATTAAAAATACAAGTGTGGCGGGTCTTTTTACACAACTCTTATTTCCTCTGCATCCTCCATTTGGCAGGAAAAAAATGAGTTAGCGTTTTATGTATCTGAACAACTTAGGCACCAAAAATTCACAGAACTGCAAGTTTACAGAGATGGTTAATTCTGCTAATTTTATCCAAAAGGCACTTTCTTATTCTTTCTCAAAAGTTATAGTGAATTTTGCCAAAGGCAATAAAGGATGAAGCCTGAAAGATAATGGCTGCTTTTAAAATTGCCTATTGTGTGAAATACTGCTCAGACTGTCAGCCTCTGCTTGTTGCTTGCTTTGTAATGTTATCCTTTAAAGCTCTTGTCTATAGCAGTTTCATTACCAAGACTAACCTGCCAAGTGTCAGATGCCCCTAGAGTATTTATGTAGATGGCAAGCAAGTCGGCTCTCATTCTTTTGAGCACTGTGTTGAATGCAACACCTTTAATAAAAATAAAAATCCAAAGGCTGCAGGGGGCACATGAATTTATAAAATATAGCCTTTTTTCATGATCTCTCTCTGTGTGTCTTCTCTTGGGAGGTCAACATAGCTGAGTGTTACAGTATCTGGGGAAATGAATGAATACAGCCTGTGAAGAAAAGATCAATTATCTTTGCTTTCTGTTGCCATAATTTATGTATTACAAACTTGCTACTGCAGTCTTCTTAATCTGCATATTAAAACACTGAAAACTGTTCTTTTCAGGCATGCCGGAGTCAGTACTGTACTGCTCTCTTCATGACCCAGTTACCTGCTCCCCGCCTGGCTACAACAGCAACAAGGTATAGTGGTGGCAAGAACTTCCTGACATTTCTGTTTGCAAAGAGGGAGAAACGTAATAAGACTGCTAGCTGCATTTTGTCTTTCTAGTACTTTTAGTGAACAGTGGCTGCAGAAACAGGTTTATAGAACAGTCATTAATTGTTTCAATAAATCCATGTACCCTGATACAGACCTATAGTGCCATCTAGAGGATCTGGAGTCTGAACCTCTGCACAGACAATAATCTTGAAAAAGATTGTGTTGGTTTAGAAGATGATGATGATGATGATGATGATGATGATAATAATAATTCATTTCTCAACTTCAGCCCCACTGCTTTTAAAAAAATCACATCTTATCTATCTGAACTGAGTGAAATGGGGAAAAAATCTCCAGGGGGTGATTAAGAGGGGTGTCAGTAGACTTTTCCTTGGGCAAATAAGACCTTGGAGCCAGAGTTTAATTTTTCTGCTTTACTACTGAAGACTTCTAAATATATAAATATTAGAGAACACAATGTACCCTGATCTGATCACTGTGATACATCCCTATGTTACATCCTATTTGGACTACTCATTCCAATTTTAGTATATGTGCTGCCGAAGCGAGCACCTATTTGGATTACTCACGGCTCCATATGGGAATGCTTTTGAAACTGTATACTTCAGTGTGTGTTTTTGTTTTAGTATTGTCAGTAGTTTAATTATATTTTAATGTTGATGTTTTGGATCTCTTTAACTGTACTGTATTCATTTTAATTTTTAACCTGCCTCGAATCTCAGATTTGGGGAAAGAGATACTGTAAACATAAAGTTTAACATAGGATGAGAATCGCTCATCTAAAAAATCCAAAATTGGAAGCTTTTTGCCACCAACTACCTGCTTCCACCTTCAAGGTGGCAGCTGTAGCACTCTTGCTCATTCATTCGCAAGGGAGAAGCCGTATCATATCACCAGTCTCTCAGACTGCCGTGGCTGAATGCTATGGAATCTTAGGAGTTGTAGTTTCTACTTCGTGGTCTCTATGAAATTGCACATATGGTAGCAATTCTCGCGCATGCGTAGCAGCTCGGACCCTATAACAAGCTCTCTATACCTTTAAGGATATGGCCCCACCTGTCCTCCCCATATTACATATAGGACACAGGTGGGGCAGTAGCACCAGTTCCTTTTTCTGCCTGTGCAAGCAGCAGCGTTAGGAACCCTGTCTATTCCATTCATATATTCTGCTTTTGACTCGGTTTGTTTGACTACTCTTTGGATTTACCTCAACTTGGATTTTGGACTTTGATTTTGGACTGTTTGACCCTCCTTGCTTGCTGCCTGCCTCGACCTAGGACTGTGTTGACCATTCTCAGGCCAGTATGTCTGTAGCACTTTCTAAAAAGTGCACTGCTTATAGGGGAAAGTTTCCTGCTCCTGACGAGCACACTCTGTGCCTTTTCTGTTTGGGGGAGGCTCATAATGCTCAAACTTGTGTTGTTTGTCAAACCCTTACCCCCCAAACTAGAAGAAGCCAGTAGGCACATTTAAAGGACTTACTTTATGAGAAGCTCCTTCTCCCTGCCACCTCCCCACACTGAGCGGCTTCAGAGCCACCGCCACCAGCAGTGCATTCCTCCTCCACGTTGCAGTAGTCTATTTGGAATATAACAAGAGTGTGGACCACTGTAGAATCAGAAACTGTTGCTAAAGCTTTAAAGTCTTATTCAGTAAAGCTACAATCACTGCATTTAATTATCTGCAGGTGGCTTTGAGCTGTCATAAGCCCTGAATCATCTCAGCACTAAGAACTCAAGCTTTCAGATTTATACATGTTTTTTAGTGAGGGGTGGTGTTTCAACAGTAGTTTATGATAACATAAAAATTGAGACAGAAGAATATCTGTGGTTCAGTGCCTCATCTAGCTGGTTTATTGGTCTAGTACCAACGGTGCATGATAGTTCATAAAGCACAAGCAATCAGATAATGGCCCAGGGAGCTTAGAGTCTAGATGTTGTAGTGGGGAAAGAAGACGACAAGGCAGCCATTTTAGTTACAGATCCTGAGATATAGTTGCAGGCTCAGTATATAGTATGGCAAGGGGAATTGTTTGATAATTTTGTTTTGAAATAGACATTTCAGAAAAAGAGGTGACTTTCTATAGCCATTTTGGGAGTCCGTTCCAAGTATACTGGGCAAGAGCACAGGGGAAGCAGAGACCTTATGACATTGAAGGAGCAATTTCCACGTTCAATTAGTTCATCATGTGAGATGGGAAGAAAGCGGAAAGGTTAGAAAAAAGTAGGAAAACTAAAGTGGATGTTCTTAGTTTTTGCATTGAAGGAGGAAGCAACAGAAAACAAGGAGGATAGGGCAGATGTTCACAGTGCTTTCAAAATAAAGGAGAGACACAAAGGATCCCTGGTGTGTGTTGGAATCAGAAAGGCATAGTCTTAATGCTTAGCCAGTTAGAATGCAGTGAAGGAGGTGGAAATAACCATATATTTGTTTTATTAACCTATATCTTGCCTTGATCTCAGTAATGAGACTCAAGGCAGCTAAAACATTTAAAACAACACAAATTAAAACAACACAGACATTTATGCAAGTATAAATAGAAAAGTTATTTAAAGTTAAAACATTAAAATGTATTAATCCACCATCAGTGTTTGTATATAAAATCAACTTGCTCTCCATTTAATTCTGTGTTTCCTTGTCTTCCACCAGACAGTTTCGATATGGGGATGTGGAGGTCGGATAGAAATGACGGCATCAAAATTCATGGCCATCCAGCAGGTTATCCAGCCCGACTGGTTCCAGTGTCTCTCAGATGGAGACACTATTGCTGGAGAAATCTCCAAGAAGAGAGCCAAGAAGTCTGTAGATCGCTCTCTGTCCTTTTTGGATGAGTGTCTGCAACTGCAAGAGGAATTGCCAGTAAGAGCTAAATCAATTTGAGCTACAACAGTAATTATTCACTCCTGTTTTTTTGTTAAGCCTTGCAGTCTCCCAAAACCTGGCTGACAGTATGCTTGGAATGAGCAATCAGTCAGCATGACAGCTTGGGCAGTTTTGAAGCCCTTTATTCATCTGTTGAGCAAAAAATCCTCCATTGAGGTATGCTTGTATCCTTCTCTTCTACAATCTTCACTCTTGATCTGCATATGACAAAAAGTAAAACTTCACACCTTGTTTCATTAATTTGATTTTAGAATCCATTACAGATTATTTTAAATCTTGTTGACATAATGCTCTGCACAGCATCAACTGGCTGGTCTCTTTGCTAAAAGAATCAGGAAACAAGTGCTGCTTTTCATTTTTATGCATGAAGACTAGTTTCTGTGTCAGGAATAGTATCTGTTTTCATTTCATTTAGATTGTTTACACTATAACTCCAGTATCCACAGGGGATATGTTCCAGAATACCCAAAACTGAGTAATTGTGAACCCTAAATTTTGAGATCCAGTGAAGTGTAATAATTTGAAGGTTGGACTACAACTCTTGAGACCAGGGTTCGATTCACAATTCAGCCACGGAAACCTACTGGGTGACCTTGGGCAAGTCACACATTCACAGCTACAAAAACACTGTGCTAGATTCATTAAGGGTCTCCATAACTCAGAAATGACTTGGAAGCGGATGATCTGTTAGGAATTGTGGAAGACCCAACAAATAACCTTCAGAATTGGATAAAGAAAATGCATGAGTTCTGAAAAGTGGCAGGCTTCAAAGTGAGTAAAAGTGAATAAAGGAAAAACAAAAATCTTAACTAAGAATGTAAAGAGGGAAAATCAGGAGAAGATAGTAATGGCTACAGGAATGGAAATTGTTAAAAAAATAAAGTATTTGGGAATTTGGATAACTGCAAAGAATGGCCAATTGCTGAAGAACAATTATGAAATGGCTTGGAGTAAGATACAGAAAGACCTCAAGAATTGGAAATCACTGAAATTATCCTTATTAGGAAGAATAGCATTAATTAAAATGAATATATTGCCAAAACTATTGTTTCTATTTCAAAATATACCCGTAATCAGAAATCAAATAATTTTTAAAAGCTGGAATAAAGAACTACTGAAATTTGTGTGGAATGGAAAAAGACCTAGAATCAAATACTTAAATTTAATTGACAAAAAAACAAGAGGGGGACTAGGATTCCCAGACCTAAAAACCTACCATGATGCATGTGCTCTCCTATGGATCAGAGATTGGATGTTGTTAGAAAATGAAAAAGGTCTGAATTTAGAAGGCCATGACCTACGAGTAGGATGGCATGCCTACACGTGGTATGACAGAGAGAAAAAAGAAAAAAAAATTGGAAATCACTTTGTAAGAGCATCTCTGTTAAGAGTATGGATGAAATATAAGAATTATTTTTACAATAATACGCCACTGTGGGTTTCTCCAATGGAGGCACATCAAAGAAGACTGTTGGGTTGGAGAGCGTGGCCAACTTATAAAGATATCTTAATAGAGAAGACAGCTGAAATTAAGACTTATCAGCAATTAAAAGAAAAAAACAAGAACCTGACATGGCTGCATTATTTACAAATGAAAGAATATATTAAGCAGGACAATAAGATAGGCTTCACCTGGGAAGAATCATTATGGGATAAAATTTTGAAGTTAAAGAAAAAAGTAATCTCATTTATCTATAATACACTGCTAACCTGGCTAACGGAACACGAACAAGTTAAACCATGTATGATAAAATGGGCAGAAAATATAAGAAGACCCATACAATTCAGAGAGTGGGAACAGATGTGGAACAAAAAGTTGAAATATGTTTATGCCACAGATTTAAAGGAGAATTGGATAAAAATGTTCCACAGATGGTATACCACTCCAAAGAAATTATCTTTAATAAATAAAAATACTTCCGATAAATGCTGGAAAGGATGCCAGCAGACAGGTACCTTTTATCATATGTGGTGGACATGTAAAGAAGTAGTGAAATACTGGTCAATGATACACGAAGAATCACAAAAAATCTTGAAAAAAGTATTTAAGAAGAAACCGGAATATTATCTACTAGGCTTTACAGACATGGAATTACAATTACAGGAAAATGAGGACAGACTTTTTACCTATATTACGACAGCAGCAAGAATTATGTTAGCAAAAGTTTGGAAACAGGACAGTATCCCTACCAAGGAGGAATGGTTAGGGAAAATTAGAGAAATAAGAGAGATGGATGAATTAACTTTTTTTCTAAAAAACAATACTGGAAACCCGATAAAGAGGACAGACTGGACCTTTTATGATAGTTACGAGAAAGAAGATAGCAAATAAGAGAACTATTTTAAAATAAAGGGAACATTTTTTTTGGAGACAAAACACCTGATGTGGAGATGGAAGTCAAACCTTTTTTATTTTAATATAGTTTTTTGTGTACTTTTTCGGGATTTTTATCTTTATTGCTTTTGTATTTTTTGTTGCTTTTTTCCATTTTTCCCTTTTTTTATGTATTTTTCCTTCGGATCTTTCCTTTTTTACACTCTTTTCCTACTGTTCTATCCTCTTTTAAATGTTCACCCTCTTTCGTTGTACTTAAGATATAACCTAATAAAAATTATTCAAAAAAAAAAAAAGAAATGACTTGGAAGCAAGTGACAACAACAACATTCTGACTATATTTGGGATGGAAGCATACCATAGAATCATACTGGAGGACCTAGAGAAAACAATTGTCACTTCTGGGGGGGGGGGGGATATATTTAGAAGTGTGGGTAAATGAAATCATATTGAATCCATTAATAAATGTATTTATTTATTTACAGTATTTATATTCCACCCTTCTCACCCCGAAGGAGACTCAGAGCAGGCGACAAAACACATATATGGCAAACATTCAATTTCATTATACACTGACATGACAAACAGACATACACAGATAGAAGTATATGTAGGCTTTCCCATTTTTGACATCTTGGAAGCTGTGCTCAGTTCTGGCCATGGTGGGGGGTGCTGTCACTCCACTTTTCCCTGCTGAAGCACTTTCTTTGTAAACTTCCTCCTTGATCAAATTTCTGGCATTTCCTTATGGGTGCTTAAATCCCCTCCCCACATAAGCAGTACTGCTAGGTAGGCAGAAGCTGGGCTAAACCCTAGAAGGTGAAAAAAATATACATGCAAATTGCAGATCTTTCTATTAGGACATACATTGCTCTATACATTGAGAAGTTTTCAAGACATGGCAGTGTTCCAGAAAGAACATTTGCTTACCATTTGAAAATTATATCTATGTTCTCAACATAAGGATAGCCTTTGTGTTGAAAAACAACCATACTATTGACACCTCAAGAGTCTGAAGAACCTGCCAGAACTGAGTGTATTATCTCTTGAAAAGCAGCAGCCATAGTGAGAGTGATAGTATTAAATTCACTATCCCTTTTTGTGTACTTAAGGTCTTATTTCGGAGCCATACAATTACTATTCGTGAGATGAAGGCAGGGAAGGAAGAATTTCTGTCTTCCAGTTTATACTTTTTTAAACTGTTTTTCTTTCTTTCTTTGTATGATATCAAAAATCCCCCTCCCCCATAATAGACCATTGAACAAAAGGGTCAATTTGTCTTACTTTTGTAACTTTCTTCTCAACCAGGGCTTGCAGCAGAGCCTGATGATTGGAGTTATTGAAGGTGGGGATGTATTGGAGGAGAGGCTGAGATCAGCAAAAGAGACTGCCAAGAGACCTGTGGCTGGCTTTCTTTTGGATGGCTTTCAGGGAAACGCCATGACCAAGGAAACCAAGCTGCAACTCTTGTCCTCAGTTACAGCAGAGCTGCCGGAAGAAAAACCAAGGTTAGAATCAGTATAAATTTGATCTAAAATCAACACAGTTATCTTGGGGAACTCTGTAAATAAACAAGAATAGTGCTGTTTTACGTATCATTCAGCATAGCATTGTTTGCTATTGGACATTGGATTTTAATAACATAAGATATAAGTGGAAAGGTCACAGGATTTCAGTTAATCTCTATGGAATTATTGCATCACCAGAACAAGAGATTGTTTGGTTCAGTCATTTTCCCACCCTGTTGTTGTCAAGTGATCAGAGGTCCTATAAGCTCTGTCTTACAAGAAGAAAATAGAGACCACTTGCCATCCTGCTTTAAAAGTTTTGCACAAGGTTTTAGGTACACAATCATTAGACTCCGCACCAATTTGGATGCTGTAGTTGATATGGGTCCAGTGGATTAAACTTTGGCCTTTGCTTGTCCTGTAACTTTGGATACAGGTCAACCTAAAGATATGTAGTAATAATAATAATAATAATAAGAAGAAGAAGAAGAAGAAGAAGAAGAAGAAGAAATCGGTTGCTGTGAGTTTTCCGGGCTGTATGGCCATGTTCCGGAAGCATTCTCTCCTGACGTTTTGCCTGCATCTATAGCAGGCATCCTCAGAGGTTGCGAGGTCTGTTAGAAACGAGACAAGAGGACTTTATATATCTGAGGAAAGTCCAGGGTGGGAGAAAGAATGCTTGTCTCTTTGAGGCAAGTGTTAATGTAGCAATTTGCCACCTTGATTAGCATTATACTCAATTTAGTCTGAAAATAATTTTATAGTGCTGATTTGGAGTGAAGGAAGACAAGACAGAACAAACAAGAAGTAAACTGTTTAAGCTTCAAGCTCAAATTATTTTGAGTTGCTGTAGGATTTCATGGCTGGAGTCACTGGGCTGCTGTGAATTTCCAGGCTGTATGGCCATGCTCCAGAAGCATTCTCTCTTGACGTTTCCCCCATATCTATGGCAGGCATCCTCAGAGGTTGAGGGATCTGTTGGAAACTAGGCAAGTGAGATTTAGATATCTGAGGAAAGTCCATGGTGGGAAAAAGAACGCTTGTGTGTGTGAGGCAAGTGTTAATGTAGCAATTAGCCACCTTTTTTAGCACTGAATGGCGTTGCAGATTCAGTGACTGGCTTTTTACTGCCTGGGGGAATCCTTTGTTAGGAGGTGCTCTGCTTACTCAAAAGACAAATCAAGGAATAGGGACCTAGCTTCTCCTGAGATGAGTTACACTCCACCTGAAATCAGGTGAACTTTAAGGACCCAGGAGCTTTTTTTTTACTTTCCCTTGCAACTTGGCAGACTGCACTCACAAACATGAAATCTAGGCTCCTAAAATAGCAAATCCCACCTTGTGACAATTCAGTTTAGATTTTGCTCTCTCTCTCGGGCATGTTTTATGACAGAAAAATGAATTTTCAGGAATACTTTCACTTTCTAAAAATCTGCTTGTCCTGATTTAAAACAAGACTGGTGGGTGACATTACATTTAAATGGTTCATTGCATTTCCTAGAGGTTTCTAGGGATGCAGTTTGCCATTTTAGAGAAACCAATTTCTTCAAGGTGGAAAGTTCACAGAGGGCAAGGTTTCTTTAAAATGCCACATGTGGCTTGTGCATGGTTCTTTTCTGACCCCTGGCTTGTGGAAATTGCATTATTTTCACTTAAAATATCCCTCACTACTTTAACTAGCAGAATAGTGTTGATTTTGTTAGCACAGCTACTTTCAAAATTACTACATGAGCATATCTTGTTGATTTTTTCCCCCCAAAAAAGGGTTTTTTTTAAAAAAAAACAAACAACAATTGCTCTTTTGGGAGATATATATTTTCAGCACCAAGACTAGACAGATCTTACTAACATTCCACATTTTGCTACTTTTAAAGACCTATATGGGAATCCCTACATTTGAGCAATATAGGAATGAACATTTGACCACCTAAAGATTTAGCTTATGTGCAGTTCTGTCTTGTGTTAATTTTGATTGTGTAATTGGATATGTTATTAATTGGATTGTTTATTTGTTATGTTTATGTCTGTAAGCCGCTCCGAGTTTCCTTGTTGGGAGATGGGGTGGAGTACAAATACATTTGTATTATTATTATTTGAAACACAACAAGATGAGTCCACAGCAGACACTCTGCTGGCTGTTGAATTGGATCACATGTCAGACACTTACCAAGTGTCTAGGACTGTGTGATGTATCAGCGAATAATGCGTGTAGATCCCAGTAAGGTGGCCTTCTGCAGCTGGCAATTTTGTCAGCGCCGATTGTGTTTAAGTACAGGCCAAGGTCTTTAGGCACTGCACCCAGTTATTATTATTATTATTATTATTATTATTATTATTATTATTATTATTTGTGGAAAGAAAATAGCATGAGATACACATTTATTTATTCATTTATCAATGTCTCACCTTTCTCTTGGCATGACAAATTGAAACAAAGTGTAGTGGTGATACAGCAATTAAACAACTATATTAAAAAGCACAAGGTTAAAACATTTTAAATCACATGTAAAATATAGTAAAAAAAAAGATAAAAGCACAGCACATCCTATTATAAGATCCTTCTGACTTGTGAGTTAAGCATCAAAGGTCTGTCCAAATAAAAAAGCAATTGCATGTTGGTGAGAAAAGAGCAGAGATTGCCAGCTGAACTTCCCATGGGAGACAAATTGACAGTCTGAAATAAGCCACTGAGAATTCCCCCTCTCATATTCCTCATCAAAGATGCCTGGGGTGGTGGCAGTATTGAGAGAAAACAGTTTCTGGAAGATCTTAAAATTCAGACAGGATTATTTAGGGAGATAAAAACTCACATTTCATAGGGCTTTAAAGATCATAATCAGGATTTGAAGTCTGTCTGCAAATTGATTGATATACAAAAAACTGATTCAACAACATAGTTAAGTGTACCTTATAATGAGCCCACATCCAACTACCTGCCCACAAAATTTTGGAGCTGCTGAAAGCTTTCAAACAGTCCTGCAACTTGTGTGTCATTGTAATCCAGACAGGATATAACTGGGACAGGTTTCACTATAGTCAGACCTGAAAATTCCAGAAATGGGCCTAGATGACATACTAGTTCTAACTGTGCATATGCACTCCTGGCATCCAGCAAAACCCGGACAAAAGAGGCTTATATTTGAATCTAGGAGTGCCCCCATTGTGCAAACCTGAGATTTCAGGTGGAGTGTAACCCATCTCAGGAGGGTTGGATCCCTGTTCCCTCTATCTTGTTTGAGTCCCACTTCAGGTTGTTTGCTCTAATCCAGTCCATTATTAACAGCAGGCACTCGTTTGTAACTGAACTGGATTCCTTGAATTTAGATGGAAAGGAGAAACTGAGGTGTCATTAGCATATTGGTGACAATGAATCACAAAATTCCAGATAACGTCTCCCAGTGGGTTCATGCTCATATTAAACTGCATGGCTGACTTAGTCCTGAAGAATTCCAGCAGCCAAAGCGCTGGTATCTCCTAGTGCCACCTTCTCTCCAAGAAAAACATGTTCACTGTAGAACACTTTCCCCAAATTTCATCCCAGAGAGGCAGCAGAGAAAGATAACATAGTTGATTATATGGAAGGTTACTGAGGGGTCCAGCAGACCAAAAGGGACAACTCTCCTTATTCTGTTCTCAGTGTAGATCATCCACCAAAGTGTTCTCTGTCTCCATGGATAAGTGGGTCTGAAGCGGATTAAAATCTTATGAGAGGCTAGCACACGTTCCACAACCCTATCCAAGAAAGAATGATTGGTCAGTAATTCTTCAAAAAGGTGATATTCTGCTAGGACTTTTCAAATAAAGGTCTCACCTTTCCTCCTTTTAGGCAAGTTGGAAGTCTGCCATGCCATACTAAGACATTTAGTACTCCTGTTCCCCAACTGCCCAATCTCCTTCTGGCTGTTTTTCAAAGCCAGGAAGTGGTTACAGTACATACATCGTTGCTTTAATCTTGGCAAGGATCCTGTACATATATCTAGGTTGAACTGTATCCACAAACACAGGACAGGCAAAGGCCAAAGTTTCATCCACTGGATCCGTATCAACTACGGTGCCGAGTCAAATGATTGTGTACACACAACATTGTGCAAAACTTTTAAAACAGGTTGGCAAGTGGTCTCTATTTTCTTCTTGTGAGACAGAGCTTATAGGACCTCTGATCACTTGAGTCATTTCTGCTAGCGAACTCTTTGCAGATACAATGGTGGCAAAGAAGTACGTTTTCTTTTATGCAACCTCCCCCATTGGACAGTCTGGAAAGATATGTGGGAGAAGGAAAGAATTATGCCCTCTATTCACAGTGGTGTCACAGGTCTCAGACAACTAATTCAATATAAGCTGTATATTTTTACAAACTGCCGTGAGGCTGTTATCAGGATTGCACAAGTATTTGGGTTGACCTGGAGATTCCCCAGGACAATAACACATGTTGGTGAGTCTAATTCCTTCCCTCCCATCTATCTAGCTTTGTGAAGTGTAGTCGATCTCCAGCAAGATAAACAGGATGGAAGTACAAACTGCTTTGAAGGCTGTGTAGCAGGGCTCTAGCCCATCTCCACACTCATTCACCCCCTCTGCCTAGTTTCAAAGCAGACAGCATGGATGCAGTCAATCAACAGTCCATTAATCATGTTCATAGTATCCCATCTTTTCCCAAGAAGGAAGATCAAGGAGGTTGCTCAGCCATGTTTAGACCTTGGCAGTGAAAGAGAATGTTGAAATGAAACCTAGACTAACCTGTCATGTTACCTTTAAAGAATGGTAGAATGCCCACTGATTTTCACAGCATTCCATGACAGCTGCTCAGGCAGAGTCCCACCTGCCTTGAATGTAGATGTAGTATCATACTGGAAAAGATAATTTTGAGTCTAACCAACTCTTGACCGAAGCCACTGTGAACCTGTCTGGTGAAATCATCTAGCTTACTTTTGACTAGTTTAAAGTAGAACTTTGTCAGATGCTTTGCTGAAATGAAACAAATTATGTTCTTGCAGTTCACCAGACATCGGAGAGAGAGAGAGAGAGAGTCTCATCCATCTGTCTTATTCTTGACAAACCCATGGTATGATTTGGTCTTCTTCCAGACATGGCCAAAGAAACAAAATTTCATTTTCTCCTGCCTAACCGAATGGAGATGTCAACAGTTTTGGGTTGCCTGTGTGCCAGCAGCCATATTGGTCATTTCCTCCCTTCTCCCCATTGCACTCATCCTAAAATGAAGAAAGCCAGTAACTGTAAAGCAAAAATATCCATGTCCAAATGTGACAGGCATCAACTTGTTTTTAGTAAGGAATAACCTTGATTGCTGCAGAAAGAATTACCATTAAGGAACTAAAATGTTAATTGCTTGTATAATTGTTTTGCTAACAAAATGGCATTGTCTCCCCAGAAAGCTTAAAAATAATGCAACATATGCTGTATGTTTTCTAGGAGCTGAATTTAAATATGGTCAGAAAACACATTGCCAAAATGACAATTTGCTATGGCAGTGTGTTTGTTTTCAGTCATTTACTAAATTTATTGACCTAAATTAGTTTATATAGTTGTCAGCACAGACATTATTCCACTGGGAGAGCAAAACTGCTGTTGTTTCAGCTGCCATCTTTTAGAGCCCAATATCATTGCCATTGTAATTGTATAATAAGCATAGCTGAACCCAGCTGTATTTTCAAGTCCCAAGGGGTTGTCCTGTTGCTGACTGTGGGGGAAGAGCCTTTGAATGCAATTACTTTTGGGTGAAATAATCTCATGTGAACTACAGGACACGGAGGGAAATATGACTGCAGTACCATTCATTCTTTTTTTTTTACATGACTACTATAGAGGTCCCCAAAGTATGTGCATTATTGTGCACTCTCTTGGAGAAGTATAATTAGCTCCCATTTTATAGTGAATGTTGTGCCTGTCCGTAAGTATTTTGAGCATCCGGGCTTACAATTACTATAATGATTGGATTAAGAGTTGGCACAGAAATAAGGAGAGTCAGCATAGTATAATGGGTTGCATGTTGGACTATGACCCTGGAGACCAGGGTTTGAATCCCCACTTGACCATTGAAATGCACTAGTTCTGGGTATTATTAAATCCTAATCTTGCTAATGCACTCTATTGATGCCAGCCTTAAATTTGGGAAGTCACATAAGGTTCCCCTCTAATTGCGTATGTATATTAGTGCTAGAGGTTGTTGAATTTTGAAGTTGTAACAGTAGCTTCCTCGGAATGCCAAGCTAGAATTTAAGGTTGGCACCAATAGACCGCCCAAATTTAAGGTTGACATCAATAGACTCCCTTGAGTTGCCTGGGGAAGAGGAGTATACAAATACAGTAAATCAATCAATCAATCAATCAATCAATAGAATGGAAAATAAAACTGCTTTCTAGGAATGTTTAGGAAGACAGAATGAATCAGTCACTTTAACAGTTCTGACCAAAATGGCCTTTCTCCCTTATCTCTTGTAGGCTTATCCACGGAATTGGCAGGCCAGATGAGGTGCTGGAGTATGTTGAGAGAGGAGTGGATATTTTTGATAGTTGTTTTCCTTACCAGGTGACGGAACGAGGCTGTGCCTTGTCCTTTAACTATAACTATCAACCCGATCCTGAAACAAAAGGTATTTTTTTCTTACTTGTCTGAAAACTGGGATGATGTAACATTAGGATGTTTATTTTCAGTTTCATAGGCTGTAGTCCTGTACACAAGTGGTCTGGGAATGAGGCAAATTTCCTGGGACTTTTAACTTTTGTGTATAAATTACAATATTAATCCCTTTTGTTGTCAATTCGTCTGTCAGAAAACACATGGTACTGTTTCACTAGATGCAGCTTGATATTATTGTCAAAGCCATTCATATTTATCAAATATAACATGTAGTGTATTTGCGATTTTTTGTGAATTTTACTTTGAGCAAAAAATGGTTAGTCATATTAATGTGGCTAACCTTTATTTAAGAAGCTGCTTATGTTTTTGCCCTCACTGTCTCATTAAAAGACATAATAATGCAAATGATACATCTATCTGTTATCTTGCTGTATTTTTACCACCCACCCACTTTTTTGTGATGCCTTGCCTTATTCCTTAGATTGACAAGGAAGTTTAGAAGGAATCTTTTCTTCTTCATCAAAAGATTTTCTACCAGGATTAAAATATTGTCATTCACAATCAGGACAAGTGTGAAAATGTAGACCAAAAAGAGACCAGTGGAGAGCTTTCTTAACGGATGAGTCTTTTCATGCTTCAGCATTTTGAACGATATGAGTATATCTTTTATCACATTTTGCAAAAGCCTCACTTACAACTTAACAAGTCATATAGCTTTTAAAGTGAAAAAGGGAAAGACTTTGCTCCTTTGTTCTTTCATAAGGCAACTTTTAGGGTCCTTCTCAGTATGTCCAAGGAACTTCTGCTGGAAATAGAAAATACCATTTATTTTTATCAGTTTTTTTTAAATTTCAGAATATGTAAAAAAAAGAAGAAACTTTGCATGCCTTCTGTGTCTTTTCCATACTCCCAAAGACTTCAGAAATATTTTAATCTTTTAAAAATTATATTTGGAATTCAAACTTCTTTTCATCCATAGAAACATCACTGTTCTGACAACCAAACTAGTAGTTTCCAATTTAGTGCCCTTTTATTCCAGTGCATTGTTTATAGATGATGACTGTTTATTCCAACATATCTGGAAGGCACCAGGTTGGAGAATTTTGGTCTTGTCTTTCTGATTTTAAATCCATTTTTCAGAGTGTCAGTTCAAGCATGGAATATGAACCAGATTTTGTAATTCCTCCCCCCTCCCCCCCCCCAAAAAAAAAAGCTGAGGAATTTGGAAAACATTACAGTTTGTTATACTCAGTTTAGTCTGAAATGATTTTATAGTGCTGGAGTGAAGGAAGGCAAGGCAGAACAAACAAGAAGTAAACTGTTCAAGCTTCAAGCTCAAATTATTTTGTTCCTCTTTTTTCTTTTTAGTATTATTACTTTATTCAATTCCATTAGACCATGGTTATCATTGAAAATGTTTCAAATGCTGCTGTTTGTGTTCATAGGACACATCTTGAAGTGGTTAAGAAAGAGACAACACCCATTCTTCTTATTTGTTTCACTTTTTTTTTTACTTCTTTGCAGTCATTCAAGAAAATGGACAAACAGATGTTCAGAAGGAAGAAGATGAAAAATCTGAAAATGTGATCCTCAGTGGATCGCAAGAAATGACTCATTTTGAAATATGTTTGAAAGAAAAAAGGTACCATATACACTTGAGTATAAGCCGACCCGAATATTAGCTGAGGCACCTAATTTTAGTACAAAAAATGGGAAAACTTATTGACCCGAGTATAAGCCCAGGGGCTGGAAATGAAGCAGCTACTGATAAATTCCAAAAATAAAAATAGATACCAATAAAATTACATTAAATAACGCATCAGTAGATTAAATGTTTTTGAAAATTTACATAAAACTGTTATTTAAGAGAGGACTGCCCAACTCTGATTAAATCATTATTCTAAATTTCTTCCATGTAAACGTGGTTACTTATCCTTCCAATAATCACCATAGTTTATTTTAATTAAACATTTTGGGGAAAATGCTGTGTGTATATGAATAAGGAAAAGTGGGAAAGACTGGCATGGCAAGAGGGTGGGAAATAAGGACTGGAAATGTGAAAATGTTGGAATGGGAAGGGAAGGGGTGATTGAAAAAATGGGAAAGTGAGGTGGAAAAGGGGTGGCTGGAAAAATAGGACAGATTGGGGTGGGAAGGGAGCAACTGGGGAAGGGGGAATGACTGATGTGTGATGGGGGGCTGGAAACTGAGAAAGACTGAGATAAAAGGGGGACTGGAAAAGTGGGAAAGACCCCAGTTTAGAGTGTTAAGGGGATATTTCTTTCCCTCCTTCTTTTTTCCTTTCTTTCCTTCTCTTCCATTCCTTCTTTCCCATCTTTCATTTCCCCCTAACTTCCCTCCCACCTCCTTTCCTCCCTTTCTTTTCCTTCCTTCTTTCTCTCATTCCTTCCTTCTCCCATTCCTTCCTTCTACAGCCAACACTCCATACCAACACTCCATACATATGTGCTCTGGAATAAATAGGGAGATGCCCCTTCTGAGGAGCTGCCGCCTTTGCAAAGGAGAAGGGTGGCAGAAATGTGTTCCTTTTTCTCCCACTTTGGGGGCCAGGGCCACCAAGAGAGAGAGTAGAGGAAGGAAGGTGCAAGAGAGGGGGGGGGGGAGAAGAAGGAAGACAAGCGAGAGAGACAAAGGAAGAGGAAGGCAAGAGCACAAGAGAGGAGAGAGCTGGGTCGCTGTGCAGAGAAGTGAGGGTCCTGGAGAGAAGTCTTCTTTCACCCCCACGCCTTCCTCCCTGGATTCTCATTCAAGTTTAAGCCAAGGGGGGCTTTTTCAAAGGCTGAAAATCTAAACTTATACTCGAGTATATACAGTATTCCCGTTTGGTATGAAATATCATGTTATGTTATAGACTTCTCCAGGATGTTTTGCAAACTGGAGGACCTCCAAAGGAGATATATTTGGGGGCAGCTCAGGGTTCTGGGATGCTTGTGGCAGTACAATGAAAAAATGTTTTCACATTTTTGGGAGCTTTCTTTGTGGTTTTGGGGAAACATTGCCTGAAAAAAAATCCCACTTACTGGAGCCATGGGGAACTAGAATGGCCTTAAATGCCATTAAAGTGGGGACGAGGGGGCCACAATTTGCCCATCCCAGTTTTATAGTAAAACATGCCAATGCTTTTCTGGTTTGGAAACCCTTTAGAGCAGAGGCTTTTCCTCTTTTTCTTTATAAAAAGCCATAAATGTAGTTGACAGTAATGATGAGGAAAATAAATAATAATATGGATATGTCTTCTCAATTACATCCTCACATTGATTTCTAGTTGGTTATTACTAGCTGTCTCATTGTGCCTAAGGTGTAAGCTTAGAGTATTGCTTTATTTTGTTTTCTTTTATTTCAATGAAATTAAGTTTAATTAATTAATTAGGTCCAATCTACCCCCTTTTTCTTTTCCCTCTTAGGTACCAGGATAATTTTGGTCCTTTGGTGAAAGGCTGTTCCTGTTACTGCTGTCAAAATCACAGTTGTGCCTACATCCATCACCTTCTCATGACCAATGAGTTGTTAGCTGGTGTCCTGCTTATGACACATAACTTCCAGCACTATTTTGGCTTCTTCCGTTCTATCCGTGATGCTGTCAAAGAGAATAAGTTGGACCAGCTGAAAAAATCTGTCAGCTGCCGAGCACTCTGAGGCCAGAAGTGTTATAAAAACAGTGCAAAGAGAACAAGAACCCACGAAGCAGAGAGAGCTGCATATTTTTCCTATTATCAGTTTCATGTTATCTGAAGCACAACCACCTTGGTCTTCACAAATTGAGAAGTGATGGAGTTTTTTTAAGAATTCGCCGGACTATTTAAGGAAATCAAAAATTGTATGAACATTTTTACAGGGCTAAGCTAGGTATTGTTATTCTCATTGGGTTTTACTTGTCTTAGAGAACTTGAGTACTGTCCTAGAGTTGGAATGAAAAACAAATAATATAAACTGACAGACGGGACAATAGGAAATACACTGGCTTCCATTGTGGACTCTACCTTCATTTTTGCTATATGTTATAGGCTAAAACAAGCCTATTAAAGTTGTACATCAGTAGGTCTTTGGTAAGAAGGTAAAATGTGGTAAGAAAGAGGCTCCTCTTGTAAACTCAGTCTCACTTCAGCATCTTCTTCCCAGGGCACCTTGCTGCAATTCTGCAAATTGATCCAGTCCTCATGACACTCCATGTTCTTGACAGCCAGAGAGCTTTTGTTCTTCATTATTGCAAAACATCAGCCCATTGGCTGAGCTTAGTTTTTAGCCTAAATACAGTTTTTAGTAGTCTCGTGCATTTGTATAGAATCACAATCTGTTTCTGTCTGTTTCATTCATAAGGCCCCGTTTTTGTTTTGAGCACCTCTCCCACAAACGGGTGTCTTTCCAAATGGGCTTTCTCATCCAAGGTCCAAAAAAATTGAATATTTTAGGCCCATTGGTGGCAATGGGTGGGCTTCCCATGCTCCTCTTCTCTTCAGTTTTAGGGATAGTGCTTAGTGCTTAGCTGCAGGCCCTGGCAGGCGCTGGCATTTTAGGCGTGCTTGCCACACACATACTCCATTTGGAGCACCAAAAATCAGCTAACCAAAAGTTTACCGTTCCTTTTGTTTTACTAATACTTCTGTACTGGAGAGGGGTGTACCGTTTCGTGCCTTCCAAATGAACAAAACGGTACAAAAGCACGAACTGATAAAATGGTAACCGGGCCCATGACTAGTTTTTAGTCTCAACAGGAGTAGACCCATTGAGTCAATTCCTGAATGTCAAATCAACATGCATATAAGCAGAGATTATGCAATTGATCTACCAAGAGGCTTAAAACTCTATCTACCATGACAATAACTCCTTTGTTTTGAAAAATATCCCTATATAGATTTAGGCCCTGGTTTTGATTGGATGCCATCAAATGACAACTATTTATTTTCAGAGCCTAAACTAGAGTAGACTCAATTAAATTTGTTCCATAGCTATAGTCCAGTTAAGATTAGCAGTTGGATTTAGGCTCAAGTTTTTTTTTCTTTTCAGGGGAGAGAATCTTTGTTTATTAATATTCCTTTTTTAGGTGAATGGAAGATAATGAGCATACATTAGGCAATATGATGGCTGAAATAATGTTTGGTAGAGCTTTGACAATAATGGAAAACTCATTCTTTTAGCTTTTGTATCTTATTCAATTCAATCATGTCCTTTTTATATGATCTTTTTTGTACAACTGAAATATTTAATGTTTTTTCTGTTACGGAAATTTAATGGTAAACTTCAATATCATACTGAGCATTCACTTGTGGATTGCATTCTCCCTACTGTATTTAGAAATTAGCCTATAACACAGGCATGGGCAAACTTTGACTCTCCAGGTGTTTTGGACTTCAACTCCCACAATTCCTAACAGCCTACTGGCTGTTAGGAATTGTGGGAATTGCAGTCCAAAACACCTGGAGGGGCGAAGTTTGCCCATGCCTGCTATAACAGATTGTTTGTACAATAGTTTCTGAAGAAGTCAGTTTCCTATTTCAAGATAGGGTAAGAGAAGCCAACTCTTGACCACCCTTCCTTCCCAAATATATGCTTTACATTGTTGGAACTCACTTATGTAAACCATTTGCTGAAGCAATTACTGTCATTTTGCTCCTTTGTGTGCCACGACCCATGTTTGATACTGTATTTTAATTCCTTGTCATCATTTTGTTCACATTTTATTCCCACCTCAGCAAAATCAGGGCAATAAGGCTCTAAATCAGGCCTGCAGAAGCTGTGGCTGTCCAGGTGTTTGGGATCCCAACTCCCAGAAGCTCTTGCCAGTCTGTTCAGTGGACAGGAATTCTGGGAGTTGGGGGCCCAAACAGTTGGAGGGCCACAGATTGTGCACACCTGTCCTAAATCCAATGTGGTGCTGAAGGGCAGAACAACAGAACTTCCTGAGGGTCCTCTTGCAGCACTTGCGGTTTCCAGTCGACAACTCTTAGAATGTGTTCCAGGCCACCAGATCTGATTTAGTGGAGATTTGCGGTAGAAAGGAGATGGTCTCTCTCTCTCTCTCTCATTTCCACTGAAATATCCATTAGAGGAAGTCCAACATTGGATATTTTTTAAAAAAAAATGACATTGATTTACTGACCACAGAGATAGAAAGGGGCTGTAATTGTGTATCTTGCCAGTAGCCACAATGTCTGAAATGTATTAAATAATAGATAAAAACCTTTTATTCATTTTGTCATTGTTGATTCGGTTGTTTACATGCATCTGGTTCTTATGGTTTAATCTGCTGTTCAATATTTCTTCTGCAGTTTCTTAAAGGTATATAGTTTTAAGTTGTCTTTCGTTCTCCATTCGTTTCTTAAAGTATGTAAATGGATTGCTATATTTTCTCCCTCCTGCACATTGGAATGCCCTTTGTAAAGAAATACGAGCAGTTGTTTAATAGAGTAAGAAGCTACCATGCATTTTGGCCTCCCCAGTCCTTGTCTTGTTCTCTAACCATTACCCCATGTTTGCTGTTTGACTTGGAGAGCTGCTACTAGACAGAGTAAAGACTACTGAGTCAGTCTTTCCAGTACTGAAGACCAACAGGTCAGTGTTTCGAATCCAGGGAGAGCACGGATGAGCTCTCTCACTCAGCTCCAGCTCCCATGCAGGGACATGGGAGAAGCCTCCCACAAGGATGATAAAACATCAAAAAAATCCCCTGGGCAATGTCCTTGGAGATGATCAATTCTCTCACACCAGAAGCGACTTGCAGTTTCTCAAGTCACTTTTGACACACACACACACAAATATCTGTCCGGTTCATTTCAAGGTAGCCTAACATGTTTGTATGTGTTTATTAGGGGGTGTGGGGGTGCAATAACGATGCAAAGAACCCTGTTAAATCTACTCTCTATCAGAAACCTACTTGATAGCTACTGTGTCTTTCTGACAAAATTAAGATTCATGTAACTAAGCATGAATCAGATCTGCGAAATTGCAGTAATGTTTACTAAATACTAGTGTTTCGGTAATACGCCTCTGGTTGGGAAGATAAAACAGATCATTAGTCATTTATAATTAATAGAAAAATGGTTTTTATGGTTTTGAAGCCCTCCTTGTGAGACTTGAAGCACTTACTTTATTATTAAACAAATCAGTATATTTCAAATGAAAATTACTGACGCTATCAATCATCAGAGCAGTGACTTGCAAATATGATCCTCCTTCTTTGGATTGTATTGTTGTGTGATGGTTTGACATCCTTTTGACGTATGTGCACTGCCTACATACAATAGGTCTCAAATCTTCTTCCTAATTGCTGTCCTGCGGTACCTGTTTTTTAAAACAGTATTTTAATATCAACACTACCAAGGATACATTTTTAGTATTTCAGGCTGCAGGTGCTGCAAATATGTAGGAAGCTGGTAACCCCAAACTAATTCTGCTTGCCTTCAAATGTGTTTTTCTGGTGCCTGACCTATCTGTGGCACTAAAACTACAGCCTTTCAAATGTTTCCATAGCTGTATGTTTAATTAGGAGGCACTGCCTTTCTCTGTGCCGTTAAAACCTCAACTTAGTGCTTTTTTTCCCACTCTTTCTGGCTGAAGGACACTTAGTATCAAGTCCATTCTGACAACTCCTTGGCATTTTGATGTTTGTGAAATGTTCTCCCTGTACTTTAGATTTCACAAAGCTCTCTGTTTTAATTGGTTATCCTAAGGCTAATATTGCTTAACTAACAGTCTTCTGAGTATACTCCCTCGTTCCCATTGCACCTTTATTACCTGATTCTGTTTCTGAGTCTTTAACTGATTCTGCTTTTGTTCCCATCAGCAAAAGGATAAGTCCAGAAGCACTGTGAGATCGGCTGCCTTCAGTGATGCTGATCCTTGCCACCCCTGGGTTTCTGGCCTCATTATTTTAATTCAGCTTTCGTTGGCTCAACTGTATGCTTACAACATGATGCAAAGTTACTACCACAAATCCTACATCTAAGTAAGTGCCAGGCAGAAACGGTGTGACTTCACAATTCTGTACATTTCCTAGTGCCTTACCCATTAAATGGAAGGTGGCAGTGGAAGATATCGTTGGCATTATCAAGATACCACAATGGTCCACATTGGCTCCCAAACAACCTGTACCTTATGCTTATATTTTAGGTGTACAATTGTGGCTTTTGGAGATCATTCTAAATTTCCTAACTCTAGAGAAACCTGGGATTAAAAGTTTCGTGAAGTAGTTGTGATTTTCAGAAAGACGGCTCTAGTGCACCCCTCCCCATACTTTGATAGAATTCACACTTACAAAATAATTTGTCCTTATCCTGATCCAAGTTGTGTTTGAAAGCACAATGTTCCTCTAGTTTTAAAGTCAAAGCACTTATTTTAGATGCCTGAGGATTTCAATACATTTTTACATAATTATTTTTATGGAAATCAGACTGTCTGCACTGTGTGCTTAGGAACAGTTGCCACATCCCTTTCCATGCCCTCTGGCTTCAATAAATATGGGTTCAAAGAATGGCCTAGACAGTCCAAGTGAAACCCAGACTTGCCAAAGCTACTGGCACAAGCTCAGCCACCACCAGCCCTTTCCCACTATCTTTGCACTTGGCTGCAATAGGTTTGGGCTTAAGATGGTCTCGTACAGGATAGGATTACCAAACTGATTCTGTGTACATATTTGCAGACAGATGTGCAGTGCTTTCTCGCCCAGATGAGCAACTGCGGCTTATAACATGGACATATGGAGGAACCAGACAGAGATTGTGAATGTTCACCCCTGTTGTTTTGGAATGGAAAGCTTGGCAGAGCATCAACCCTGATGGAGACAGGGGGATCACTAGTGGAGATAAGTGAAGGGGCGGAATGCCACATACATTGTTTGCATTGCCTTTCTACAAAAAAATGACCACATACTGATTTTTTTTCATGTCAGGAGTGACTTGAGAAACTGCAAGTCGTTTGTGGTGTGAGAGAATTGGCTGTCTGCAAGGATGTTGCCCCGGGGATGCCCAGATGTTTTGATGTTTTACCATCCTTGTAGGAGGCTTCTCTCATGTCCCTGCATGGGGAGCTGGAGCTGACAGAGGGGGCTCATTCGCGCTCTCCCCGGATTCAGACCTCCGATCGGTCGGTCTTCAGTCCTGCCAGCACAAGGGTTTAACCCACTGTGCTACCAAGGGCACAGTGATCATTGCAGCATGCAGGACCAGCTGAGCCCATCTCCTTGAGATTGCTACTTGTTGGTGAGTCTAGCAATGCATCATCTGGAAAGCTTATGGGGATTAAAAAACAGGATTGTTCCTTGCTGATTAAGAACAATCCTCTGTTAAATTTGATATGCTCATAGCTATGAAAGAAGGCTTTTTAAAACTGGCCATGATTCATGAGGCCACAGTGCCACTTGGAAGTTTGATTGTGTCTTCCAAAGATATTTAAGTAATCATGTCATGTCAAGATTAATTTCATAAATTCCTCCTTTTTATTTCCTTGGATTGGGAGAAAGTGAAAAATTTCAAAAGGTAAGGGATAACAAAGACTGTCTAAATGTGTCTTTTTGGCTAATCTTTTGAGAACTAGGAGAGGAATGTACACCCTGTCTGAATTCAATCCATAGAGTATCCATTTTCCCCATGTACCTTTTACTGACCTACCTAATCAGTGCAAAGTTAATGACTCCAGGATCCAACTCACACTTAAGAGTTCACAGCATATCATATGTATAAGAAAAATGCTTGAATTATAGCGGAGAAATAGACAAAGGAGCAGTGCTTAATTTTTTTCTAGTCTACCATTTCCCTAAGTTAAATTCAAGCAAGTTTGTCCTCTTCCAATCCTCTTATTTTCAGATGTGTTTTCAATTTTTCGTATGACAAACTGGATGAATTCTCACATCAAAGAGAGCTGATATCAATGGAAAAGTAATTCACATTGGGAGTTATCAATAGGTCACAAACAGCTTGATGTAGACAGCATAGCTTTGGCAAGGAAAAAAATCATAAAGAACCAACAGATGGACAACTTTTGATCTCTGGATACTACTTGACTGTAATTTGCATCCAGCAAAAGGAATAGTGAGGCATAATAGATGTTGCTGTCCAATATGCTGGGGGAAAACATGTTTTCATGTTTTTTCTCTAGTAGACAGGATGGTTGAAATCAGGCCTACACAACCTGCAGCCCTCCAAGTGTTTTGGACTTCAGTGCCCAAAATTTCTGACCACTGAACAAGCTGACAAGGGCTTCTGGGAGTTGGAGGCCCAAACACCTAGAGGCCGCATGTTGTCCAGGCCAGGCCAAGTTGAGATAATTAATCTCACTTTCAATATAATAAAAAATAAATGTTGGCATTTCCCATCCATTTTATCCTATCTAGGTCCATACATAGGAAAGCACATGCTTTCGTGATAGGCACACAAAATGACTATCTCTTCATTATGCCTAACTGATATACCTTAACAACAGACGTGGTGATAAAATTAACTGCAAGTCTGCCGAAGCTTGTGGCACAGCCATTCGGGTGAGCAAACCCATCACGTATCTCAGCTGAATGCCATGATCCCCCAATTGCTAATTGCAGACCATGTTCATTATGACAGCAGACTCATTAACAACTAATACAACTCATAATGGGTGAACTGCTCTCAGCTTTCTTCCCAAATTGCCCAGTAATTACATAGTCTTTCAGCAAGCATTGTGCAGAGCATACTGAGTGGCAGAAGAAGACAAGAGTTGCTTGAATAAAATCCTTGGGCTTTATTTTATAGCAAATCCATTAAAGTTTAGATAAAACTCATGCTTCAGATCCTGGAAAGTTTGTTGCAGTATTTTTCATAGTGGACAAGGTTTGAGATGTAAAATTTCTAGAAATTTTGGAACCACGAGGGGAAAAAAATTCTAAACTGATATTAGGAAAAATTGAAGAATGCAATATTAGCATTCCTTATAGGTTGAATGTCACTTTGGTTCTTTAGAACTATAAAATGAATTGTTTATCATGCAAATTATAGCTAACGCGCTTAGATGCTAAATTGTCATGTTTGCTTTAATACAAGCATAGTGTATTGAGAGTATTTTGTCTCCACTAGTTTTCTATATTGTCAACACACCCATAAAAAGAATTATGTTCAGGAATTGGGTACTGTTCCATTATCTGGGTGGAGGCCACCAGGGGATGCTGGAGAGAGGCGTTCTCGGTGGTGCTTCCCCAGAGAATGCCCTCCCCAGAGAGATAAGACAAGCC